TATTAAAATAAATTTAATATATAATATTATTATAATTCAAAGATATATTTATACAAATTTATACGATTTTAAAATTATTATCATACTTTTTTCAATAAAATAACTAAAGTATTTAAAATAATAAAGATTAATTGAATTATTTTTATTTTTCTTTTCCTCAAACAAATAATAATAATCTAAAAAATCAATTTAAATGCAAAACTTACTAATATGATAAATACTCTACTTATATGTAAAAAAGAATTTAGTAAATCTAGGATAGTGTAAATTAAATTTTTTTGTTTTACAAATTTGTCTAAACTGTTAATAATGTCCTTTAAATATAATGATATTAGAAATAAGAGTTCTTAGTATATGCGATAAATTTATACGTTTAATATTGACTACTAATCTTCAATTTAGAGCTAAACATTATATTTCAAAAGATTCAAAAAATAAAATAACGAAAATCACATTTTATTTATTTTTTGAATTTTAATATTCAATTTAAATATGTTTGGTTTTATAACCAAATGGGTAAATTGAATTCTTGATACAAATTGTAATAACTACACTTCTCTCTGTCTTTAGTAACCTCTACTAACTCCGTCTGATTTCTTTGAGGCTGAGGATTGAAATGGTCCACTAATATAGGACAAGGTAGAATCCCAAAACATTATTTGAGTCCAAAATGATTTGGCTTGCAGTGAGAAAAAGAAAATAAAAATTATATTCCTAAAACTGAAAAACATCAAATAAATATATACATATATTGATCTACATAAAAATCTAGTTAAAAAGTTGAATAAGAAATATGAAAAGAGTGTTTAATAGCATAGCCAATTATGAACTTATTGTTGATTTTTAATTTTGACATATAAACATTTGCTATTAAGAATGTCTTCGAAAAAATAAAGAAATATTTTAAGATTTCTTTTGCTATATTTTAAGTTAATAAAAATTAAAGAAAAGAAAGGCAATCTTATATCTCAATCAGAATTCTTAAACTAATAGAAAGAATTATACATCATCAAAGAAGGATAATTAGTTATATTGAATAAAAATGAGAAGATAATATTACGAAATTTCAAATAAGTTTATTGATATTGAAGATTATACTACTAAAAATTATGTAAAAAATAATGATTTTACAATTGTAATGTTATAAGGAAAATTGGATAGAATAAAATATCATAAAAATACATTTTTTAAACTTAAATGCAGCTTTGGTCTTATAATTGGAGGAGCATCTCGTTTGAAAGTATGGATTTCTATTATAAGATACAAATAATCCACTTTTAAACCAAATAGAAGAGTATTCACTCAATTATAAGATACAAATAATCCACTTTTAAACCAAATAGAAGAGTATTCACTCAATTATATAGCAAAAATTATAAAAATTGGAAACAAAATAAGAAAAAAAGCATCATAAATTATAAAATCTTAATTTAAAATTTATGCTTATAACAAACTTTTCCTGAATTACTTAAAATGTTAACTTTTTCTGTTTGCTGATAAAAAGTATTAAAATCATAATTAATACCTTGATAATATAAATAAGTAAATAATTAGTAGATTAATTTTAAATTTGTTGCTAATTATTTTAAATCTCGATAGAATGTATTGAAAATATCATTCACTTCAAAATTAATATTATAAAATGTTAAGAATTTTTTACACAATTTAAAAATTAATTAAAAGAAATCAGATTAATCTTATATGTATCTATCTTTCAATTTTAATATTAATTTTCAATATTATTTAATAAAAAATATTAGAATATACTTCAGAAGTTAAGAAACTTTTCCATAAATTATAATTCTTTCCTTTCAATTAATAATAGACTTTTGTTAAATGAGCCATTTAATTTTTCGATAAAAAATAAATCAATCTCTAATACAAGATCTTAACGCTAATGAATTTTTAAAAATCCTTAAATAATTGTTTAATAAGTCTTCAACATACATAATTAATTCATCTTCAAATACAATTTCCAAAGGAATCTTATTTTCCTATATAATTTTTAAGAATAATGTTATAATGTCTCTTAAATGAATATCTGACTGTTTTGGAAAGAATTTTGAAGGCTTAAATTTAATATTAACAATACTTATTTTTTGATATTATGTAATAATGAATTACAGCGCTGTTTCTGTTATCTAAAGAGCTTGTCCATAAAGAAGTGAATAACAAATATTTTAAACTCTTGGTGTTTGAATAATGAATCTATTTCAGAATAACTATTTGTCTTATTAATAAAGCTAATAAAGTTGATTTTTTGCAAACTTTTTTTTTATGTAGCAGAATATTTATTAAACTAATATTTAATGTTTTTACAGGCACTTAGTTTATTTCATTAAAACATGTAAAGCATCTATAAACAATACGAAAATAACTTAATCCTAATATTAAATTTAGAATAATATATTAGCCCACATACTTTGTTTCCCAATATTAATTCAGCTTTGATGTAATAGTAATAAATAATTCTTAATTAATATATAGATTTTAATATAGAAATTCGTATCACAGCCTGTTTGCCCGAGCTGGTTAAGGGGGCAGACTTAAGATCTGCTGGAGCCTACTCCGCGTCGGTTCGAATCCGACAGCAGGCAATTTTTTTTATTCTAATTCTTAAATTACAATATTATAATCTAAAAAAATTAAATAATTTTATTTTAATTACTTCATATTTTAATATTTCTAATTATATTATTTCTTAACATCATATCTTGAATTTAAAGACTTCAACAATATATCTTTAGTTGAATTTACACTAAAATAAAATATATAGTTTTATCCTTTCAAAAACTAATCCTATCCTTCTTTCTTTTTTACAAATATCATGATTTTAAAATAAAACCAATCATATTCTAAACATTTATGTAATCAGTTCATCAAAAAAATCTATTTTTATATTCTAATTTCACATTTGAAATCAATACAAAGCTTTAATTATTTATTATGATCTTCCATTTTGTTTAATTCTTTTAATGATTCAAAATTTAATTTTAAATAGCTTTTTAAAGTCCAATCAACCTTCAAAAAATTCTTTCATGCTTTAATCTCTAAATTATTAATTTGATATTTAAAGTGAATCACTATCATCCTTCAATATAATTCAACCAATTTTATACTAATATGAAAATGAAACTTCATAGATTGTTTTTAATAATGAAATTATGAGTAAAAAATTTAAAAGCCTTGCTTTATTAAAACATGAGAATACCTATAATCAAAATCATTAGAAAGATGCGTTAAATATCAATTTGTTAATAGAGAAAGAACAGTTGAAATCTATATATATATTGAAACGTAATTAATATTAAACAATTAATGTAAATACAAAAATATTTCTCAATCAGACTTCTCTCTCCTAAAATAATGTAAAAATTTAAAAACTCTCCATGAAAGATTCGAAAATTCAGAGTATTAAGTATTAAGGATGACACTATTCCTCAAACTAATGAAGAAGAAACTTTTTGTTTGATTTGTTAATTTTTCTAGGTACTAAAGGATTAGCAAACTGTTAGAACTCACATTTTTAACATTTGTTCTCATAAATGATTCAAAAAAAAATTATATTCTTTATTAATTAACTGATTATTATTTCTTCACTTTGACTTTTTCATATTTTTGTTTAACTAGTAATCCAACAATAATTTAAATTTCATCTCTTTTCCTTTCAGTATCTATTAATTTCAAGCATTAAAATTGGAATTTTTTGAATTTATAGCTTATACAGGATTATAATTTTATGCTTTAATCAACAATGCTAAATAAGGAACTGTTTTATAATATACATTACTCAACTTTATTATTAATTTTTTTAAATGAATGAACAAAATTTTAAACAGGATTAGAGTATAATTATTTGCTAAAATCTCTATCCAAAATGGTTAGAATTTATTTAAATGATCCTGATTTTCTAGGCTCAAGTTTATATTTTTCATTTTTTTTAAATCCTTTTTAGATTCCTTCTTCTGTTTTTACATATTCGGCTTTAAAAATCGGCATAAACTAATTTATTCTAATTTCATGAATTTTTTCTCATTTTTTTTTCTTTAATAATTTTTAGAATTGTTTATGGAGTTGATAAATATTGATTAGAATTGACTTCATCTTTTTAATTTCAATTTTTTAGGGTTGAGATAGCTATTGTATTAAAATGATTGAAAATAACTAAAAAATTCTAATATACTTCATTATTCATATATTTAGATCAAAATAGGTTAGCTTGTAGATAAAGAGTAGCTAATTTAAGTATAAAATTAACGAGATATCTGATATAAATTTATTTATTCCTTTTATGTTTCATACAATAAGTTCTTTTAGTAAACTATTTATTACTTATTAGTAAAGAAATATTTATTAGGATCATTTCTTTGTTTAAAACAAATTCAATAAAAAAAGAATTTTAATTCATAAATGTTTTTAAATTTTTTTATAAAATAAATAAAATATGTAGTTTTTGATAAAAAAATAAATCAAAACTGATGTTAAATAGATAAATTAATAAATTAACCTCCATCATTAATTTATAGACTTAATATTAACGAATTATAAATTTGCAATTTTTATTTAATTGTAAGCTCTATACATATTAAACAATTATTTGAATAAGAAACAATGAGTAGTTTTAAATCTCACACTTAAGCAAAACTCAATTGAATTTATGATTTAAATCTAACATTCTATATTTACAATTTTTAATAATGAAAAGTCTCAATCTAAATCCATTTTCCATATTAGTTATATAATATCCTAAATTAATTGTATAACAGTAAAACAGTACAAATAAATATCGATTTTAATTGAATAGATTTGAAAATGATAATGTTTTTATCCTGAATTTGATAAAATCATTAAAATATAATCTACTAAGAATAAAGTGATATCGCTGAAAGGAGATATGTTCCTTATATTTAAAGATTAAAAAAATATCTAAAAACTACTTAGAAATTTCATTTTTAAATTAAAAATATTTAAGGGATATATTTAGAGAGAAATCCTTGAAATGTTATTCAAGATACATTGAATTAAAATATTAAATTAATATATTGACATTTTTACATGTAAATTGAATAATTTTATATTTATAAATTGAAACCATCATTTCATTTTTAAATAAAAATGATTCTAATGAATTAATGATTATCATTTGAATTTCATTTGATTTAGAAAATGACCAAAAAATGATTTGAATGAAAACAAAATCTAGTGATATGTTCAAATACTACATATTAAATAAATTTATGATATGTTTTAGAATATTTAAATAAATATATCTTCTTTCAAAAATCTCTCTATTCATAGAATAAAATGAACTATTGAATATTTTCATTTTGAATGAAGAAATCAAATTAAGAATAAAAAGAAATGTAGCATTAATTAAATTTAATTAATGGTTCTTGTAGTAAATAATTTTTTAAAAAAGGCTCAAAAAAGTAGAGGTTATAATTTAGATTAATTAATGAAATGAAAATGATTAAAATTCTAAAGGTATTTATTCTTCAAGGAGAAATAATTTAAAATGCATTGTTTTGAATGTGTAAAAAATGAAATTAAAAAAATCTAAAATCATTGTGTTTCAATTAATATAATTTTTATAAAGTCTAACTATTAGAATTAAAGAATATGTTATAAAATTACATTAAATATTAAATCATCAGCCCCATGTTTAATATTACCCTTTTTTGAACTTTTTTTTTAAAAAGTATAAAGCAAGTAAGAAAGCGAACAAGAATAAAGCATTAATTAATGAAAGTGCAAATCCAATATTTTTTATCAAACATATCAAAAATTAGATAAAAGAAAAAAGTAATTCTGCTAGAAGAATACAAAAAAATATTCTAAAACATTTGACTTCATTAAATAATTCATCAGTTGATTTGGAGTAATAATAACATCCAGATATTAAATTTAAAATCATTCTTAGGAATTATATAAATAATTACATAAAGACTTCAAAAACTAAAATGGCAATTTCATCAGACTAAGTAGAAAAAATTGATATTCCTATTGCAAAAATAATAAAGAATAAAGCTAAGTATGTCCAAAATAATGCTGGCACTCTTAATCGAGTATGCCTTGATTAAGAAACACCTTAATAAGGTCTAGGTCTGATTATATGATTATTTTATTGAGATTAAGAATTAGAAGAATCACTAGCTATATTATTTATTCTTTATGGATTAGCATTTTTAGGCAATTGAATCTATTAATAGGAACTATTTTAATGATTATTTTTGTTGTTTTTATTTAAAGGTGAATCATTATTATTGAGACTCTAAGCAACTTAATTAAGATTCTATCGATTTTGAATTTAAGCTTAAGGTCTTTGATTGAATATAGTGAGCGGTTATACTTATGGAATAACTCCAATATCTCGTAATAATTCTTGATCAGAACTTGTTTAAATAAATTTAGTATTATTTCTTTATTCTAATGCAGTGACATCTGTTGGAATTTTTGGTTATTCATTTTCCATATTTTTGTAATGGTATTCTTTAATTATCTTAAATTGCATTAATTAATTAATATATAATAAAAAAAAATATAATCATTATTGAATGGTTTAAATAAATTATCCGTAATTTAATCTCTTATTATTCATATTTCTTAATATAACCTATTCAAGTAATGGATAAACATTTAATCCTTTTATTGTTAAGCATCACTTTATTATAAAATATTTAATACCTTCAAAACAAAATAATTAGATTGAATTCAAATTGTTTTTATTTTGAATATAAATACAAGTTTATTATGAAATCCAAGTGTATTTTTCAAATATTTTATTCTCAGTATATGTAATGATCTTATTTTTCTAATTAATCTTCTAAATGCAATTTGTGATTGAAAATTTAGGTATATATAAAACAAAAGATTCTTTTCCAGGTTATTTACAAACAATAAAATAATTGTTTAAATGCTTGAACTAATATTAATTCATTTCATAGCCTTATTTCTACTTTATCAATTTGTTCAATCATATGGTGTTTGTTTTAACGAAAGAGTAATACAGATTGATGAATGCTGAAACATTCTAAAAATGTATATGCAAATAATGCTTCCATTTATATAAATATATAATAATATAGAATTTAAAATGTTTTTTTAATAATATGAGTCATCTAGGGCATAATTATATATATATAATAATTAATTAAATATATGACAATTGAGAGCGAAGTTTTATATGCATTGTACAAACTGTATTAGATGAATTTAATTTCCCTTGAACAAAAAGGAATGATCAAAGGTAACAAAACTTACTCAAACAAGATATGTTGATACAAAATGATTTTGTGCTGAGAGCTTCTATTGCTAATTGTGAGACTTAGTTTTTGTTATAACATCGTATTTTGGAATTATTAAAAGGTTTTTAGATGGTTTTTATTCAATTAGATTAAGAATCACCTAGAAATTCGACTTGTATTAGCCCTTTAAAAAGAATGCCATCATGTAGTACAACATATAGTAGGCAAAGGATTAAAAGTGAAATTCAAAATCCAAATTAAAAAAAAACAATATCAAGATTAAGATCAAATTCTTTAATTGCAATTTGAGATTAACCAACCCTTTTAAGTTTTGATATTTATGTTTTAATATATATTAATTTATTAAGTTTTTTTAAAATAACACTTTTATAGTTATGGGAATCTGTCAAACCTAGTCAATAAAATAAGAAAAGAATGAAAATAATAACTAGAAAGAAGAGTAATCAAATTAAATTACAAATCAAATAAATAAATAAGAAACTGTTAAAATGTTTGACCATTACACAAATAAAATTGTGGAAGTACCAGTATTAGTACCTGCTACTTAAAATTCATTGTATTCCAAAAGATAGACTCGTAGTCCAAATTTTAATCCAAATTCTAAGCAACTACTGGCTTTATCTTGATGATTATATTATCTTGTTATAGTATTTAATTTTACTGAATTGTTTCTAAAAGTAGTTTCGTAATCGGAAAAGTGATAAAAAATGTTTGATCAGTGGATAATCAATAGAATATGTGATGAAACAAGAATTGATTCACCAAATGCTTTATTTTGTAATAGGAGAAGAATGAAATAAGTTAAGGAGATAGTAAAAACTATACATAAATAATTATCATGAAAAAGAAGGTTAAATTCAAATGGTATCATTTTTATATTAAGTTTTTTTTAACTATATATATTATGTTTTTTTTAATTTATATATTATGTTTTTTTTTTAATTAAATATATGATGTTTCGGTTTATGTATATATAAAATATNATATGGTGTTTGTTTTAACGAAAGAGTAATACAGATTGATGAATGCTGAAACATTCTAAAAATGTATATGCAAATAATGCTTCCATTTATATAAATATATAATAATATAGAATTTAAAATGTTTTTTTAATAATATGAGTCATCTAGGGCATAATTATATATATATAATAATTAATTAAATATATGACAATTGAGAGCGAAGTTTTATATGCATTGTACAAACTGTATTAGATGAATTTAATTTCCCTTGAACAAAAAGGAATGATCAAAGGTAACAAAACTTACTCAAACAAGATATGTTGATACAAAATGATTTTGTGCTGAGAGCTTCTATTGCTAATTGTGAGACTTAGTTTTTGTTATAACATCGTATTTTGGAATTATTAAAAGGTTTTTAGATGGTTTTTATTCAATTAGATTAAGAATCACCTAGAAATTCGACTTGTATTAGCCCTTTAAAAAGAATGCCATCATGTAGTACAACATATAGTAGGCAAAGGATTAAAAGTGAAATTCAAAATCCAAATTAAAAAAAAACAATATCAAGATTAAGATCAAATTCTTTAATTGCAATTTGAGATTAACCAACCCTTTTAAGTTTTGATATTTATGTTTTAATATATATTAATTTATTAAGTTTTTTTAAAATAACACTTTTATAGTTATGGGAATCTGTCAAACCTAGTCAATAAAATAAGAAAAGAATGAAAATAATAACTAGAAAGAAGAGTAATCAAATTAAATTACAAATCAAATAAATAAATAAGAAACTGTTAAAATGTTTGACCATTACACAAATAAAATTGTGGAAGTACCAGTATTAGTACCTGCTACTTAAAATTCATTGTATTCCAAAAGATAGACTCGTAGTCCAAATTTTAATCCAAATTCTAAGCAACTACTGGCTTTATCTTGATGATTATATTATCTTGTTATAGTATTTAATTTTACTGAATTGTTTCTAAAAGTAGTTTCGTAATCGGAAAAGTGATAAAAAATGTTTGATCAGTGGATAATCAATAGAATATGTGATGAAACAAGAATTGATTCACCAAATGCTTTATTTTGTAATAGGAGAAGAATGAAATAAGTTAAGGAGATAGTAAAAACTATACATAAATAATTATCATGAAAAAGAAGGTTAAATTCAAATGGTATCATTTTTATATTAAGTTTTTTTTAACTATATATATTATGTTTTTTTTAATTTATATATTATGTTTTTTTTTTAATTAAATATATGATGTTTCGGTTTATGTATATATAAAATATATATCAAACAATTCTAAGTTTTTGTGCAGTGCGGTATTCTTCTTGAAAATCAACTGAAAGTCTATAGTAGAGTCTAGATAATGAGAAAGATAGTATTACTTCTCAACATCTTGAATACAAGAAAAGAGTTTTGAATCTGGTAATTACTTAAGAGTGTCAGCTAATTCATTTATTTGATTTTCTTTAATTTATAATTACTAATGAAAGTCTAATAAATGATTTGCAGGTGGTTTAATGATTGAAATCTTTTCATTGAGTTATGTTAGAACTTAAGTAAGATCTAATTATGTATCTTCTGAATTATTAGTGAAGAGTGAATATGAGGCAACAAAATTTAAAAAAGGGTCATCTGATAATTCTTCTGAGATTTTTTCAGATGATGCTTCAAGATCATCACTCTAATTTAATTATTCAATTTCTAATCTACGAATATTTAAGGTAGAAGTTTATGGAATGATGACAATAGGTTTTTTATTACTATCTGATGACATAAAGTGGGAAGAGATAAAATTTAAATTAAATTAAATTAAAGAAATTAGGTTGAAAATGAGAAGAAAAGAAGATAATGATGATGATGATGATTTATTTGTGATTTCGAAAAAATAATAAAAAAAGAAATCAATTAAAAGAAAAGGATCAAATCGTAGATTAAAAAGAGAAGATAATTCAGATGATGATGATTATATTCCTTAAAAATAAAACAAGGATTCATCATCATCATCTGAATTATAAGAGAGTTCAGAAGATGAAAAACCAAAGAAAAAAAGTAGATAATCATATACAAGTGTTAAATCATAAGGAGGAGGCAAATAAAAGAAATAAGTAAAGAAAGTTGAAAAAGTTGAGAAATAAGAAAAAAAATAAGAATAATAAGAATGTTAATAAGAAGAATAATTTAACATGAAAGGAGATGATGAATTTTATAGATTAGCAGAAGAATCATTGCCAATATTTATGCATCCTGAATATATACGAGATTCAGAAGGAAGAAGACCAGATGAAGTAAATTATGATTGTTCAACTATTGAAATTCCAAATGATTAATATTAAAGATTACCACCTATGTTTAGATAATATTGGAATGCCAAAAGAAAGCACTTTGATTCTATTATATTTTTTAGATGTGGAAGATGGATAGCTGTTTTATATAATGATGCTATTATAATAGCTAAAATGTTCAATAGATATTTAGGATTTTGGGGTAAAGATAGACCATGTGTAACAGTTTATGATAATCAATTACCCATATATTAAAGAGCTTTATTAGAAAAAGGGTACAAAATTATTATGATAGAATAAATGGAAAAAGCAGATTTAGCTAATAAAGAAGAAGGAGAAGTTGTTAGAAGAGAAATTACACAAATGATAAGCAGAGGTACTCTTTAAGAATTAGGAGATAATGATAATTATGAATAACGTAATCTATTTGTACTTGTTTGTTCAAATGCACCTCATAATAATAAATAACATAAATATATTTATGGAATAGCTATCCTTGATTGTACTACTAATCAATTCTCTTTTGATTAATTCTTTGATGATGCTCAGTCCAATCATCTTAGATCTGTTATTTATAATACTAAACCTGTTGAAGTTATTTTATGTAGAACACCACCAGAAATTGAAAAAATATTTAAGTATTACTTTCTCTTATTACAGAAATATATGTAATCCTACAGTTATTATTTCCAAAAAAGCATTTAGAGATTGTGAATTCATCTTTTAATAATTCAAAATTGAATATATGGAACCATTCAATACCTAAAATAATGATTCAGTCTCTAATCTATTTCAAGATATTGTTCTACCTACTCATAAAGATGAACCTGAACCTAAAATTGATATTGATATTAATCAAGAATTATATTCCGACTCTAAAGAAGTTATTACTTAAAAATAGACTGTTTAGAAGTACTAATTAAGTCCAGATTATCCAAATCTATTAATAGAATTAGAAAAATAATTTTATCATGAATAAAAATAATCAAATAATGAAGATGATGAATCAGTCTTTTATTCTTATTATTTTTCAATTCAATCTCTATATCTCTTATTATGTTATTTAAGATAATTACTGATAAATGATTCAGTATATAGAAGAGGTAAATTCAATTTTTTAGATTCATATTTTAATAAAAAAGTAAATCTTTATCTAGATTCACAAGCATTAGAAAGTTTAGAAATATTCAATGTAAATTTATAAACCAAACTAACTACATCAGGTAGTTTATTTAATTATTTGGATCGATGTATTACACCTGCTGGTAAAAGACTCTTAACAAAATGGGTCTAAAGTCCCTTATAAAATTATCAATTAATTATAGAGAGATAAGAATGCATAAAAGAATTATGTGATATTTAAGAAAAATGTTTTGAATTCTAAAAAAGAATTAAACAATTACCAGATTTAGAACGTGCAATAATAAAATGTTTTAATACAATTCATTCTCACAAATTAAAGGCTGTTCCTATAACAGGAGGAGAAAGCATTCGTTTAATAAAATTGAAGGAAATAAAAAGTGTTTTAATAAATATAAGATTAGGTGCTGAATCATTTAAAATCTTTAATTCAGATATTAAATAATTTAAGTCTAAAAAATTAAAAGAAATTCTTAATTATAATTAGATTATTAAAATGTTAAAGTAAACTCTTGAAGAATTAGAGAAATATCTAATAATTGATGATAATGAGGAACCAAAACCAGTAAAAGGAATTAGTCCAGAATATGATCTAACTTTAGATAAGTTTAATGAAATTACTTAGGGTTTAGATGATGAACTTGAAAGATGGAGGAAGAAATTAAAATGTCCAAATATTGTTTATACTCATGCAAGAATGAGATATTAATTAGAAATACCTGAATAATATTTAGAAGGAAATTAAAGACCTAAAGAATTAATAATCACCTCAAAAAGATAGGGATTTCAAAGATTTTAAACAACATTTATTGAAGAATAAATTTATAAATTAAGAATAGTAGAAGAAGAATTGTCTTAAAAATTGCTACCATTCATAAATGAATATTTTACTAAATTTTATTCATATAGAAAATAATTCTTTTAATTAATTTCGTATCTATCAGAGGCAGATTGTCTGTATATATTATATAAAATATTTTAGAATATCCTTAGCATTAGTATCTAATGAATAAAAAGTGTCTTGTTTTCCAATAATATGTAAAAATACAGATGAAAGAGTTTGTTAACTTATTGAAGCATATCATCCATGTTTACTTTAGAATAAAGATATTTAATGGGTACCAAATACAATAGAATTTAATGATTCTATAGATACTTTATTACTGACAGGTCCAAATATGAGTGGCAAATCTACTCTTTTAAGATTAATGGGAGTATCTATTATTTTAGCTTAAATTGGATGTGCAGTTCCAGCAAAATAATTTACTTTAAATCCTTTTGATAGAATATTTAGTCGCCTTGGAGCCTCGGATAGATTATTAGAAGGAAAATCTACTTTCTTTATTGAACTTGAAGAAACTAAAACTATATTAGATAATTGTACTTCAAGAAGTCTAGTCATCATTGATGAATTAGGTAGAGGAACTTCTACTTATGATGGAGTAGCATTAGCATCTGCTGTTCTTAGATATTTATCAGAAAAAATTAAACCTATGACTTTATTTGCTACACATTATCATATCTTATTAGATGAATTTGAATTATTCAAAAATATTTAATAATGTGTCATGTAACATTATTAAGAAAATAATTAAGTTATTTTCAAATACAAATTAATTGAAGGTGTTGCTCAAAAGAGTTTTGCAACTAATGTAGCATAAATAGCTGGTATTCCTAAATAAGTCATTGCCTAAGCTAAATAAATGGAAGCAAAAATCACAAAAGAAGAATCTAAAATTAATAAAAACAGATTAATTCTTTAAAAATTCAATGATATCATTAAATAACTATTTTGATTAACAATTTAAGTATTAAAATAATCATATTATTAAATATTTATTTTATAACAGTTTCATATTCTTTCTTATTAACTCATGCTTTTGCTATTCTTCCATTTAAGAAATCTAAGAATGGTGGTGTTTAAACAACTTATAATGCTTTAGCTAAGACTGCTAATTCTTATTAGACAGAAGACTAAAAAAAAGAATAAGATCAATAATAAATACCACAATATCATCATGTATTTTAAGATTGGCTGAATAATTATTATTTTCAGTTCTTAATCTATCTTAATATGCTTTAAGATCAGTTTCTCTAGTAGAAATCATAGTTTAAACATCAGAGATTCTAACAGTTTTATCTTCCCTTTCTTAATAGAAATCAGCATATTGTTAATCAAAGACTGCTTTTTCAGCTGTCAATTATTATCTTCTTAATTCATCTTATTATTTTTAACTGTCTTCATCTTTATAGGCTTTAGTTAAAGCATCAAAAATATTCAATCTTAAACTATTTAAGAAATCACACATTTCCTTTAATACTTATCTATCTTTGAAATTGAAACCCTCAGTTAAATTGGTTAAAGCTTAAATGAAAGATGAATATTAATGACCAAAATTTTCAGTATTTGCTTTTACTTATCTCAATGCTTTATTAACTTTATGTTTTTATTCATCAGAAACTTCAATAAAAGCAGCTCTAACTTCACCAGATTTAAAAAGATCAGTTAATAAATCTAATGCTTCATCAATATTTCTAAGTGCATCTGTAAATTCAGTAGTTGTTAAAACAAATGATTAATGTTATGTATTTCTGGCAGCTTCAGCTTCTTTAAATGATTAAGCATTGTCTGTTTATTTAGCTTTAAGTCCTAAAAGTATCTATAATAATAAATATTAATAAAAAACATCATCTAATTCATGAAGTCTTGGTATTAATTCAGAATTCAAAACTTTCTTTTCTCTATTGATATCAAATTCAGCTTAATTTGCTTATGAACTTAGTGATATAACTTTAGCATTATGTTCGCTTTCAACAACTTCCCATTAAGTATTTTCCAATTTTAATCTTTCTTCAATTTGTCTTCCAAAAGCTTTAACTCCTTCAGTAAGAGAATCAACAGCTCCAGTAACTCTCACTGTCACTTCTGCTAAATCTACAACTAAATGCCCAATCTTTGATTATGTTAATTCATCTATCTACTATTAAACACCAGGATTCACATATTAATCCATTACACCTTAATTACTTTCATTATTTCTCTATTTAATTACTTTTATATTGATGTTGATGTAACTATGTACAACAACATAAGAATACTGAATAATCGTTTCATTAAATTCGTTTTTATAATTATTGAGTGAATATTTGAGATTGAATATATTTAATATAAACTATATCAAATTAGCTCGTCTTCATCTTATTTATTTTAGGCAAAACTTAAGATTTCTTTTGAAAAGAAGAACCAACTGCATCCTCTATACCATAATGGAAATTTGGTTTTTAATCGACTAAATAATGTATAGATCTCTTGATTTTTTATAAACGCCTTGAATAATTCTTTTTCATAATGGTGTAATGATTGAGATTGTTTTAATTGATTTTGATGGGAATCAGGTGAATACATCATAAGGAAATGAATAATGGAAATTTCTGATAATCTTTCTTGTTCATTAGTGGATAATGTTTTAGAAATTTCATGTTTAAGTTAAACAAGACTTAGAATGACTCTTTTTTAAACATTTTCTACATTAAGTTTTTTCTAAGATTAAATGATAAATAATTGATACTTTTAATCTAGTTCCTTCACCTTAAGTAAAATTAGTGAAATATCCAGTGTATATTTCATATTCATTATTGATATCATACATTTTTCTTAAGGAATCAAAATTTTCGAAAATGTGATTTAAACATAATAATGCATTTTTACAAATGGATTAAGTGATATATTATTAATAATCATTTTGGTAGTATTATTGATAAAGATTATTTTAGTTTTCAATTTCAACTAATTCATTTTAATGTAAGAATTTGTAAATAAATCTAGTATCTATATCTAATAAATATTTTTAATTATATCCAGCTAAGATAGGTTAAGGTTCTTAATTAATAAATTTTAAGACATCTCTATAGAGTAATCCTAGAATACTTTAAGATTCATAAACAAGTGAATCTTTTTCCATAAAATCAGGCCATTTTTTAGTTACTAGATCTTATGGTATATCAACTTTATTTCCATGTTTAACATAATCAACAGCAGCAGAATGTAATTCAGCTAATCTAATACATTTATTATCTTTAGCATAATCAGGTGATCTATCAGCAATTGCAAGATGACTATTATCAATTTTACCCAAGACATCAAAATTAAGATATTGAAGTAAGAAATCAATCATTTTATCTTCTTGAAAGTAATCATCAGATTATATATAACCTTTAGGATTAACTTAAGTAGATGGTACTTTTTTTTCTTCATCATAATTCATAGGTGGATGAATATCTTTAGGTATTATTTTAGGATCCCATGAAACAAAATAAATATCTCCATCAAGATCACCACCAGCACATTCAGCAGGAATAGAATTTCCTTTACATGGAAATACTATACAATTAAAATATTCAGAAAATGGATTTTTATTACATCTTTTAAGAATTTCTTTTTCTGATAATGCTCTAACTTTTCTTACATCACCTGGATGTAAACATGGATTTCTAACTACAATTATTTCACCTTCTACATATGTATGTATAGAATCTTAAGATATCTTTACAATGCATACAACTTCTATTTAAAATCATATTATTTTATATATACCTCCTTCATTTAATATATTATAATCATCTACTACACCCAAAACTCTAGCTGCTTTATCTATTAAAATATTGCATTTAGTTCTTAATTACATTAAACCTCTTCTTTTTAAACGATCTAATACCTTTTTAATAAATATATTATTTTTTTCATTCAAATCTGCTTTTATCATCAATCTTATATTGTCTATAATTGATGGTAATCCTTATAATTCTCCATTATAATCTACTAAAAAATGTTTATAAATTGATGAATCTATAGCTGATAAATTCTATATCTTTTCCAAATATTCTAATTAATTCATATATATTATAATACCTTTTTAAAATTACATAAATACACTATCTTATATACCTAAAGTTACTAATAATATTATTATTTATCTATTTAGGTATCCACCTCTATATTTATTATAATCTAACAATGATATCATAGTTGAATATTATCCATCATTCATTAAACTAGGATTAAATTTAACCATACTCCTTCTCAATTCTATTGTATTTTTAGATAAATCATCATTTAATAATAATACACCTTTTGCTCCATGAAATCTTATTTAAATAGCTGAAATACATGGATTATTCATAACCGTTCTAATTTTATCTATTAAATTTCTAGATATCTTTCCTATTCCATCAGTATATAATTTCCCATTATCTCCAACCTTATCAGGTACTCCAACCTTTACATTAATTTCATTTAAATTAATTGATTTACTTGAACTAAAATTCTATCCTAATCTTGCTGCATTCTTAGCTACTTAATCCATATTCAATGTATTAAAATTACCTATTGAATCTATAAATTTTTATCTTGTTATTTTTGCTTTTTTATAATTAAAAATCCAACATGATCCTCCTCTTAATTATGAAGCACTCCATGTTAATAATCTAAATTCTTCTCCAAATAATTCCATTCCATTTTTTAACTTTTATTTATAAAAATATTCTGTTATATAATGATGTCCATGTATTGTTTCTAAATTCTCATCTTCAAAATGCAATCTTATAAAATTATTTAATTAATCAAAATATTATCTTATTATTACACTTGTCTCTTCTGGTAATTTTATATTATATAAATATCCAGATGGTGTTAATGATACTCTCTTTATTAATGCTATTCTTTTCTCTTCATCCTAATTTACTAACTCAATCACATCATTATCACATCTCTATAAATCTCTCTTAAATTTTAAATAATTCTTCTTATTTAATTCTGATTATCTCACAGAATAATTCAAATCTGTACTATATCTTGAAAACAATTAAAATGTTGCCTCCAATACTTTCTCTCTTCTCTTCTCTTCCAATTATTAATTCTCTCTCCTCTCTTAATTCTATTATCTATCCTTATATTAACATACTCTTTTTATTAAACTATTTAAATATTTTATATCTGTTATCCTATTCTATGAAACTACACATAATATATTATATCTCTATTCAAAACTCAAATTACTCTATTCTAAAGTATTCTATAAAATATCTAATTCTTAGTCTCTACTCCTCAATTCTTAAAATTACAACTTTATTTCATCTGACAACATTAAATTATAATTTTTTAATTTATGCAAAATTGTATTATATAACAACTCTTCCTTTGAACCTTACTTTATTGTAAAATTTGCTTTTATCATAGTATTATTAATCATTATTAATCTCTCTATCTCATTCTTATATTTATTATAATATGCGTTCTATAATATATTATCCACTCTTATCCAATCCTATTTCACATTAAATAATTCAAATTTTCTTTTTGTATTCAATGATATACTGTAACTCGGTGGACATAATAATTTTAAATACAATGATTTTCCAAATTAATCTGAAGTTGCATGACAATATTAACAATTTACTAAATCTACTTCTATTCTTAATAAAAATTTATCTAGAACATTCATTATAAATTCAACTCTTCTAAATAATTTAGATTCTTCACAATGAAACATCATATGAACTTGAATCCTTTTTAACTCTTATTGTAAATCTTAGAATCTAAAATACTTAGTCAAAAATAAATTAAATGGTTCATTCAATTTAGAATCTAATTAAATATCTTTTACATATTCTCCAACTACATATGAAAGTGTTAAATCATTTAATTTAAATGGCATTTTACCCATTTTTATCGAATAATCTTAACATTGCAAATTATCTTCTAAAATTTATGCTTTTGAAAAATTAATGTAAACTGGTTTTGAATTAGGAATAATATGAAATTAAAAATTTAAAAGATGAATTAAATATTTCTTTTAAAATCGTAATGTAACAGTTAGTGGACTATCTAGTTTAGGATCTAGAGAAGCCTCCTCTATATTATACATTTCAATTTCAACTACAGAAATATTTTTTAGAGCTTTCTCTAATTTTTAAACCATTTTATTAATTTCTAACAATTTGTTGATCTTTATTCTTTTTTAAGTTGCATCAATTAATGTTACATCATTCTCATTAATTTTTTAATCTGTAAAACTAAAAGTAATAACTTCTTCATTTTCTTCATCATTTATTTCATTTTATAAAAAATTGGCATCATCCCTATAAATGCAATCTTTAAGTAATTCTTTTAAAAAATCATTATTTTTGTAATTATTAAATTTTTGATCACAAATAATCTTATCAGAAAAGTCTTCATCCATGATTTGAGTTCTAAATTCAACTCTCAAAACCTAATATTTTAAATATGAAATTTTGTACTTTGACATCTCTATCACTATGTTGTTTATCAAAAGCATTTTACAAAGCCTCCATAATTTTTTTAGCTGTAATATTTGCCAAATCCTATGCTTATAAATTAAATAATGCAGGCTTTATAATGATGTAATCTTCATCCGAGAATTTAGATAGAATCTCTTAAATCTAATAATATTATAACATAAAAATACTTCTTAAGATAGAATATCCTTATTTTTCTTTTGATTTTATGATGCTTACATAATGGAAGAAACTGAGGTTAATTTAAATAAATTATGTATATATATATTTATAATAAAATCAATTTAATTAAGAATGAAAATTAGATACATCCTCATGCTCTTCTTTCTTTCTTTTTTACTTATTTATATAGCATCCTACTAATATGAGCAATATTAGTAAAATTAAAGTAATAATAATCCATATCCAAATATTTGAATCAGAATCAGAATATTAAACAGAAAAAGTAGAACCTCCAAGTGGAAGATTATATTCATAGCAGATTATGGCAAAATAATCATAATTGTTACTTGGATTGATTTTGATATACACAGTAGTGTAATAATTAGAGAATGTCATTTCATTATAATTAGATTACATGCAATCAATTGATCTTTCTTGTTCATAATAAACTTAAGAATTTAATTTAAGCATTTCCTTATCCTTCTAATGACCAACATTAATTATAAAGTTTAATCTTTTGATAAATTATCCATCTCTTTATATTATCATTGGAATATCAAGAATAAGGTACCCATCTTGTGATTTATATTTGATATCTGAATTATTATAAGTCATAAGAGATGGTGTCTTATACTCCATTTATCCATATTATTTCTAAGATAATAATGAAATCAAACTGAAAATCTAAATTAAGGATAAGTAGCACCTCCCTTGGATCCATAAGCACTATATGTTACTGGTTTTGTTGATTCAAAGTCTTCATTCATATAATCATAAAAGAAATATGTTCCAGGTAATGGTTACAACTCAATCAATTTTCCGTCTTCTGAGACTCTTGCAAACTTTATTGGACCTTAAAATGATAAAAATGATATCCATGTATTCATTGATAAATCTACAGTGAAATTCCTCATTTCATTCAATTCCAGATTTCCATAGATATCATCTTAATAACCAACTATTATTGTTATGAATAACAATATATATTTATTAATCATAATATTAACTTTATTTCAATTTTCATTATATTTTTATCAATATGAATATGACTACATATAATTAATGTTCCATATGCATTCATCTAGTAATATTCATATATCTTATTAGTTATTATTATATATATTTTATAATATATTACAATTCACTATATTAATTATATAAAATGTTTATCAATTACGTAATTTTTTGGACATTATTGCAATATGTTTAAAGTTGCTCAGTAAGTTTCCTTTATTATCATAGATTAGAAATTAATTGTTCTAATATTCCTATAATGTTTAAAATTAACCTAACATTATTCCTTTAGGAGAGCTTTTTAATGGCTCAGCATTATAATTCAGCATTCTAAACAATAATAATTCATAAGACTATAAAATATTCCAATCAGTTGATTTATTGCAAACTAATAATAATACATTAGCTGTAACCTAAGTCATTTCAACTTCTCAATTTCCTATCATATAGAATGCATAAGTCTAAATCTAAATTATTTTCCTCACATTATCAAATACTATATATTAGTTATACATGACAACATGGGAATCCAGTTCCATAGATTCAAAATACCAACTCTTAGGCACTCTTATTAATGTATAAAATTGTAATAGAATGGTTCATTTAAATCAAAATGAAATAGTCATACTCTGTTCAAATTATTTAGTTTTATATAACAGTATGACCTCATAATCGAATTATACAAATATAGATTCACCAACATTTACCATTAATTACTCTTGGCTCAAAGCTATTAATAATGGTATTTACTAATAATTATTAATCTTAAGATACTGTATATGTTTCCTTTTCTGATGGACATTCAAGTTTCACTTCCACTGGTTATATCAATAATAATTAACAGTTTCTAAAATTCGATCTTATAAATTATAATGGCACAGTCACAGGATTCGATATCTATTCCAATAATACATATTTTATATTGAGAAATTCTATACTTTCATATGTTAATAAGAATTCACAAATTAATTGTAATATCCAATTTACTTCTTAATCTTTTATGAGCACTTATTCAGGACTCAATAAATTAGGTGAAGCTCATTTCTATATTGGAATTATTAATCAAACTATACTCACCCAATTTATTTTTAACTCTGATAATTTCTAATTCACTCCAATATTTTAATAAGACTTTTTATAAATTAATTTTAATCAACAACCAATCCTATTTAATGATTAATATTACTTTGTCACATTAACTGATAATCAAATGTATGTTTTCAATGGATATGAGAATCAAAAAATTAATATTTCTCCATTATATTACTAATAAATTCCATAATAAACTTCTATTTTGTATATTGATTATTCAGATTAAATTTTAATTCAATCTGTAACTAAAGCATCTCTTTATCAAGTAAATCAACCTATTTTAGTGTTTCAAAGTTCCAAATTAAATTAATAACTAATCTTTAATTATACTATTAAAGCAATTAGCTCACTTAATAAATTTGATGTCTGTAAATAGAAGTTTAAATAATAATCAATTTCTGAAAATTTTATTCAAGTTCAATAGTTTTAAAATTGTTCACAAATCAATGCAAATTTATACAACCCTTAAATCAAATAAATTGATGTTGGATTATGTGCATTAGGACCAAATATTACATATTCAGCTGGAACCTTTATAAAAATTGAAAAATTAGGAATTGATACTTAAATTGGATAATTTGCAGTCAAAGTTGATGAATTAGAACTCTTCTTTTAAGAATTGGCCATTTATTAAATCAATTCCATTTATACATTTTAAAGTTATCCCAGAGAATTCACCTATTTTACATATCTGATTAATCCTTTAAATAGTAAACAATACATTTAACTAATTTAATTTAACGATTTTTAAATTGAATACTAAATTTGCGATAAATGGATATGTTAAAATACCACTATTATTAATCTGGATTATAAACTGACAATGTCCTAAATAGGAGCAGATATAAGTAAAAAGGAAGATTATATGTTATTGATAACAAATGCTGCAACTTCATATTAATTGTATGTTTATTAATTTTAGAATTTAAAACAAGTGGACATACTAGTACTAAATGTTGCAGAAGATTTGAATATTGATCCTACTTTTTCAATTTAGTAAATTATGCTCTCAGGCCCTTATTTATACTTAATTATTGATAATCCTAATTAATTGGTAATTTATGATATATACAATTTCAATTTAGTTTAGTTTGATGCTACTAATTTGTAGCCAAGAAAATTGGAATAAAATTATGCCTCTTATTAAGATAATATCTTTTTGGATAACACAATTAATCTTATCATTTTTAAAATGGTTAATGGTTAATTTACAGTCGGAGCATAAATTCCTTATCCAACTAATTCTGTCAGTGTAGCTTTAGGGTTACTCTAAGATGGTGTTTATATAGCTCTCTAAAGCAATTCAGGATCATCATATTTGTACTATTATTCAAGACAATTATTATTTTAAAGTATCATAAATTAACAGTTTGTAATTCAAATTCCTTTATACAATGCTTAATATATTTAACCAATGATTAGTTCATTCAGTTCATAATACTTCTATATTTAGATGTTAATGCCTGACAACAGTATTTAACTATGTATTTTCAAATCGGATTATTATTTGCTTTATTTAACCTATTATTTTAAAGAGCAATTTTATTCAATAAGTGTAATTTATGTAGATACTCTTCAGGATTACGATTTAATTGGATTTTAATCTGCGTAAGAATTTTCAATTCTCTAAAACTATTGGCATGTTTCAGTTATTTTAAACTCCGAATTTTTGGTTCCTGGAATTCAATTACTTAATGATACATAAATTATGCTGATTTGTTCAAACAATTATATAAATGAATACATATTTTCATTTCCAGTATCAGTCAACAATCTATATTATGAAATTTAAAGAACAATTTAATCAGGTCCAATTGTGAATTAGACAAATTAATATTTTGATATTAAGGTAAATCCCTTAGAGTACTTTTCAGGATCGATAATCAATTACAATGTAAAATCTAGAGGAAAGAACGATGCCTATATAAGTTAATTTATAATTGATCACTATTTTAATTTTGAACCATCAATAAATAGCGCAACATATTCTGAAAAAAAAAAGTTAATATTTGGAGTGAATGATCAATATGCAGTTATGTTTAATTTGTAAAATAACTAAACAACAATTATGTATGAATACAATAATAATCAATACACAAATTGTCCCTTAATTTTTGTAGAATATTATCAATAATAACCTGTTTCATTTTGTACAAATAATACAGATACTTATGTGTATTTGAGTAAAGATTAGATTTATTCATTATAAGTTCTTACAGGAACTGCTATGCCAAATTTATTTAATGGATATTATATGGATTATGTATTGATTATGGGATTTTATCAAAATTCATTACCTAATTGTTTATTAATTAATACTTATTATATTACTTGGACAGATGCATTTCTAATGAATTTGATTGAAAAGACAGAGAATTGTGTATATTAACTGTTTACATTTACAATGCTGAATATAGATTTAAATCCTAGTAATCTATCTGCACCTCAATGTGTAGGTTGGATAGGTATAACAGATGATATATCAACATTTCCATTCCATTATAATTGTTTTAACTTTTCAAATCCAATGATGGCAGTAAATGTTTATACACCAAAGTAACTCTTTATTTAATCTATACTTTCTAATTCAATTCAATTAATTTAGATTTCATAAATAGGAAAACCTATTGTCTACACTAACTATTCTGAAATAAAACTCTTATTTGGAAGTCAAAATAATGCATATTCATTTATAGTTTTTGTTTATTAAGAGAGCATTAAGATTGGTGATTAATTACTGATATTTTAATAATTTAGTAATCAAAAGGCCATTCAAACAGTAAGTGGTTATAATAGTAAAGGTATTTTAACAGTGATTTCATTGTTTTAATAAAAAGTAGGGTCTTAAATATTTCAAACATTGTGTATATATTAACCATTTAATTTTGATTTTCCAACTAAATTAAAGGTGATAGAATTTCTATTTTGTAGAACTTTACATTATTCATAACCATATACACAAAAATATACACCCTTTATATTTTATTTGACTGATGATTTGTTACTTACAAACCAACAAATGCTTAAAATTTCTTAAGAACTTAAAATTTCAGTCTATGCATTCCCTCATTCTGAAAGTCTTATTTATTTAAATGCTTCTAATTTTGATTCATTCCAAAATTTAACAATAAATATTATTTAAATAGATTTACATCGTACTTATGTTGGATGGATTGTGTTTGCTATATTAATTGTACTCTCTATAGCAATAATTTGGGGATATTAATATATCAAGAAATTACGCAACATAAATACTGATACTGAAAATTATATTGAATTATGAGATATATAATAATATATTGAATGAATATTTTCATTATTAGATTATTCAATTACCAAAACCCGAAGCTTCCTTAAAATTCCTCATAACTTAATTATCTGAATTGTTATCCCATTAAGCCAATTCTATACGCTCTTGCATCTTGTTTAAAGTTTCTTTTAGCATATCTGCAAATTCTAAAGACATATCATCAATCTTCTTTCTTAATTCAGCTATATCTTAATCTTTCTTTTTTAGTTTCTCTTCATAGCTAACTCTATAATCTGTTATCTATTATTCTTTGGTTTCTATGCATACTTTATTATTTACGTACTAATAACCTCATCTTTCTCTTTGACAGTTGCATTCAACTCATTAATATCTTTAAGTAATTCATCTTACATTTATTTATATTATCTATTCATATCTGTACTTATATTGAATAATTTTTCTTTTTCTCCTTTGAAATCTTTGTCTAAACTTAAATATTTTTGTTGTAACTGCATTTCTTATGTTTTTGAACGATCAGCTCTCATTTATTCTTCCACTATTCTCATTTATAATCTTTTGGCTTCAAAATCTAGCATAGTAATTTTAGCTGCATTATTTTGTGCTCCATCATCCTTCTATTTCTTAGGGGGCATATTAATTTATTTAAATTATAATAATAAATATACATATATACATAGACATATAATATTTAATAAAATGTATATTTCAATGCTTATGATGTTTCCTAATAATATGATATTCAATATTACTTATTATTTTTTCTAGATTTACTTGTGTCTTTATCTTTATCCTTCTTTTTTTTAATGCTTTTTTTTTTACTTTTCTCTTTTGAATTTTCTCTACTCCTAGATCTATCTTTTTCTTTTTTATCTTTATATTTTTCTTTTTCTTTATATTTTTCTCTTTCTCTTTCTCTATCTTTTTCTTGTTCTTTATCTTTAGCTATTTCTTCTTTGAACTCCTGTTTGCGTGCTTCCTCATCCAATATTTTCTCTAATACCAATCTACGAACCTGTAACTTTTATAATTCTACTCTAATTGTTGAAAATCCTTAATGAATTCTTCCATCTAAATGTGTTCTAATATTAGAAATTAAATAATACTTGACTTTATTCTCAGTTTCATAAAGAGATTATCTTGCCCCACATACCTCACAAATTTTATATGTTTTAAATGGGTTGTTTGTACCCTCATATGCTAATAATACATCCTCTCTAGCCTTTTTTAGATTGTCTGCTTCCATAATCAATCTTTCAGATTCATCTATCTTACCCTACTCTCCCATTTTCTCACTCTAATCTGTTAATAGATTTATTTATCTTTCCATATTGTCTAATCTATCTTATATTTCTTTAGGTCGATCAGCTACTTACAATTTACTTGATTATTCAACTTACTCTTCATGTTTAGTCAAGATCTTATCCACTTCCTTTAACTTTTCTTGGATGTAAGCTNTAATCTTTCTTTTTTAGTTTCTCTTCATAGCTAACTCTATAATCTGTTATCTATTATTCTTTGGTTTCTATGCATACTTTATTATTTACGTACTAATAACCTCATCTTTCTCTTTGACAGTTGCATTCAACTCATTAATATCTTTAAGTAATTCATCTTACATTTATTTATATTATCTATTCATATCTGTACTTATATTGAATAATTTTTCTTTTTCTCCTTTGAAATCTTTGTCTAAACTTAAATATTTTTGTTGTAACTGCATTTCTTATGTTTTTGAACGATCAGCTCTCATTTATTCTTCCACTATTCTCATTTATAATCTTTTGGCTTCAAAATCTAGCATAGTAATTTTAGCTGCATTATTTTGTGCTCCATCATCCTTCTATTTCTTAGGGGGCATATTAATTTATTTAAATTATAATAATAAATATACATATATACATAGACATATAATATTTAATAAAATGTATATTTCAATGCTTATGATGTTTCCTAATAATATGATATTCAATATTACTTATTATTTTTTCTAGATTTACTTGTGTCTTTATCTTTATCCTTCTTTTTTTTAATGCTTTTTTTTTTACTTTTCTCTTTTGAATTTTCTCTACTCCTAGATCTATCTTTTTCTTTTTTATCTTTATATTTTTCTTTTTCTTTATATTTTTCTCTTTCTCTTTCTCTATCTTTTTCTTGTTCTTTATCTTTAGCTATTTCTTCTTTGAACTCCTGTTTGCGTGCTTCCTCATCCAATATTTTCTCTAATACCAATCTACGAACCTGTAACTTTTATAATTCTACTCTAATTGTTGAAAATCCTTAATGAATTCTTCCATCTAAATGTGTTCTAATATTAGAAATTAAATAATACTTGACTTTATTCTCAGTTTCATAAAGAGATTATCTTGCCCCACATACCTCACAAATTTTATATGTTTTAAATGGGTTGTTTGTACCCTCATATGCTAATAATACATCCTCTCTAGCCTTTTTTAGATTGTCTGCTTCCATAATCAATCTTTCAGATTCATCTATCTTACCCTACTCTCCCATTTTCTCACTCTAATCTGTTAATAGATTTATTTATCTTTCCATATTGTCTAATCTATCTTATATTTCTTTAGGTCGATCAGCTACTTACAATTTACTTGATTATTCAACTTACTCTTCATGTTTAGTCAAGATCTTATCCACTTCCTTTAACTTTTCTTGGATGTAAGCTAATATAATTATCAGGTTCATACTAAACCTATTGCATCTTCTATATATTTCTTCTCTCTTTCTTACTTTTTCATACTCTTATCATTAGTGAATTCATTAATAAAGAATGAATCATGTCTCTTATCACATTCACCTTCATGATCATATTTTTTATGCTTCCAAAGTTCATTGAAACACTTAGATACAAGATTATTCTTGCATACATCGTCGTTCCAATAATGAGCATCATTTTTTCTTTTACTAGCTACCGCATTTCTTTCTTTTCCAAATAATTGATCCAATAATGCACGAGAATCTTGAAACATTAATTTTTATTTAAAATATTTTATATTTATTTTATACATTTATTCTATTCCTGCAAAACCCAATAATACAGATAAATATTATATCTCAAATTAACTTTATAGTTGATTCACCAATTACTAGTATCTTGTCTTGGATTATGCAAAAATCATAAACTTTAAACAATGGAATTTGTTTGCATTAATTACTAACTAAATCCCATTCAAATAAGTTCTATTTCTAGTTGATAATGCATCTCTTATCTAAAAACAAACACTTGTTAATCATATCTCCTTTGGTTTTACAGATTTATGCCAATTTCAAATCTCTAATGATCCATTCAGATTATCCATTTAAAAATAAATATTGTGATGAAAACTTTATTTACTTAATAATATTTGGTCTACAATCAGCTATTCAAATTATTACAATAAATTTATACCTTTTTAAACTTATTAACCACTCAATACATCCCAAACCTCTATTTGATTTTTGCTATTGAGAACATACAATAGATCTGGTGTTGGCATACCAAATACATCAGCATTGAATTACTACTAAAATTGAACCTTCAATAAACGTTTAATATTTTCATCATACACACTTATACCAGTACTTTAATTCTGATCATCAATTCTTTTTGGACCAAATAAATGGAATTACTGAGAAGGTGGATTATGGAAATCGTAACTGAAAACAGATCTATTCTAATATAATTAACAACTCTTGTATTTTTCTACTAACATCTCCGTCTCATTATATTCATTATTCATGAAATCCCATTTCACCAATAAAGGATAGACACTCTTAGATATCTTGAGAATACATTATATAGTAGAATCATTGAGAAACATCACAGTCTTGATTTCCATATTGTCAAATTCTTTTCTTCTTTAGAATTCTAATTTATTATCAAATGGGTAGATTTCAATTTCAATATGGAATATAACCTCTTCATCATAAAGCAATCCACACTTCTATACAACAGCCAAAAACTATTAATTTGGACTTGAACAACAATGTAAGACTTATTTTACTCTAGCCTTGTAAAAGAATTGTTTCTCTAAATTAGTATTCAACAATATGAAATCCTTTTTAACTTTATGTTCAGCAATTATGATTTCTTAATTCATAGTAATAAGGGAATATACACCAGGACAAAACTTAACCTCAAATGTTTTAATTTTAGTTCCCAAAATAACATTCCAACTAGTCACAACTGCATTCTTACTGATAGAAAATAAATGATTATTTGTATAACATAAACCATGATGAATGTCATCCTTGGAAGAATTGAGAATAATTTAAACTACTGCTTATTTGTTTGATTAGAATTTAGTTATCACAATTTATCCATTAGAAGCAAAAGCTACCTAATCATAAGAAATAGGTGTCCAACATGTTACAGCACATCCATAAGTAGTTTATAATTCTTCTAATTAATCATTTTCAAAATCAATAATAAAAACTTCACCTACTTTTTGCTATTTGGCAAATACCAATCCATTTTGTAACATAAGTAAATCATCGCAATCTTCAAATTTCTCAGATAACACTTTTTATAATTCGATCACTTTATTGGTTTTAGGTTCAAACTTATTATATTTTGGTTCCATTTGATTAGGTTTTCCCAAATTGGATGTTCTCCATAACATGATTTCCCCATCTTAGACACCTATGATTCTAGGTATGTATATGACACTACCTTGGATTAGGATGATCTGATACACAAAATGCTGTAAGTGCTTATTCTATCAATATTGTCTTCTTATTTGTTTCTGGCTCAATCATCATTAAAATGTCTGCAAATATTAAATAGATCTTATTATGAACTGCCACCATCTAATATGGCATATTCTCTATCAATCCCTTGTATTCTTTTTTTAATTTCATTTCCTTATCCCATATTGCTAATGAATCTGCTCCAGATGTATCACATAAACAACCATTAAATGCTATTAGGTTATTCATAGAAGGCTCTAAATAATCATCACTTATTGGAATCTAATCGTAAGCAATTCTATTACTTGATCAAATTGCTAATCTTATACTGTGACTTTTAATTCCAAATTCAATGATTCTAATGAAGTTTATTAAAACTATTGACTCTACTTTTTATTCACATGAAACTTCTTCTTCTAAGGTATGTCAATACCAGGAGGTGGACCAATTTAATTATCATCATCATCACCTAATCCAGGAGGCGGGTTCATTCAATTATTTAATTTATTCTTTAATTACACAATAGGTACTTTTTATTTATATCTTATCATTAAATAATATTCATTATTTGTAATGTTTTTTACTCTTATGATGACTTTTTCGATGCTTCTTCCCTTTACTTTTAGACTTCTCCTAATCGTTAAAGTCATAATTCGGTTGAATCTCTCCAGGCTCAGGTTCATGTTCTTATTTAACATTTTTAGTCTTCTCTGGTTCTACTTGACTAAGATCTTATCTAACAGAACCTTCTCCCTTTGATTTCTTCTCTTTCTTTTCCTTCTTCTCCTTCTTCTTCTTCTTTTTTCTCTCACTCTAATCCTTCTCTGAAGTCTATTATTATATGGGTTCTTCTTGAATTTGAGTTGATTATTATTACTATTATTATTATTATTATTATTATTATTACTACTATTATTACTATTATTATTATTATTATTGTTACTATTACTATTATAATTATTATGATTATTAACTCACAACAGGTACAATTGGTATTTATTATGATTATGTCTGTTATTATTATTATTGTTAAAGATTAGCTACAAATGATTCATACTATGCTCTTTTTTATTCTTCGACCAATCCAGCTAATTTTGGATTCTCTTAAATCTTTTGATTAATTATAGGTAACATTTCCTCATAAGATTTATAATCAGGTAATGATTTTAATAATTTAATGTATCTTTTGCACATCTTCTTGTATCGTTTAGATTAGATATTGGATGACTATTTAATATTTTCTTGGAAGTAACGATAGTAATATTTTTTTTCATGAGATGGCATTTTGGTCCAGATTAAATTATCAATAAATAGTGCATCCACTTCCTCAAAGCTAACATTGGTCAAGACCTTAACTCCCTTTTGTTAGAGATGCATTTTTAACTCTGATTTGTACAGTTAATGGTTCTACTTTAAATGTGAAATGAAATCTTAAAACAATTCATGTGGTTGTGATCCTGGTTATCCGAGCATGCAAATAAATCTATCATCTTATTATATTGTCTATACAAATTAACCCCATTTCGTCTTATGTGTCAATAAACCTTCGGCAAGATGTTCTTAGAGCAATTCCCTAAAATTGATTCTATTCTGTCTGTACTTAGAGATGATTGACTATCTCCACTATTCATATAGAGGATTGATAACCTAAACATAGAACTAGTTTATACCTCTTCAAATACTCCTAAAGCATCTATTGGTAACATCTACTACAATAGTCTGTCTTAACTGAATAACTTTAAGCACTCTTCCCAAGTGGAACTATGACTTAATACTCCTATTTCTATATGTCTTTGTAACCTCTTTCTAAAATCCTCAGTAGTAGTTTTCCTACTCTCCTTCATCTGCTCTTACTCTTGCTTATATAATTTATCTAAATAATCCTGGAATAAATTTTCCCTTTCCTTTTCATCAGGGATTGCTTTCCATCTTGCATCTGTAACAAGATAACTTTATACTTTCCATAATTTGATATCTGATGACAAGATCTTATGTTCTTCCAACATCTTCATAAAATCTTCCTTTGCCATACTCAATTTGGTTTTGTTCTCTTCCTTCTCTTATTTCTTCAACTCCTCCAAATATTGATTATAAATCTTCTTCTTATGACTTATACTCCCTATACACTTCCATCTTGAATCACTTTACAATTGCTTAACAACTGAATCCCATTTCACACTCGATGTGATCTTATTATCCTTCAATAATTATGTGAACTAATCAATAGGATTCGGTGGAATGATATCCTCCTCCTCTCCTGATCTTAATTAATATTATAATTCTATACGTATATTGCTCCTCCTCTGGTTTCTACCATTTACTCTCCCTCGTTATTCGATTATACCAATAAGGCTTTCCATCCTCTGTCAAATATTATTACCACTCCTCCTCTACTTCAGATTCCTCATCCTAAAGACATTCAGGTTTCTCCCACTAAGATTACCCAGTCTTCACATTGTAGTAATAAGTCTGACCATTTGCTGAAGAATGCTTTGACCAATATCCTCTCTCATTCTCCACCTCCTTCTCTATGCTATCCATTAAAATTATTTTTAAATATTATTTATTTCACACAAGAACTCTATATGAACTGATATATTTATAAATTCAAAATTTAATTATCAATGGAAAATTCAAAAACAGAAATTCTTCATTGGATCAATGCTCTACTCAAAGTAATTCATTCTAAATACCTTAGACAAATCTTACAAAAATAGAACAACTTGGCAATGGAATAGCCTACTGTAAACTACTTAACATGATTGATCCTACTTGTTTGAATCCTACTAAAATTGTCCTAAAAACTAAAACACAAATTGATCACATCAACAATCTCAAACTATTCCAAACTGCTATGCAAAAACTTCACCTAAAAAAACAATTCGACATTGACAAAGTCAGCAAGTGTTACTTCCATGAAAATTACGACCTAGCCTTATTTCTCAAGAAGCAATACACACTAAGATTCTCTGCATCAAACAAAGAAAACACATCACTCAATAATTCCCTCATCTGTGAAAATCCTCCAAATATTATTGATGAACAATAAACTTCCAATAATGTCTTATTAACTTAAATAACAACCATAATGCTTAGTACTGACTAACCTGAAACCAAAGTCCTACAAACCATAAATTTATTGAAATCTCATGATTTCATTAAAAATGATTCTCACTTCATTGAGAATAATACTCTTTATGAGAATTCCAATAGCATATTTACTCTGTTCAACAACTAAAATCAAAATGTTTTTAACACTGATAATCTTTTCAGAACAGATTCGAAAAAATAGCAATCCCTTGAATAAAAGAGCAATTTATTATGTGAAACTCCAGAAATGCTTCTGGATCCCCATTCAAACAATGAGGATATATTTGAACATCAATCATCATCTAAATTGATTATGAAAATACAATCCCAATCAAAGTAACAATTACAAATAGAAATGAAAAAAGAAACACCAAACTTTTGTGAATCTTCATTTATTCCATAACCATAACAAAATAGTCTAGCTGAATTCATAAAATCAGAGAGTAAATAACAACAACAATATATGCATTAATACTCTTTATAAAAATAACTTTAGATGTAAAATCAAATTAATAATAATCCATCATAAGAGTATCAATCTCCATTCAGAGATTAAGTTGTTTAATAATAAATATCTTCATAAAAAGAGATTTTTAATTAAACTACAAATCCCCAGATGTTTTCGTCCTACAAAAAAGAAACTCCTTAAAACAACTCTGTGTTCTATTCATGCAAAGATTAAGGAGCAATAATTGAAGAATGATAATAATATTAATAATATGATTTTATTATTTTTATTATTTAAGTTAAATTAGAAATACAATTAAAACAATAGATCATTTTGTACGAAAGAGAGTAGGATTCGAATTTCTTAGGAGAAATAGAAATATGATGGAAATAATTTTGTAAATCAATTAAAGAGGGTAGAGTCGAAGTTATTTTATGAAACACTATCTACTGTTTTTAGGTAATGTAATGATTACTATAACTTAAAATCTTAAATGACAGATCAAATACTTATGCTTTAAATCAGGAAAAAAAATAGACAAAGCACTTTCAACTGATAGACAGCTGTTATTTTTGTTCCAATCAGATCTTTAATTGTAGGATTGATTATGGCTAAAATGAATTCTCACAATAGTTGTTCGATTCATATATTTGAGTAAGGTTTGTCTAAAGCTTGAGATGAAAACATAAAATAAATTAATATATATGATTTAACAATAATAATCCCCTTATTGGTCTAAAATATTGGAGAATTAATTATAGGAGAAACAACAATATGATAATCAATTCAAATACGATTAAGAATTAAGGAAGTAGAGATACAAGTAAGAATTGCAAACTGATATGATGCTTCATTAATAGAAGAAATAAGTTCAACAAAATTAAAATTAATAACTAGAATCTATAATGTTGGAGACTTTAAGATAGAGGGAATCTAAGAAATTGAAAGAAATGGAGGAAAGGAAAATAAAGTAAATTTAAACAAGTTTAGACAACCTGAATAATCTCATGATTAAGAAAAAATTAAATATGGAGAGATCTTACAACAACCAATAATAGGATAAGGAATTCATTAGATAACAATAGATCAAGGAATTGAAAAGCGTTGAAGAAAAGAAATTGAAAAAAGAAGAAGAAGCAAAATTATTAAAATTGACTTATGATGATATGATCAATAATAAAAGAAAGTTGAGATAAGAATAATAGTAAAATATCCAATAATCTATTCCAACATTAACATTAGAATAAAATAGGACAAAGATAGATACAAAGAAGTATCAAGAAGAATTACAAAAGTAACTTGAATAAAAGTAAAAATATTTGGCAGATTTGAGAATTAAAAAGATAGAAGAAAGGTAGCGTGTAGAGTAAAAAATAGAATTCGAAAAATAAAAAATGATGGAGAATAAGCTAAAAAATTATTAAGCATATAAATAATATGAAGCTGAAAATTATGAATTGTTGGTTGATAGAAAAAACTAATAGTAATAATAGACTAATCCTTAAGAATTAAAACTATTACAAAATGCATCTACAAATAAATTGCCACGAATATATTAAGACAATTATTAGCCTCTTGAAAGGAAAAAATAGTTAGAATTGCTTGATAGGGACTTACTAAAGTATTAATTATTACAGTAGTAACAAAAGATAATAGAAAATAATCACACAGCAATTAATTCGATTCAATAATAAGACGGAACAAGATCTGAAACCTCAAAAAACACCAAATAATCAAAACAAGTTAATAAATAGGTGTAATAATAAGAAATTCGTGTCTCTTCTCCATCTCAAAAATCAAGAAATTAAAAATAAATTCCAAATAATATAATGGTTAATCTGAATTAAAAATATGTACCAAAAAAAAGAAGTTTTAATATAGTGACAGGAATAATAACATCAAATTGATATCAATTATTTTATTTACTCAAATGTAATTAAATAATTATAATAAAATCTACATATCATCATTTCTTTTAAAGATGTAAAACACATAAATCTGCATAGTTATAGTTAAAAGCATATAATTTTGAAAACAGGATATCAATACTTTTATTATATCTTTTTAATCATTTCAATGAATAAGACAATTTATGCAAGTATAATAATTAATAAAAAACGAATTCAAGTATGGCATATTAAAAACTTGTTTTGATAGCTCTAATTTGTGTTGTCACCTCAACATCAATATAAAAGTAATTAAATAGAGAAATAATGAAAGTAATTAAGGTGTAATGGATTAATATGTGAATCCTGGTGTTTAATAGTAGATAGATGAATTAACATAATCAAAGATTGGGCATTTAGTTGTAGATTTAGCAGAAGTGACAATGAGAGTTACTGGAGCTGTTGATTCTCTTACTGAAGGAGTTAAAGCTTTTGGAAGACAAATTGAAGAAAGATTAAAATTGGAAAATACTTAATGGGAAGTTGTTGAAAGCGAACATAATGCTAAAGTTATATCACTAAGTTCATAAGCAAATTAAGCTGAATTTGATATCAATAGAGAAAAGAAAGTTTTGAATTCTGAATTAATACCAAGACTTCATGAATTAGATGATGTTTTTTATTAATATTTATTATTATAGATACTTTTAGGACTTAAAGCTAAATAAACAGATAATGCTTAATCATTTAAAGAAGCTGAAGCTGCCAGAAATACATAACATTAATCATTTGTTTTAACAACTACTGAATTTACAGATGCACTTAGAAATATTGATGAAGCATTAGATTTATTAACTGATCTTTTTAAATCTGGTGAAGTTAGAGCTGCCTTTATTGAAGTTTCTGATGAATAAAAACATAAAGTTAATAAAGCATTGAGATAAGTCAAAGCAAATACTGAAAATTTTGGTCATTAATATTCATCTTTCATTTAAGCTTTAACCAATTTAACTGAGGGTTTCAATTTCAAAGATAGATAAGTATTAAAGGAAATGTGTGATTTCTTAAATAGTTTAAGATTGAATATTTTTGATGCTTTAACTAAAGCCTATAAAGATGAAGACAGTTAAAAATAATAAGATGAATTAAGAAGATAATAATTGACAGCTGAAAAAGCAGTCTTTGATTAACAATATGCTGATTTCTATTAAGAAAGGGAAGATAAAACTGTTAGAATCTCTGATGTTTAAACTATGATTTCTACAAGGGAAACTGATCTTAAAGCATATTAAGATAGATTAAGAACTGAAAATAATAATTATTCAGCCAATCTTAAAATACATGATGATATTGTGGTATTTATTATTGATCTTATTCTTTTTTTTAGTCTTCTGTCTAATAAGAATTAGCAGTCTTAGCTAAAGCATTATAAGTTGTTTAAACACCACCATTCTTAGATTTCTTAAATGGAAGAATAGCAAAAGCATGAGTTAATAAAATAACATATTAAATTATGATTTTTTTTTTGAATATTTAACACAATCGCCATATCTGAACTTAGATTCAAACATTATTTTTAAATTTTAATCTAAGAATATTAATAAGTTATGTATGGAATGGAGGGAAGACATAGTGATATAAAATTGATTGAGTTAAGTTAATTAAGAAAGTGAAATTTTTTATTTTTTGATGTTGGTGGTTAGTATAATTTTAATATATAAATAAAAGTGAAAAAAAACGAATGAATAATCCATATTAACCATATAGACCACCTTACTCTAGATTGGGGAATACTCCTCCTTAGAATGCAAATATTCTATCTTATGTAGACTCAGTATTATAGAAATCAAGAAACATGTATGGACATCGACCATCTGATCCATTGACAAGATATCCATAATAATATGGAAATACAGGGATAATAAAAACAGATACAGATGTTAAGAATATAAGTAGTTCTCCTTTACTTGTTTCTTAAAAATCGATGGTGCAACAACAGACATTAAAAAGCAAACTAGAGTATTAATCTCCTAAGAAATGCGAAGAATTTTAATTTCAATAAGAGCAGAGGAAGAATGTTGGTTCAGTTCCTTAGAGTAATAAGAGTAAAGAGGAGAATGAGAATGTAAAGATATTTAAAAATAATGAAGGTAAAAGTGATTAATGAGTAAGAGAAAAGTGAGATGCTAAAATACAAAAACTTTATGATAATAAAGAGATTGGGTGTGGGTAAATATAGTGAAGTGTATTTGGCAATACATATTAGAACAGGATTTTTGGTTGCATTAAAAGTGATATAGAAAGCATTGATAATTAAGGAACTGATGTAAGGTTAATTGGCTTGGGAAATAAAAATTTAGTATCTTTTAGAACATCCAAATATAACAAGATTGTACACATTCTTTTAGACTTGTAAGATTAATAAAATACTTGTATAGAGACTGAGATTGTATTAGTATTAGAATATTGTTCTCATGGATAATTGAACAGTGTACAATAGACAAAATAGAATAAGAGATTTAATGAGAAGGAGGCAGCTTAAATGGTGTAATAGATAACATTAGCTTTGATGTATATTCACAATTAGGATGTGATACATAGAGATATCAAACCAGATAATATCTTATTGAGTTTTGGATAAGTTAAATTAGCAGACTTTTCATTTTGTGTCTATTCTCCAGATGAATACAGATAAACCTAATGTGGAACATTGATATATGCATCACCTGAGATCTTAGAAGGAGACATGTACGATAAGAAGATAGACATATGGGGTTTAGGAGTATTGACCTATGAATTATGTTTTGGAAAACCTCCATGGAAAGAGAACTAATAGGAATTAATGAAAACAGTAGAAATATTAAATAATATCTAAAGGCATGTTTTATGATACCTTATACTGCATCAAGAGATTTGAGGGACTTTATTGAAAATCTAGTTAAAAGATTATCTCGTGAGAGATATACAGCTTAATAAGCTTATAATCATGCATGGTTGTAGAGAAGTATGCAAGTGGTTCCATTCTATATTTCAACTAATGAAGATTTATTTAATTGATATATTTTTATGTTTTATTATATTAATTATTACCATATATATTTATTATCTTGTTATTTAATATTTCATTAAATGGACATTTCAGCATCTGATCCAAAATTATCAATAAAGTTTTCAGGATAGATTTTATGATAATATTTTGGAATACCAGGTAGACTCTTAATATTATCATCAATACTATTCTCACTAATTTAATATTAATTAATATTTTTACTGATCTGATGTTTTAGCTATTAAACCTTATTTTCTTATAAAATTAAATAAATATTCTCTAACCATCCTCCATCTTTTTTTAACTCTTTTAAGTTGTTCTCCTCTATTAATAAATAATCTTTTTGTTAACCAATTTTTATGTGCTAAATCAGGGAATTTAGAATTAATTTTATCTCTAAGTTTATCTAAAGCAGCCTATTAATTTTCTAAATTTGCCCATAGTATTTCCCATAGAATAACAAAAATGAATGTTGCATTGATAACAATTAAGAATATATAAAATGGCCAAATAATTTCTTAATTATCACTTTTATTAGCCGAATACAATGTCATTCCTAAAACAATTGAAGTTCCACATACAATAGTACTGATGTCATCTATTTAATTAAGAAATGGAAGTTTATAAGGTTTATATTTTTTAGTTAATCCAGAATAGACAAATACAATAATAAATACTAATGCAGCTTTAATAATGATTAAATCTTCATAGAAGGTAAGGAATGTAATGATGAAACTTTTCTAATAAACTTTAACAATCTCCCAAAAATATGCTTTAGGTTAATATTCATTATAAAGATAACCCCAACTCTTTCTACTATCTGGATCATCTAATTTTATTCTAATTTTATAGAGATTAAGAAATAAATAAGTTGGAATTAGAAGTCCAAGCATTAAAGCTGATGGTAAAACAAAAGTAATAAGCCATCTTACATGTGAACTTGTATCATATCTGTAGGATACATTACCTTAGATCCAATAGATATCTGAAATTTATCTAAAAGATAATAAGGAAATGAATCCACCTAATAAAGTAGGTTATAAAAAAGTGAATAAATAAATGAGTGTAGTACTAATAGCACTCTTATCTGCACTAACAAATCTAACAATAACAGCAATAGCATAAAGAACAAAGAATGTGATAATGTAAATAATGGGCATAATTAACGCCCAAATCATTCTGAAATATAGGATATCAATAGTTGTCATTTGAATCAGAAAACAATCTAATGAATAACTCATAGATTCGATTGGAGATCCTACTGTTTTAAATGCTTCAGATAAAGCACTAGGTAATTATAATTGAAATGTAGCTACAACTCCAATGATTTATAAATAATTAGTTAACACTTTAATAAGAACACCTCCATAACCAGTTTTTGGATTTTCAACATAAAACTTCTTTAATTTATTTCCCAATACCATATTTTCAACCATCTCCATAGTACTTTTAACTGACAACATAATTGATATAATAGTCCATGCACTAACTAATGCTACTTTTATGGTATTATCTCCAATCGAATCACAACTGCCACATTTATATTATCCACTAATAGACCATGATCCTTTCCCTTCTATATTATAAACATCACATTATTCACACAATGCACCTATATGACCAGTAAAACAAGATGGATTTCCTGGTATCCATCCTCCTTCACAATTTATTTCCATATTCAAACAATATTCTATCTTTACACTATAACTATATGGTCTCCAAAATCCAGCTCTCAATTTTACACTTGCCGAAGTCACTGACTCTGTTGATAATGAATCTCTTATTTAGCATCTCTCTCCTGGTGATACTGAATATTAATCCAATGAGGAATCACATACAATACATGTACCATCATCAGCTCTTTTTTACTCTCCTAATTAACAATCCAAAGATTAAACATTTATTCTCAAACGATAGTCTTCTATTAATTTACTTAATAAATATGGAGATTCAGAATTAAATATTGGGATCTTCACAGAATTACAAACTAATTCTAATTATAGAACTTCCTCAGAATTTCTCTTTGGATCAAAATATATTATCAAATCATCTAAATTATAATCTTAAGATTTTGTATTAAATTAAACTTCCTTTAAATTAGAAAAACTCTCATTGTCTTATGATAAAACTGTTGATATCTCTAAATTAGATGTCGCTTTTGATACAAGATATGATTTTATCTGACATTTTGTTCCATCTAAATTCTATATTTTATTTTATTGTTTATTCAATGCTAAAATTCTAAAAGTTAAATTGTAAGATACAAATTATTATGTTGTCTCATTATAATACTTATAACTACTTATTGCCTAACCACTAGGTAAAACTATATATTCTTTTGTATCATTATTAAAACTATATGGCTTTATTGTTATTTAATCTATAATTGTTGTAGAATTAGAGAATATTACCTTCTTTTCTAAAAATGTCTTACCTCCATCAAGTGACAATGTCAATTGAGAAGGATATTCAGCATAATTTTAACCATATTTGCTAGCGTAATTATTTATTAGACGTAAATTAAGTTTATCAGGAGAATTCAGAGTGTAATTACTTAAATAGAATGCTCCACCTATTTAAGCAGAATTAGATGTCAAATCTGAATCATAAATATTAAATGTTGCCGATTTAGATATAAAATAAATAACTGCTCCTGATTATTAAGCTTAATTTTAATTAAATAAACATGAATCAATAAGGAGATTTATGTTATCAACATAAAATACACCTCCATATTAACCAAAATTAGATTAAAATTCACTATGACTTACTGTAATTGTATAGATGAGCTATTACTTAGATTAAGTACTTATAGCTAATAATCGATTAGAATTCAATTATCTAAATACTAAACAGCTATATCCACAATAATTTTTATTAAATTTAATATTCTCAAATTTAATGATGTTAAAACCCATATCATAATAATCTGTAAAAACATGAATTATTAATCCTTACTAACAATTCGAACAACTTATATTCTAAAATTAACTATCTTTATAAGTGATTTTAAAATTCTATTATATTGAATCTATCTAAATTAAACAGGAAGGATTGCTAAATCCTTAATAAATACTTTTGATATTTATCTATCCATAATAATTGATCATAGAACTGTTAATGCCTTCATATAGATAAGATGGTTAAGAAATCTCTTAAGTACACTCCATTAATAATGGTGAGTATATTATTTCATGTTTCTCCACAGGGATTTCCTCATAATTGTAATTACTAATATTATACATAATAAAGTTCGAGAAAGTCAATAAATTCACAAAGGAGAATATCATCATTGGTTAAGAATACATTAGACAATCGGATATACTCATCTATTTTAAAATGACTTATCCTGATTGAACTTCAAATAAACCACTAAATTGATTTGATATAGTACTCATCTAAATATATAGATTTCCCATTAAGGATATAAAATAACTAGTTGAAAATGTACTTAATTCTATTTCTGATAAATAAAATAATAATCCAACATATTCCTTGAATCCAACATAGCTATTTCTTACAACAAAGTTTTATATATAAACATCAGCATTTGATGTAAATGGAATTCTTAAAAATGAATAATATAATGAAAATGATTCACTCACTGTAATATTGATCAATCTCAAATTATTCTTTACTTTTGATGGGTTGATAAAAAATACACCACCTTCTCTTCTACTATAACTTCTTGTTATTTAAGCATTAGTTATATTCATATCTAATTGAGATAATGAAGCATCAATATAGATTGTTCCTCCTTAAGCTGATGACACTTTTTCTAAACTTGCTCTACAATCTATAAAACTTATATTCTAAATTTTTATTATCCCTAATTATATTGGTGTTATATATAATGCACCTCCCTTCTAAGATCTTGATTCCAATATTAATACATTTTCCATTTCCAAAATATTAGCTGATAAATATGCACTACCACCTTATGAATATATTGGAAACGCTTATGTGTAATTCTCCAAATATAATACTTAATTTTATTATATACCCCAATAGATATTCTATTAAATAGTATCCAAAGGTGGCAAATTCGATTACAAAAAACTACTATTCATTATTGTTATTTCTAAACATTTCAATACCAAATTCGAATTCTATCCATTTGTTATCAAATTTCTTTCAAAAGTTAATTACTATAATAATATTCGCGAGTAAGGACTCGAAAACAATATTGTTGAAGATGAAATAAAAGATAAATCTTAAATATAACTATGTTAATAATTATGAAAGAAAGTAACATTTCGTATTATTACATCTTAATATTGCTCTGAATTTATTTAAATTATTGCCTATTATTCACTAATCTTAGTCAATAAAAGCAAATTTTAAGAAAAAACACAATCCTCTATTATAATACTTTCATCTTATCTCACTTTCATCTTATCTGAAGATTTTATCAAAATTAGTGGTAAATTAATACTTCTTAAATTGCTAAATTCAATATTTCTTAATTTTAACACTTTAGAATTATACAAATATAACAATGCTGTATATCCCTACACAAACATCTATTTTTATGCACATGAAAATGCATTATGCAAAAAAGCTGTCTTTTATTCAGAATGCTGAGCTTTCAAGTTTATTATTTAAACATCTATACTGTTTAAAATTGCAAATTCAGGAAATGATTATTTTCTTATAATTTATATATTTTTTAATTAGATTTTGAGTACATCAAGATATATTGTAGAATCTTCAGAAACTACATCTTTTTAACTTAATTTATTAGATTATCCAATCAATTAATTCAAATGAATTTTCAAATCCTAAATTTCTAATGATAATTTAGTAAAAACATCTTAATAAATTTCAATAAATGCTTTTCCACTTGCAAATTTATTATTCTCAAAAATTAAATCTTACATTTTGATAAAGTTTTAATCATTATCTGAATCAGAATAAGCCACAGTAGCTTTATTTGTAATAAATCTATCAGTTGATGTTTCTAGCGTATTTCCAATAATTTTTAAATTCTGTAATTAAAACAAAGGTAGTAACAACCAAGTTGAACCTAACTTAAATTAGCTTTATTCTAACTAACAATCAATCAAATTTACTTAAAGGAATCCTTCAAAATTAAGAAATGTAGAAGCTGTAAATGTTGAAGTTTATGTTTTCAATTAAATTAATTCTACTTTAGCTTTTCTTATTGATGATTGATAATTTGTCTATAATATCGTAGATTAAGTGAATTACGAATCTTAAACTATAAATGAATTGATTTTGACATTCTAATTTTGAAAGGTTTCAAAAAGTGATAATACAAAAAGTGAAGAGTTTGTAAGAATTGTATTGATAATATAAAAATTAATGAATTCAATATAGACAGTTTAATCAGCATTTAAGCCTTAATACATAAATATTCCATAAGTATTTTCAACTGTCAAATCCTTAAAAGTTATGGTATTACAATTTAATGATATAGGATTATTAATAATAACCTATAATTTAACATTTTGACAACTAAAAATAATATCTTTGAGTTTGAGAACAAATCCATAAGAATCTGAAATGTAGATATTAACATCATTTGATGGATAATTAGTAATTTATAGATTTTGTATGGTAACAGATGAGAATCCTAAAATTTGAAATGTTTTAGTAATTAATATTAATTAGGCTACATTAGTTTTAATTATAATTGGAAGATTAATTAATGTAAAAACATTGCGTCTCAAATTTGTTGCGATAGTTAAATTACTTACTAATTCACATTGTGTAGTACTGGAAATAAAGGTGATTTCAAAATCAATTTTTTTAAGGGTTTTTTGATTCATGATAGAATAAAAAAATTATGTTTCATAAAAAGGTGAAAAGGATTCATAATCAGTTAAAAGAATATTATATTTTAAGAATTCTTATAGTGTCCCAGTATAGGCAGATTTGGCAGAATTATAACTATTAAGGTCACAATAATAATTGAGTAGTATTTTAATGGAATTATAACAGAGTGAAGTGAGACATTCAACATAAACTCCAATATCTATATCATAAAATAGAGTAGCATCAGTATAAGAAGTAAGACATTAATGTCCATATTTAATTAAATCTGGATACTGTGGATCAAAATAATTATTAATAGATTATATTTCTGTTTTTGATCTTTATCTACAATGAGCACAATTGTAAGGACATTCAATACACTTGCCATCATAAAGACTCAATTGTTAGCCTCTCTCATTTTATTTGCATTTGTAACATACATTTTTTAAATTAATTTTTTTACATTCACAATTGGATTAGCATTTAGGAATACAATAAGTTTAATATAATTCATATCCATCTCTACATGAGGAACAACTAATTTAAAGGTTAGTAGCATTATAGAGTAAAGTTAAATCAATTTAATTATTACTTTATGGAAATTTGGTTGATGAGAAATATGGTTAATAAAAAGGAATAAGTTTTTATTTCCATCCATCTAATATATGTTTATTTTCCATAACACATTAAAAGCAAGGACTTTAACAATCAATTTTATTATCAACTTAAGCAATATTTATAGTTTAAGTAGCTTTAATAATTGAAACGTTCAATTAAAGAATTTTTCCATTATTAAAAATATCAAGACTTTATTCTGTTTCAGTCATTTAATCTGAAAATGAACAACTAGTTAATTTATTAATGTGATTAGGTTTGCATAAAGCACATTCAACAATGGTAGTTTATAAATTAATAGTACGAGGATAATTATATTAAAGTGATGAAGTTATTTGTCCATCTATTCTTTCAAAAGCAATCAAACAATTTGGAATAGGATTTGGATAACAATTCAATCCATCAAGTGAAATATAATATTAATTAATATCTATGCATTTATAACATCTAACATTATCACATATTTAACAGTTTTATCCACATTTTAAACATGTTCCATTACTAAGATATGTAGATTATGGACATGTTGCACATTCTATTCTATCTTCATTAATTAAACATGTTGCACATTCATTACTTTAACATTTAACACATTCTGAATTTAATACTAAATAACCTGATTAACATGTTAAACATTTAAATTCTGAATCACATTCAATACAATTCAAATTTATTATTACACAAGAATTCTAAACTATTTTATGACAAGGCTTGCATTATATTTTTGTCAATATATCCAATTAATATCTCATTATATATGATTAACTATCATCTGTTATTATTCCTAAACATCCTTCACAAACACTTAAACTTGTATCTTTACCTATTATATAATATTCCTAATCAATATTATTCCTCTTTATCTATTGAAAAGCACTATCACTCTCAAATATATCATCATTCTAAAATTATATATAATCTTATGAACAAATCGGATTTTTATACCATTCCATTTAATTTTATAAACAATCAGCACATACTATCTTAAAACTGTTTTTTGAAGAAGGACATTTCTAACAAATTATTTAATCATTAATAGGAATTATAAACTCATCTTCATTACATACATTATTAAAATTAGTTTGAATTAATTAAAGTTATCCTAAATATGATGTATGACCTATGTTTATTATATTCTATTACTTTAACAAACATTATTTTCATCTTCATAATAATTTCGTAAACATAAACACTCATTATTTTTTAATACTTTCAATATATTGTCATTACAACTTAAACAGTGTGTTTTATCAGGACCAAAACATGTTTTACAAATTTTATGGCATCCTATTAAAAATTTTACTATAATATTACTAAATTTATATGTTTGATCATTCTCATAACAAGATTCTAATACTATATTTGCTAAAAATCCATTCAAAGGACTAGGACTGAATTTGTCTCCTCCAAAATTCATTGTTAAACTAGATGATTTAAAATGATTTCTTAAAGGATAGTTATAATTTATATCATAATAATTTGGATCTGAAATTAATCCATCTCTAATTTTTATATTAACATTATAGAATGTTTATTAAATTCCTGATTCAAACATAAAGTAATGCCATTTGGTCATTAAATCAAATATACTATATCCTGATTTTTAATATTTATCATATTCAGTAGTAGTATAAAATGCTAAAGAAGGATAATCATACGAATAGGTATCAATCATAATTGATGAATTTTCTGTGTATTCAGGATCATAATGATAACTCATCATAAATAATCTATCTCCCAAAACATAATCATTTGAATAAAATTAATAAATTGCTATCCGTATTACTGTAATGTCTCCTTAAATTCCATAATTATGATTCAATTTAACCCATCCAGAAAAACTAAATCTCTCTTCTCTATAAGATTTTGTATACATTTATGGAAACGTTGAGCTTATTCCATCTATCAAAACATCAATTACTCCTGTAGTTCCAATAGCTTTACAATAATTATACATTTCACAAGTCAATTAATCTAATGCTAAAAAATCCGACAAGTTCTCCAAATAAACATTACTAAAATATAACTAACTTCTACTGCCTTTGAATTTTTCTACAGTAATATCTGAATCTAATTTTGGGTACACTTAACCAAAAGGTGTACCCTAAAATTCTCCTAAAATATAATTATATTTTCCTTAACTTCTATCCAAGTTTTGTCCTTTCGATTCAAAAACATAATCATCTGTCATTGCACCTACTTTAGCAAACCAAAGGTAAACTTTATATTATTTTGTTGATGGATTATAACTAAAACAATGAAATCCCCAATTTCCTTCCATTAGTTATGAATCCATTCTAAATGATTAAACCCTCTCAATTTGCTAAATTAATGCATTTTATGGTGCTGTTGAATAACTTTAATATGTATAGTGCTCTATATAAAAATATTGATATTCCAACTCTTATAATATCCTTACTGCTGATGATGTTTTATTCGCTTCAAACTACTCAATATACAGTTAAAAACGAGGATTATAATTCTGTAGCTTTTCCATCTTCATTAATGTCGGATTCCATTTAAACCATATACCTATTGTTTACATAGTTGAGAATGTATTCTAAATTTCATACACTGTTTCATCTAATATTTCTAATTTGCATAATCCCATGGCCTAGCTAATTATGTCACTACATCTAATACTTTAATTCATAAAATAGAAACACAACTTGACTTATGAGTATTAACATTAATAATAAATTACTTAATTCTTAATTTTCCGTATTATATAAAATTTGTCCGGATTTTTTAAATTAAGATCATTCTGAATTTCAGTCAAATTCATTACAATTTAAAGAAATTAAACAGTAATTCCGACTTAAATTTATATTTCATACACAATTATTGTTTTTAAACATTTTATTACAATATCCGTATCATTCTTCTTCTAAATTAGCATAAAATGTTTTAGATTGGTTCTGTTTGCTTAAATTTATCATTAAATACTTTTAAGCATAGATTTTAACTTAAATTTAAGAATATTCTATATTTTTAAATTTTCAGTTTCTACTTCACATTCTACTCAAATTTACCTTAAAAAAAGTTTGTAAATCTATCACCTATATGAAAAGGATTCTTTTAGATAACTCAAAACATTTTAAAGTAATTAATAGGGAAGTTTATCATTGTGTTCATCTGTTATCTCTTAATGTATAAAATTTAGCAATTAACAAAGCAAATGAATGCTAATTGCAATATACAAAACTATACTTGAGCTTTTGAAAAGAAATTATGTTCAATAGTTTAGAACCAAAGTATTTAGAGAAAATTTTTATCCAAATTTTAGTGACAATTAAGCATCTATTCTACTTACATATTGCATAGTCTAAGAAATTTAATGATATTAACAATATAATTTCTCATCTTAAATTTATTTGCATTCATTTATTTTAGATTTGAATATTGTAAAAACTATATATATTGAAAAATTTCAAATAAACAAATTTAATTCATTTATGATTTCTCTCATTTTAATTTATCATTGTATAACTATCCTCTTGTAAATTTCTTAAAATTATAAAACATCTCTTAATTTCAATTTCCTTATTTATGAGAAGTTGTAATTGATTATATTCAGGTAATTTATTTTTTCTATATATCCACATTTCAGTTAGAACAAAAATGAAAATACATAATTATGGAATTATTTTAATTTCTTTTTCTTTAAATATAATTTTTAGAAAAATTTTTGCCTTTTTGATTCTTTCAAATGAAATTTTAGATAAATAAGCTTAATAATATCTATTTAATTTCCTACTATATATATTTTTATATTTTTCATCAAAAAGATAATATTTGATTGTTATGGTTATAATGTTTAATTAAGATGAATGTCTTAAATTAAAGGATTTGATAATATGTGATATCATTAGATATTTTAGATTTGGTTGAGGCAGTTTAATTTTAAATGAAAAGTATATAAAAGATGTTAGGTTGTGGTATAATTATATCAATAAAAGGAATAACAGTAATATAAATGTGGAGAATAATATTATAAAATGAGAATTTCAATCATTGGATTAGTGATATGTTTGGCCACATGTTGTAAATTAAGAAATTAAAGTTCTTAAAATATGAAAAAGAGTTTTAAAAGTCGAATTATGGCAGGGCTTTATTACTTTGGGTTGAATTGCATTAAATGTCTAGAGGATGTGTAAGAAATTTAGTTGACTCAATTAATGAGCTTGTAAATTATTTAGAAGAGTGATTAGAATTCTTAGATTCAAATTTTTAACATAGAACAAATGAACACGATGCTTTGTTAGTTTAATTAAATTATAAGCTTAAAATGATGTAAGTTGATCAGATGATGACATTTTATGATACAAAGAAAAGAATTAGTGGAAATGGAAATGAGAAGACATAATTTATTTGAATATCGAGATTAAAATAGATCGAAGGTTGATTAGGAAAATTTAAAAAGAGATAAGAACATGAAGCATATAAAGCTTAAGTTACTAAATTTATGATGCAGTAGCTGCAATAGATGATGCATTAGCTCTTTATTATCACAATTGATAATCTATTATTCGATGAAGTGAAGATGTTTTAGAATTCAATTTAAAAAAATGAATAAAGCATACAATTAAGAAGTAAGATGGCTCCATTTTTGAAGGCTTTAATTATATTAGCATCAAAATAATACTTTTTAGATTAAGGAGTCATACATTAAATTTTATAAGTATTGAATGAATTCAGAAATGCATACTAAAAATGAATTTTAAAGAGAATAAGCTATTAGTTAATAGGCTTTGCAATTGGTTAGATCTGTAAATTTTAGTAATATACAAGTTATAATAAGTAGTTATTCATAATTAATTGAGCATGATTTCATTTATTTTGTTAATTAAAAGATATTAAAAGGTAGAATTCATTTGGAGGTTAAATTTTAAGAAATAATAATTAAATTTGTAAAAATCCTCATCTGTCATATTAAATGTTCTTTTTTTGTTATTTTGCAAGGCACAACTAAAAGTTTCGATTTAGATGTTTTTTAAGTTATTAATTAATATATAATTATATGAATTATTTCTTTTGGGTTGTCTATTTTCTAAATTTTATGTATTTTTAACTTCTATAAATTAAGATGTTCTTCAGTTTTTGAAAAGTCAATTATCTAAAGATTTATATCGTTTAGTGAATCTTACAAATATTTTATAAAAGGTCTTTTATTTTTTAAAAGTATATAATTTATGAATAATATAATATAAAATAATATACAAAATATTAGATATATATTATATATATTTTACTATGCAATAAAATGACTTTATCACTCAAATGATTCCAATTTTGTTGGCCAAATTAAGAGCATCGTTTTCACCTCCTAATCTAATATATGCCTTCTTTTTGCCTCCAAAGGTATTTAAGATCTGAATATAAGCATGTAAATATTACATTGACTTTTCTTACTTTAACTTCATAAATTTTAGAAAATGCTCTTTTAATTTATGGCTTAGTAGCTTTTTGATTAACATAAAAGACCATGGTATTTTCATCTTCCATCTTTTTCATATCTTTTTCTGTAATGAGAGGATGTCTGAGGACATTTTAAAAATCTAAACCTTTTGTCAAAGGTTTTAATTATTTTGTCAATCTAGTGAATTTAGGTTTTCTTTAAAGTGCCAAAGGCGATGCTCTATGGAATCTATTTTAGAAATGAGTTCTAGCTCTGATAACCTTCTTAGTAACTCTAGCATTTTTGGCAGCCTTCTAAGCCTTTTGTGTAGTTGTTGTTGTCTATCCCTTTGGCATTTTATTTAAAATAATTTTTTAAATCTTTTTATAGGTAATTAATAAATATAGAGATTTGTATATAATCAACATGAACAGAAACATCCCTGATTTGCATTATGTTTTAATAAATACTCATCCCTAATTGCATCAGATTCTCTAGGATGAATTAATTTTAAAGGTGTAGCTAATGTACTAATATAATTTAATTTCTTTTTCATTATTTATTTTTATTTAGAAGCTAATAACCACATATTATTATCACCTTCACCTCCTACTATAGCATCTTCAGGTGGAGTGACTATTATTGTTGGAGGAGAAGTCTATTAAAGGAAAGGAGCAGAAGCATAAGGAGATTCTTCTTATGAACTTTCACCTCCAGATTTAATAGCTTATAATTTAGAGGTATCAGAAATTGAGATATCCTTTTCTTAATTTTTATTTGTATCTACATTTGTTAATTTGCATTCTACTAATGATCCTCTTCGGAATATTTTATTATCAGAATCAATTTGTCTTGTCTGAATTAAATTTTCTATTAGCTTGATCATGGCATCTTCAATGTTGTTATTTTCTTTTGCAGATACTTCTTGGAATAATAGTTTCTATTTTCTAGCACTAAGAAGACCAAGCTCTTTTCCTACTTCTCTATTTAGATCTATTTTATTTCCTAATAACATCTTGATAGCTGGTCTTTCACACTTTCTAATATTAGTATTGACAAATAGAATATACTCTTCGAAATCAGCAATCCAAATATTGACTTGTTCAAAACTTTTCATATTGGAAGTATCATAAACAATTACAACTGCATCACAACCTCGATAGTAATTTTTAGTAAGAGATCTAAATCTCTCTTGCCCAGCAGTATCCCACAATTACACCTTTACTTATTGTTTGTTTAAAGTAATTACTTTAGATTCCTTATGTAAGCAATATTAAATACGCATGCAACTCCTACAGTACTCATAGATTTCATGGCAAATTCATTTTTGAGAAATCTTTATATAATGGAGGTTTTGCCTACTGAGCTAGATCCTAAGAATACAATTTTAAAGCAGAGCTATCTAAAAAGTATATAAGAATAAATAAATACATTTCGGATTTGATTTAAAAGGATTGCTTCATTAATTAATTTTAAAATGTAAGAACCAAATTAATTAAAATCTCAAATGAGGATTATATGATTAAGATGATGAAGTAATAGAAATGATAATAAATATATATAAAAGTATTGATTGAATGTATCCAAATTATATAGTATAAATATGATTTTTTTTTTTATGGAATATTAAATTTTGCATATTGAATGAGTTTAACATTTGAGAGACTAAAGAAACAAGATTTGTTATTATCAGCAGTGTTATATGAGAAGATTACAAAGGAGGAATTAATTCAACATTTGAATCAAGTGAAAGGAGAATAGTTTGATATGATTGATTCATGGGCTTATGAGGCATTAGAAGCAGAAGTGAAGATTTTAATAGAGAAAAAACATGAAGAATTCAGAAGGACAAGGTACAATTATAAATACAATAAGAACGATGAGTATGGATGAATACATAGTATAGAAACCAAATGTGATAATAAATGATGAAAAGAATTATAGAGAAACAATTTAATGCAAATAACTACCTCCTAATAGGATCGTACTATATTATGTTGAGAATCCACAAGTTGTCATCTAACCAAGAATAGCAGAATAAAAGATTATTGAGGGGAATGCTTTCACTCCAAATTATGTAAATTATTGCGTTGTTGTTGGATAATTTGGATCCAATGTCTGGAGAAGAGTTGAACACTTTTATTGGTTACAAGAAGCTTTACAATAATAATATCCAGATAGTCTGATTCCTCCACTCCCTGCTAAAACTCTCTTTAGAAAGTTCACACCTGAACATATATCCAAGAGATCTAAAATGTTGGAACAATTTCTTAGTGCCATTCTTAATAATCATCTTCTAAGACAATCTGATTTTATTGAAGGCTTTTTATTTATTGAAGATGATATCAAATTTAAATAATTATAGGCTGCTTCCTCTGTTCTGAAATAGCCAAATAAATATACTGATTATGCCAATTAAGAAGGATAAGTCATCTTAGAATTCAATCCTATTATGGATAAATACTTTTTAGATATTAATAGGTAATATTCTCTATATATTCTATAATAGTTACATGTTAAACACTAATGATATTTATAAAGAGTTAACTGATAATTCCAGATTTGTAGTTTCTTCCCTCAAGGATTTCATTCTTAAAGTCAAAAATCTAAGTGGCAGTATTGGATCCTTAAAAGAAGCTACAAAAGCATTCAATCTTAAAAATATTGTTGGTAGTCTCCCTTTATTAGAATTTGTTTATACATTACTTGAAGAATACTTTAATGATTGGAGTGCCAATTTAACTAAATTAGCTAATACTTTAAATGAAAATCTATATGAATTCTTTCGATTTTAAAGGGATATGTAAAATTAATGTGTAGAATTAATCTCTAATAGAAATAAAGCTTAATCTAAATTTATTAAAGAATAATAAGATTTGATGAAGAAGAAATACAAATACTTTACAACAGAACCTATAGAAAAGTGGGAAATGGTTACTGAATTGGATAAAATTAAAATTAAATAGAGTTAGACTCTTTCATATCATTTTATGTTACCCAAAGAAACTCAAGAAGTTGAAGAATTGAAAATGAGATTTGCATATATCAATAGATAGGCATATCAATAAATAACTTAGTATTTTGATAATAAAAGTATTTCATATACTTCTAGAATGTGTAATATGAGCATAAGAAAAAAAGAAAATGCTATCTAACATTCACAACATGTTGAAAAGATTGCTTAATAATTCATGTAGATTGTTGCTATGAGAAATGGAGAAATACCCAATCTTAAGTAGGAATGGATTGATCAATATTTCAATCCACTTAGAATAAGTTTTATTATTAAGTGACAATTCAAATGAGAATTATTTTATAATAATTTATTAAAATCATTATAATTTCATTATAGCCAAATTTGTACATTCCTCATATTTATAATCTGAATATTAAACAATTCCTTTCTTAAATATAAAAGTTCCATCACTCAATCCTATCTATCCATCTAAACCATTTAATGCATTTATTAATAAATGCTAATTATTTTTAGCCTCACTTTAATTCATTATTTTATAATCATTCTCATCTATTTTCTTATTTCGCTCAATCAACTTTATCTCTATCTCCACTGGATCTTTATAATACAAAGATGCTATCTATTAACCTTTCTTCACTATCTACACTATTATCCTTGTATAAATGCTAACACTCTCAGGTAAAGCATTGCCAACAAATCTTGATTCTTTACTCATACTTGAAATCACCAAAAAAAATCTAATAATTATTCATAGTATACCCAAAAATAAATCCTGTTATAAGAATTATAATCATTTCAAAAAAATCAATATCAAAGCAAGTTAGAAACAATTAAAAAACTATCAAACCACTTGTCAATATATATAAAGATTATTGATGCAATAATAAATCTTTCTCAGTATTAGCTGATAGAACACTCAAAAATTACGCCAAAACTTATCCTCCATAGGTAAAAATTATCATCAAAGCTACATTCATATTATTCACAGCTTTAATGCATGCAAATAAAAAGAAGAATAAAATAACAAATATCAAATAGAGTATTGAACTATCAATATTAAGAGACAACATTGATATAAACAAAAGGGCTCCTAAAAATAAATAAAGAAAATATCCATTTTGATTAAAGAAATTGTTCATTGATTCAAATTCAAACTAGTTAGTATTAATAATATACTAAATTAAACAATGCTATTAAATAACATATGAACATCATAAAATAGAGTTTAGTTAAATGATGCAAATGCTCAGATGAATTTGAATTAGTATCCTCTTATTCTAATAATTATGGATTATATTGAATGTTATGATTAACAGATGTTGATTATTATCCCATTCTAGGAGAAACAACATATCTAGATTAAGCATTTGGAATAAATGTATTTGGAGCTTAACTGCTAAACATTAATTATGTGTGAAATTATTTATTTTATAAATCTCATTTGAAGTTTTGAGCATACCATTTCTTAGTAAACTCATCGCAATCAAGCAATTAGAATTTCCAACCATTTATAACAGCTTCATTGCCAACAATTAAATCATTTGGGGTGAAAAATTCATTATTATTGTTGATATTTTTGTACTTTCTCTTTTCTAAAAATTTCCCATCAGGTATTCCTAAATAAATTAACAATATAAAATTACCAGAATTACGCACTGTTGGTTCATAAACTAAAAGACTATCATCATTCAAAAAGAAAGTGATTACGAATACTCTATCTTTATCCTCAGGTTTTGATGTATTAAACATTGCTAAAAATCTAAGATTGACTTAATTATCAACCCATTTGAAGAAATCCTTCTTTGGTGGTTTTGGTTATAATCGATATATATACCCTAATGAATCTTATTCATCTCCAATACCATTATGAGGAGGTATTATAATATCTAAATAACATATAATAAATGAAATACTTGATCTTTCTTATTATACATATTCTTCTTATCCTCCTAAGGGGAAATCAACATTGAATTTATCAAAATAGTATTATCTTGTGAATTGATCACATCCATTAATAAGAAATTTACGATTATAAATGATTAATGGTTGTCCATATTAAATATCTTATGGTCTAATGAAATCTTCAGCATAAGTTTATCCAGGTTGATTGAGTGAGAATTTCCTTGGTAATTTTTATCTTCTCAACATCATTGGGAAAGGAACTCTTCCAGAATTAGCAGAATTAATTTCTTTAATTTCAATAGTATCATCAGCAAGATAGTAATGTAGAATGTATTCAATATCAGAGAATACATAAAACTTAAGTACTTTTCTATCATTTTCTAAGAATTGTTTTTAAGATGTGACTCTACCACCTCCTAATTTATGTTCTAAGTAATCTTTCATAACAGTATCTTTTTAAGGAATGAATTTAGTCATGGTCTTAGTTTCAAAGAAATCAGGTTATGGTACAAAAGATTATTCTTATGGTATTCCTTGTAACTAAGGAATGTACAAAATAATAAAATACTTCATAAAATTCTCTTGTATATTGATCACAATCATAGAGACGAATAGTCTTACCAAAAATGATAATATCTTAATTAATTTTGAAATCCTCAGGTAAAATAAAGGTCTTAGAATCATCAGCACGTAACACCTCGGTATATTTTAGAATTTGTATACTTTTTATCTTTTTAAGAATGCTCCTTAAGGGACTCCACTATTCTCTTATTTTGGTTCCGTTATACTTAATGAATGATCTTCAAGATAGTAACAGATTGTAATTTTGCGAATTCTATAATTTTCAAGTGCTGATTCAACAACAGCTTCTTTAAAATAACCACTAAATCTTAAGACATGTCTATCCATTTTAACCCAAGATGGTTAATACAATTCTTCAGAATCATTAGTTACATTCTAAGAGTGTAACTGTTTTTTATACTTTTGGAAGATGCATTGCATGAGTAGTACTCATATAATCAGGATTAAACATTCCTGATTGAGGAGGTATTTAAATTGGTTATTTACGAGGTACTGCATATTCCTTATTTGGAAGATGATTAACTTCTCTATTTTATTCTTATTTAGTAGAGGAGACTTTCCTGAAGTTGGGTTTCTAATTATAATCAATCTAATTACATCAATCTCTTGAGTAGGCACAAATCCTGGTAATTTTGGAAAAGCAGATGCCATTAATTATTATTATTAATATTATATATAAATATATAAAATTTAAATCATTCAGGAATTTCATCAGTTTCGTCGTTATCCATTTATGCTTAATTGCTTTATTGTGAATCCTCATCATATTATCTTTAACTATTGTATTGATGCAAATATATTTAACTGTTGTCTCTATCAATTTACATCTAACTATTGTTTCTATCAAATTATAAATCATTATTCTCTCTATCAAATTACACCTAATCGTCAGTTTATTCAAATTATATCTGTTAGTCGATTTCTAATTTGAAAATACTTTGTAACTAATTTCTATACATTAAATTACCTATTTGATAGCATTTTTAATCTTTAAGATCGGTTATTAAAGTTGATGAGGAAATTACAAATACTCTTATAATATATACAACAAATGCTCGTAATCTACTTTATTTTAATTAAGATATGCAGAAAACCCAATAACATTACTCCCTAATTAAGCAAGCATACATATTATGCCTATACTATAATTCAAATCATCTTTTTAAAAAGTTTTCATTATTGATGTACTTGTACCCTAATTGGTTGGTTCCATATTTTATTCATATGAAAATATCAATTGAATTCTAAACTCCTGTAATCCATCATCTATCTTCAGAATTTCCTCAAAAATCTCTGTAATTTATTCCAACTATTACCATTTATTATTTTTATCTAAAATTTGACAAACAATCTATATAATCACTTTAGAACTAATAATCTAATCATTCCAACATATATGTTTAATCATTTAAATCAATTTATTTTAATGCTAGACCATTGATAAGATATACCTTCTAAAATCTTGATCCTTGAACAATTCTTCAATCCATTATTGATCAATATTTAAACTTAATGATCCCTTTTATTTATATGTTGGACAACCCTTCAATCCTTGTATACCAATTGTTGTACAACTCACGACTACATTTACCAGTATTTCACATACCAAGATTAAAGATGTTAATACTATCTTAAAATTTTCTTTCAATATCTTATAGAATTCTTAAAAATAACCATCATTCTATATCTATTTCAACAAATCTCCATCGCTTTCCAAATTATAAATTATCACTTCGAAATAATTAACTCCTTTCTATAAGTTCTCTCTTATTATTGGTAACAATTCGCTCAAATAAAACTAAAAGAATCTTACTACATAAGACTTGTCGATCTTCCTAGCTTATTCAATTACTAAATTCAATAATTAAGCACTCTCAACCATTTAACATTCTACTAAAAATTCAATCAATATTTATTTATTGTTTCTCCAATAATCCAATAACCAAATACATGCTTAATTATCCTTATAATAACTATTATTTAGAATTCTTAGGTTTTTCTAAAATTACTATTAATCCTTCTCTTAAAGGTACAATTTAAATGTACCGACAGTTAAAAATTAAAGCAATTCAAAATCATATTACAATTCTATAATTTCCATCCCAAATTATAGAAGACTTTATATAAAATTCATATACTCTCTATCATTCAAATACTTATTAACCAATTACAAGGTATTTTAACGAATTACGTCATTTCTCAAATATACTTCATTATTATTTTCTGTATCAATATTCTTTCTACATTACTCTTACTCTAAATCTTCAATTTCTATTTAAGTCTTTTAGTTTGATATATCTTCCTAATGTTTAACTTTCTCATAAAATAACATATAAGCATTTTTATTAGTCTTTTAACTCCATTAATCATCACTTGAGTTACCTCCAAAGCATTATTCCTTTAAATTTAAAATATCAAAGGGAGTTATCAATTTATCATTAAATTCAAACCATTAATTTTTATGATCTCTAATGTATGAAAAGTAATGTCCTCCTTCAGCATTTCCTGTATGAACAATAACACCTTTCAATTAATATATAAACTCTTATAAATTATCCAGCTATCTATGTTCAACTATATTATCACGAGTCCACTTAAACATATTTATCTCAAGTGGAAATTCACAAAAATCATTAATTTTACTACGAGTATTCGTATTTATATCAAACTCAAATCTTTTTAAATGGAAAATAAAAGTTTTAGGTAATTTCAGGAAGTAACATCTTTTTTCAGCATTAATTTTACGCTAAACTTCATCACAAAAATATTGATTCTCCCCATCTAAAACATCTGATTTAACAAATAAATCTAATGCTTCAAATAAATTCTATTTATTTTTAATCTCAATAGAAACAGTTAAAAATGGTTCTTCTGTTTCTTTCTGAAAATCACAATCTTACTATAGTGATTTAATTTCATTTACCAAAGTACCTCCAAAATTTTAATTTATCAAATTATGTTGAAGTGTGTGCTTCAGATCTGATTCTAATTTTCCAGTTAACAAATTAAAAAATTCATTACAATCTTCTTAAATATTAGGATTAATCTACTATCCATCAAATCCTTTAAGTGTCTGAATAAATTATTTTGGATTGATATATTATTTAACAGATTCTTAGAGTTGAATAAAAACTAATTATAATTGATGTAATGTATGTTCATTCAATTTCTAAATTAATTCTTGAGTCAATTAAGAGGGATTCTAAAGAAGGATAGATTCACCTGTATCTCTTGTAATCAGAATTTAACTATTCAATATTCCCTTTCGAAATTAGAAATTCATAAATAATTATTATAGAAGCGAATTAATGTAGCAGGTAGCTCTTAAATTAAAGAGACCCACATATCCATGAAAACCCTTAATTCCGAATTCGCAATTTAGATTTGATGATATAATTGCCTTTTATTGATTCTTATAAATTAAAGGTAGAATTTGGAAGAAGTGCTTTTTAATCTTACTTAATTCCAATAATAAATCAAAGGCTCTTTTCCTTGTATTACTTCTCTTATAGAATGGATAAATTGTATAATCATTATGCATTTCAAATAAACATTCATAGATATATTGACAGAATTCAGTATCAATTAAATTATCTGACAAAGATGAATCCCTCTTCAATAATGATTTCAATACCAATAAATAACCTTACAATTATTTATCTTCGATCTCTCCAAATGTTGATTCAATAATCTATCTAGTCCTAATTTAACTTAAAATTAATAAAACTAAATCATGAGTATTTAAAAATGAAATATCATTTGTTTACTCAATTAATTCACCCATAACAATAAACATCTCTTCTTAATCGGTTTACCTTTTTATGAGTTCTAATAAAAATACTTTACTCAAATTATATTCAAATCTCTAAGCAATACTATTCAGTGTAAGAATGAAAATTGCAGTCAATTTGCGTTATTCTGAAGATTCATTAGTCAACAAAACAACTAACTAATTGATTGGAATCTATTATTTCAATAGATATGGCTTAACCTAAAGAACACAAAGGATCATTGTATAACATTATTCAATACCTATTCTTTAGTATAAATTCTCCAAAAGATTCTCCCAGTTAATCGAAATTTCAAGTTTTATTGAAGAGAATAATTAGCTTTAAGATTTAAAAAATGATATTTCATTATCTTATAAGTAATCCTATGTAAGAAATAAACTAGCAATTTTTTTTGTAGATTTTAGTTTGAGAAGATGAATATAGTCATTGTCTTAAAGTTGGTTGATAGCATAACTATTCAGATACATTTAAAATATTTCTAAAATAATGAGTACAATTTCTTTTGGATAATAGAAATTGTTCAATAATAATTGCAAACCTCCTTTCGATAAGAAATTGTCTCTCAAAATATTATAATTATCTTAATCTTCTACACAATCACAAGACAATTATTCTTTGAGTATTTGTAAATGGTATTATAACCGATATTTATTATCTACAATTAATAAGTTGCTCCAATCATTCTAAGAATTTTCAATCAATTTATAAACATTTTAATTGCTAGGAATCACTTGCAGTATGCTCCAAATCTTTTCATTAAGTTATTAATTTTCTTAATTGAGCAGATTGAACAATTATTCAATATACTAATTTGAGATTAGGAATGCAAAAGAAGAACTAGTCTCATTTGATTTTTTAGTTTTGACTTTGATATTTTTCTATCGATACTCAATAAATAATTATTCACCTCGATCTAAAAGTTCATCGACTGTCTAATCTACTTCCCAATTCTTATCTTTTAAGACTGATAATATAAATTGTTAATTTTGTATATTCACAATGTCTTAAATCTTTTTTACTTTTTCATATGCATCTAAATCTTGTTGTTAAGGTATTTCATTTTCATTTTAAAAAATTTATTTATCTGATATTTATAATGTTAGTTTGGAGCTGACTTTATAATCTTTAAGATTTTTTTGATCTTGAAACAAAATGCCTTTACAAAATATATCAAAATCATCTGGTATCATCCAGGGATTCAATTTTTATCCAATAATTTATTTGGCTTAGTAAACTTGTAAATTACTTGATAATTGAATTTCTTATTATTTTGGATTCAAAGCATTTGAACACGCATTAAAGATGGTAATTAAGATTTTATCTTGTTGATCCATAAGTTTTAATCCTTCAAATTCTTCCAATAATTGAATCACTAATTTAATAGATGTAGGATTTTGAATACATGAAAACAGTTCAGCTAAATATTATTATTTAAGATTATTCAAGATTTATGGGTTTTATTACATCTTTAACAATTTGATGAAAAAATCAGATAATTACTCGTATAATTCAGATTGAGTGTGAAATATTTTCCACAATATATTAAGTCCTATCATATTGGATTCTTATAATCGGTATTCATTCTCATTATTAGATTTCATTACTTTGTATAGTATATTAAAATGAAGAATTAATTTGATTAAACATCTAAGCATAGATTATGATTAATATTATTATTTGATAATTTTAAATAACAACCATTCCATAGAATCTTATTCTAAATTTGATTATCGAAAAGAGTAATCAAAAAATATATCCCTTTCTTCAAGACATCTAGCATTTTCTACAAACAATTTCCACAATAATTATAATTCATATTGTTTAATTTTACTATCCTGATGTAAAAATTCATAAAAATTAATACATAAAGTCATCACCTACAAATATTCATTCTGTTCTTTTAAGAGACATTTTAATTTCTCTCTTTTAATTAATTTTAAAAAATTTAATTTAAGATCAAATGTCTATTCCATCCAAATAAATACTTAAGTAGAGTTCCTATAATTTTCAATAGGATATGAAGTTTATATGATTGATTAAATCATATTAAAATAATGATAAATTGATAATTAAGTTTAATCTGAATTCAAAGCTTCAATAGCAAATATTAAATATTGAATTCTCAGACATTAAAATTAATAACAAATAAGTTCAATTGCAATATCAAATGCTGTTTAACCAATAATAGTTTTAGATTACTCTTGAACAATACTAAGTAAATATTCTACAATTTAATTTTAAATAGTTAGAAATAGATTTTTTTATTGTGATTCATCTATTCTGTCTTTATAAGAATTGATTTCTTGATGATCATTTAAAATCACCTTATAGCCATCTTAAGAATTGAGTTTTTATTTTTTATATTTATTATCAATTACTTGACAGTCTTGGTTATTGATACAACCTCTTAAACATTCATTTTTACCTAAACTCTTTATAAAATTTAGACCATCTATACCAATTGGATTAGATTTAAGATTTTACAACATAATCTATATATCTTCTAAATTTAATATTTCTGCAAGATCCTATAAAACTGTTGATATACTATGTATCCAAATTTCATGTTTACCTCTAGCCAATCTTAAAATAGTTACCAATTCTTCACTTTTAATACTTTTATTCAAATATAGAAATTTAACAATTGGAAATGATCTTTTGATTAATTAAAAATGTGTTTTTTCTCCAAATAAATCTTGGAATACTTAATTTTCAATTAAAAATTTTAAGATCATTTGACTTTTAAATGGATACTAAAGAGTATTGATTTGATCAGAAAAGAATTTCAATCCTAATAAAATAATTTGATTTAGATTACCATAAATACGCTTTTGAAGTGAGGAACAACGGAGACATAATAAATGAATAGTCATTTCAAATTAAGTTTATTATGTTTATCTTTCTTAAGAATAAATTGAATTTGGAAGCATACATGAAATCAATTAGTTAAGAGTTTCTTTTGTAGAGTTTTTAATATCTTCATCAGATAATTTAAAAGCTAATTCCTAAAAATTTAATTGCTAAAAGTTATTGAGATAGAAATCTCTATCAATATGTTCTTTAAAATATTATTAAATATATAAGATATCTATTTGTTTGAGATTGAAATTATTAAATGAATCATTTAATAGATCAATACCACCATTCTTATAAAAGTAATGAATTTGCATACGTTGAAATGGGGAGAAGAGTATCACACCCTTGGATTAGTAGACTGAATTGAGAATCTCATCTTTAAGTGGATAAAAATAATGGTTTTCTTATTCATCTATGTACATCTCTGCTTAATTTAAAAGACTATAATGTAATCTTTCATTATAGAATTAATTAATGCCAGATTTATACACTTACAAATCGGATATTTGACTATTATAAAAAGTAATATCAAAAGCTTAGAGATTATGATTATGAATTTCTTTAAGGAGTTGCAATCCTAAAATTGGATGCGATTTCCAAATTTTGATAACCAATTTCTGAACTAACATAAGGATCTCATTTAGATAGCATTACAATTTCAATCTTCTCTCATCATATATTCTAATTGATTGTAATTATTTATACATTTTGTTCAAAATAAATATAATGAATGGCTATAAACTATTATTTAAATATTATTCTAAATAAAGTATATTGGAAACTCTATCAGAAAGTAAAGCTTTTAATTCTATTTCTAAATCACTTAAACATTCAATCCATTAAGTATTTTGATTTTTCTATATATATTCATTAATGTCCTTATACCTTTTAGATTCGTGATTCATTCAAGATTATCATCTCATTATTGTCTTGAAAGTTTTTTATTTTCTTATAGGAAATATCAACATCTAATAAGTTAAAATCTTCATAATCTATTGAATTTTAAAAAATCATGAATGTCAGAATATTTATATTTATTATAATAAATATTATGACAGAATAGACAAGTCTCTGTCAACTAATATACACGCACATGATCTCATTCTGTAATGTAAGATCTATTTAATAATGGACAACACTCATTTTTACTATAGACAGATATTGTTATTATTGAGTCAATTTCAATTTGGATGTAAACTTTAATATATTTAATTGAACCATTTTCATGGTCCTTCTATCAATAGATCATTCATAAATCCCCATATACATTCTTTACCAGTCTTTATTTTTCACAACTATTTTTATCATTATCATAAACGCTACTCTCTACATAATAGTTCTTAAATAATAACTAAAATAGATCTAATAACAATCTTAATTAATTATGACTGCTACATTTTTGATTATTTCCAATTGTGCATTTAATAATTATGTTATTAGTATCCAAAATTTAAAAAATATTGACACTTACTTTAAAATTGCTTATCTAAAATTTTGTAGAATTTCATTTGAGATAATTAGATCACTTTTGCTAATTCAAATTACTAATATATCCATGTTTACTTATATTATTGATCAAAAGTATATATCTATTCATTAGAGTATTTCTTATTAATATACAATCAAAATCATATAAAATCAATAAATCTAAGAAACTAAGAATGATTCACTTTTATACATACGTCCTATATCTACTATGATCTTCTTAGAAAGTATCAATGTCTTAAATATTATATTCTTATCATATATGATTTTATTATCTATCAAAAATTTATTACTAAATTAAGATTACATTGAATAGAAACTATTTTTAAAATTTATCAACTTTGAACTTAAGTCAAATATTTACAGGTATCTAAATTCACTTATTATTATATAAACCTTTATTATAATCTTTTATAAGAATTATTGATATAATTAACCATGTATCTCACATTAATATTAATATTCATCATTAGATTAACATGACTAATATACTATATACTCCAATTTTGCTTATTTTTTTACTTTTTATCATATTTAATATCTCTATAAGTCTTATAAAAAATTCAAAATTAATTATTAGGAGTCTCTTGCATCCTTTTTTCTTTCATTATTTTCTATATTCAAACTTAATTTTATTTGCTTATGGTATTTATAAAAGTGATATTCTTATTGATTAACATTTATTTATCAATTTTGTTATTATTTTATAAGATCTATACTTATTCATATTTATAATCATTTTACATCCACTAATTTATTTATAATATATCTAATTTATCACATGTACTCTTGCATATCTATCAACTCTAAAGACAGCATTGAAGAATTCCTATCTTTATATCATTGTAAAGATTCACATCAAAAAACTCTCTTAAAAAAAGAAAGAGAAATAGTTAAATACCTTAAATCACTTGGTCTCTAAATGAAAACAGATCCTCTTAATAAATATTAACAAAAGAATAAGTATTTCTTTTCACTATTTAGTATTATATTCCAAAGCAATAACTCTTTAGAACATCAAATTGTTATGGAAAAAAAAGAAATTAAAGAAGATTATGATGAAGATGAACTAGTAATAACTAACAATCCTTTATTTAAAAAACGGAATAGTTTAAAACTAATTAGAGCTTTCTCTTTTGACGTAAAAGATAATAACTAATTTGATAATGAAAACTAGAACTCATCATTAGTATTAACTTGATTCTAATTCATTTATATGCATTTTTTATTTAGTTTATTCAAACGATTTTTATTACTAGTTATTTTTATATATATTATTTCTTATCTATTTAAATTAAATTATTTTGATTATTCTTCATTATCTTAAGATTAATAACATTCTTTTGATTGAAATAAAAAAATTCAAGTTAAGACCTTAATGAAACCTTCTTTATAATAAATTAACTTTTATAGTTTTATTTCTAAAATAAATAAAAATACCCATATTATCATTCATACATTATCTAAATTCATTTATTTAGTTCAAAAATCTTTTATTTTATAAAGAAATTTTTATCAACCCTTAAAAAAAAAATCTCCTCTCAGATTAATTTAAAGTAGGATTCTATTAAAAAGCTATGATGATAACATTCATTAGATCTATTATGAATAGAAATTTACAAATTATCTTTTTAAATAAAAAAATAAATTTACAAAATCTTTGATCAATAAGGTTTTTATCTTTTAAGATAAAATGATTATGAAAATTAATACTCTTATTTTAAGTATTTTCAGCGAAACTGATTGAAGATTTTATTATTTATAAATACATCAGAAAGAAAATTAAGATAAATATGTTTATTTACAGGAAATCTTTTATTAAGAATTGACTTAATATTTTATTTCAATTTAGTTATTTTTCTCTTTGCCTAAAATAAAAATACAATCGGTAAATAATTTTATTTCATATTTTAGTTTCATTAAAGTAAGCTTGATTCACTTTTTAATCATAAATTTAGATTTAATTATTAAATTACTCTTTCTTTATTAAATGACCTATTAGTATGAATTAATTTAATATATCTAATTTAATTTGATAATCTAACTTAATCATCCCCTATTCTAATTCTTATCAATCTTATTAATTCAATGATAATTATATATCAATTTTATCAATATTTTTAGTTTAAGTTTTAACCAACAAATTTATTCTACTTTCTGACTAAACTAATTTTAATTTTTTGTCAATCTTATTACAAATTCTTGAATCAGTATTTTTTTTTATAATTAATCAAATAATTTAAGCTTTTCTACCCTTCTTAATTTTTCGATAAATTTAATATCAAGATTTATATATAATGAAGGAGAAAAAAAGAAAAAGAAGCATTTAACAATTTAGTTCAAATAGAAAGATTTAAAAAATAAAATATAACAGTGATTATTATATTCTATTATATTGTTAATTAATTGTATATTTCTTAAGAAATTCTATCTTCAGTTTCTATTAATTTTTTATAATAGACAATTAAATTTGTCTGATAAAGGAATCCTTAATTATAATTCATAAATGATAATCGAAAGTTTTTTGACTTTAATAGCTAAGAAATAATCCAAAAACTTTTTTTTTCAACAAGTTTGATTTTAACACAATTCTTGATCCAAAATATCAAGAATATTTCTCGATTAAAGAAGAACGGGTTAATAAACAATTAGAAAACTAAGTAAAAATTGTTTAACTAGGAAATTCTCTTTGACCTTGATATATTATTTTATTAATTTCCCCTCTTATTCGTTATTATAATATTATTATATCTTTCCTGACTTATTTTTCAAATTTCAAATTTTCTTTTCTTTTACAAGTAAATTAAAATAAAGGAAGAAGTAGATTTAAAAATTTTTTTTTTAAATATTTAGATAATTTAAATTAAAAATCACATAATAAGAATAAATTTAATTAATTAAACATAAATAAAAATATAATTTCACCTTCTGTCTAATGAGAACTGGATTTTATATCCTGATTGAATAACAAAAATGTAAATATCTATTTTTCAAAAAATTTACGATTTATATAATGGACTTGTTATCAATGAACTATTTGATTTATCTAGATCAAAATAAATAAGATCAAAATTTTAAATTGTTATATATTTAATCTTATTAATCCTGCTTTATTAATTTCTAATGGAATATCAAAAATTTAATTGAGTATTTATTTTTATATGATTTAGATTGATAATCAGATTTTGTGAATAAGAATATTTAGATAGAATTAAAAAGATAAAAATATACGTTTTAAGTAATAGAATGATTACTTAGAAAATTTAAAATGATTTTTCAAGATTTTATAATTTTGTTACAGATTCTATATGTTTTTCAAAAAAGGATTGTAATCTTTATAATAGATAACAGATTCAGTAAAAGTATAAAAAATAGTTATTCTTTGGATATCTATTTGTAGCTAATTTGATAAAATCTTCTATTTTTGATAATCTAAATTAAATTCTAAAGGATTGAATGATTTTAATAATTGCTCCATATTAGTTTTTATTTTAATTTATGAATTTGACTATATCCTTTCTTTTTTTCATCTAATTATATATATTTATAATCTGGATCATATTCATATTGATTACTTTTTTGGATTAAACCTTAAATCATATATGGTTCAAATTTTAAATATTTGATTGATTCATTTGATTAATCAACTTTAATTTATGGAAGGATTGCTTACTTATAAGAATGGCATGATATATGAAATTTCCTTATAAAATAGTAGGCTAATGCTGAGTAAATAGATAGAAGGTTTCTATAGAATCTTTTCTTTTTTGTATTACTCTATTTTAGATTTTTCTTAAATAGATTCATTAGGATCCGATATTTTAACTAAAATATATATAAATTTATAGCAATAATATTTAATTAAATCATGATTATAATGCTTCTTATATTATAGCTTAAATTACACCTTGAGGGTTCTCGAAGTTTAATTGATGTCCAGCATCATTAATTATTTTAATTTTAATATTTTAGTAAATAGTTAAATTGATAGCACCCTAATTATCCATCCAATCATAATATCCATAATAAAAGGAGATTGGAATGTTGCTAATTTGATAGTGATTTTATGATAGAATAGTTTCAATAGAATTTAAATTTTTAGCAAATGCTGGGAAATGGAAAAATAAACATATAGATTTTTCTGATCCTTCAGGTAATTCTAACATTTCATCTATGTAAGATTTCCAGAGAGTGTATTCATCACCTTGTAAATGCATTCTATTCTTTAAATAATACTTTATTAATTATCTTCCAATAAAACTATTATTTAAATATTATGGAATTGCAAATACTCCTTACCATTTAACTTAAACATGTTTAATAATTAATCTTTTCCAGAAAGGAAACTATGAAAAGTCTTACATTTAACTATATTAATAAATATTCTTACATAATTTATTAATATGTGTATTAAGTACTTCCAGCAGGACTTAATAAAATTAATCTTTTTAATAAATTTGGAAATCTTACAAGGAGATGAGCAGCTACAAAACCACCAAATGAATGACCAATCAAAGTCACTTTTTACTAAGGATATAATTCCATTATTAGTTTTGAAATTGTGCCAATAAAAAATTCCATTGCTTCTTCAAAAAAATCTATTTTTATATCTTATTTGCTTGAATATCCCATTCCAGGTAAATCAATTGAATAAACTTTAAATTTTTTTATTATTTCTCCATATATTTTAGAATAATGAAGATTTGATCCACCATATCCATGAAGTAGTATTAATATCTCCTTTATATATATTTATATTTAATATACTTTATTATTATGACCTCCACTAAATGTATGAATTAAATAAGTCTTTCCTAAGTATTCTACATTAAAATCAAACAAACAATAATTTATACCGATTTTCAATCCTAATTATTATTATTATTATTATACCATAATATTATAGCACTTAGATTTCTTTATTCAATCTTTTATGCTTCTTCGATTCTTCTAACGATTCCCTTTTAATGCAACAAAACATAACAATTAATAATCTAATATTCTTAAATTCTATAATATATCTAATAAAAATAAAAATGAATATAGTTGAGCAGATGGAAAATTTTATTAGTTCACCATTGGTAGAGATCTATAAAAATATTCTATATTCAGTCTAATTTTTAGTTTGATTACATATCCTTAAAACCAGCAGTAAAACCTATTTAAAGTTATTAAGCTTAAAGCTTATCAATTTATTAACAATTTTATATAAGTTTTATAAAGGAAATTATTAAAAAGAGAGCAGATATATTTTTAAGAAATTGAGCTTAATTGCAATTTAAGTGATTGATTTGGAATCGATTTTGACCTTGAAAATCTATAAGTATAATTAATCCTTTTAAATTTATCAATTAATACTCTAATATTCAAGTTAATAAAATAAATATGAATCTTCCTGTTTAAATTAAGGATCCTCCTCTTTTAACTAAGATTTATTAAAATGTCAAATAAATAGCACCTATAAAAATAACATTCAAGCCATTAATTAAAAAGATGAGCACATTTGAATAACATTCTATTATAATGATTATAGATTTTTATAATAATTTGACAAAAATAATTAAGGAGCAAAATCAAAATATACCAAAAAAAGAGGATTAGGTACTATACTATTTAGTCCTAATATCATTTTAAAGGAAAGAAGATTTAAGCTTGATTTATGGGAGTTATTTCCTAAAATATTCACATTGATTATTGATTAATGAATTAATAGATGTTAGCATCAATTATTGTTTCATATATTATTCTAATGATTTGGCTTTAAATGATATAGAGAAAATCATTTCATTTTTTGAATTTACAAATAATCCTATTAAAATATAAAGATTTTAGGAAATGGAATTATTTGATATTTTAATAATTTTGTTTCATAAAAAATAGTAAAATAGCTGAAAATCCTTATATTTCGAGAAATAAGAGATTAAGAATTATTTGATTGAAGGAATTTTAATTGTAAATGCTGATAATATTATAGTTAAAATCAGTAATGTTATTAATTTATTTAAATAGGCTATTTTTCAATAATGATTAACACATATTTCACCAATTAAAAAAAATATGGAAAGAAATTATAATGGTAAGTTGTGAATTCAAGTTTATTAATAGATTAGAATAGTTATTAGTAAATAAGTAGATAAGGTGAGAATGAAAGGGTTGTTTATAAAAAAGGAGTAAGATCTTTTTTAATGTTTGATTTTATAAAGTTGAGAGATGAGACAAGATGTAATTAGAATAAGAAATAAATTATATATAGAAATATGATTAGTAAAGTGAATAATAGAAAAAATATTATAAAATATAATGAAATTTAATTGGTTAATAAAATGATCATTTAAAACTGAGTTTAAAAATATTATTAAATAATATTATTAATAACAAATCTTTTTAATAAAAAATGTGGTTTGGATTTAAAAAATAGAATGATAATCAAAATGGTTAATAGGTTTAGTAATTTGTGAGTCATAGACATAAGGCAGCACATTAATAAGGTGAGTAGATGTATAAATATGAAATTAGGTGGTCTTAATTTATCATTTGGTGAGGATAATTCTGAAACATAGAAGGTGGCAGGAAGTGTGTTCAAATAATTGAGTGGGAAGATAATAAGTGGAAATTTTGGATCATTGTTGTAAATAAGTAAGCCAATAGCTATGTCATTGGATATGAGTTTTTTACATGGAGTAGCATTGTAAGATGAATGAATATAAGGTTAGAGGACACACATATAGTAATTTATTAGAGAGATGTAACAAATTATCAGGATTGGAATAGATAAAATATATATCAGCTTATTAAGTAAAAAGGATGATTATTAATATGATAGATATCAGGATTACATTGTAATGGAGAGATCACAAAAATGAAATCACCATTAGATCCATTAGTAGGCGAGACATTATAAGTAATAATAATAATTTATATATAAATGTGTATAGTTGGTAAAAGAAGATGGTACATAGTTTTATGCAGAATAGACTAGTTTTGATCCACCAATTTGTTATTATTACATATAAGGAAATAATTATAAAATATATGGAGATGATCGATTAGAGATACAAATTCATAAGACAGTGAATTCTTTAACTGGAGTATAGAATGGTAAATAGACGATAGTATTTGAAAATGGAGCAATTTATAGATGTACATAGAGACCAACAATGTAAGGATTTAAATATTAATATAAAAGGGAGATAACAGGATTGATGATGGGAGAACGAGTATTAAATTGGCAAGGAAAGATGATAATTGAAGGATCTGGACTTAAATCAGTTATAACATTTAATTACAATTGTGAAGGAATGATGTCTAAAATCACATCATTTTTTAAATCAACAGAATAAGCTAAGATTTATGATATTGTAGAAGTAGATATCTTTTAAGTAGAGATAGATGAAAATGGCAAGAAGACTGAGTAATTTTGTATATTTATTATTTTTTAGAACTCTCTTATAATAAGGAATTGGATCATGGTTAGAAGGTTTGATATTTGGAGAAGAGAATGTATGGTAAATTGATCAAGAAAAAAAGAAATGGATTTCACCTCAAGAGATTTTATAATCTGATACTACCAAAAGAGATGATCTCATTTTTATGAGAAATCAAAGAATGGAAGATGCTTAAAAGTATTCATTTTCATTTATATCCTTTTATAGAGCTAAATTACAATTAGAAGAATAGAATTTTAAGGACATTGAAAATAGAAGAAAAAAATAATGAATATATATCATTTAAACACAATCAAATGTCGATGACTATCTACTTTCTTCAATATTTAATCAATCAACTCCTCGGATTTGTTCATGTCACTTAAAATACTTTTCAGATGATGTAAGAATCTATCAAATTATTGATCACTTATGTTCAAATTCTTATGTACTTCTACTAGATCTCTGTATATTCATTACTAAATATACTTCCCACTGTATTTTGTATGAATACAACCGAACATTTAAGCAAAAAAAGTCTTTTATTATAATCTCACTCTAGTCATGTCAGCCTTTAAAAACATGCTTCTCAAACTTTGATCGAATAAAACCTTATAATAAAATTGATCAATCAAATCTGATATCTAACCATCGCCTCCAAATTATTCAAACATACTCTGATCCATATGTTAATTATATTTAAATATATTTATTTATATATATATATATATACCACCACGCACTAATTATATCACATTTCTAGTATCAATCCAAATATCAACATTAATATTACACCTTACGATACTACATCTTACTCATTCACTTCTATGTACACATTGATCCCATCACTCTCGCTTAATATATAGTAGTCTTCAGCCATTAATTGTCTAAATCCCATTGGCTATATTGTATTCATTATATATTTTTCACAATTGTTTCCAGGACAAACTACTACATTCTACCAAGATTCCAAAAATACTTCCAAAGCAGTACTGCAATTCAATGTGTTTGTGTAATTTACATAATAATCTAAAACATACTATTTAAAATTTATTATCTGACTTTGTAAAGAGTCGTATTGATTAATCAGATTCACTATATAATTATCATAATTTGATTTCAAAGCAACAATTTTATTATTCAATATGAATTTTGTGTCATTAGAACCCACACAAAGGATACATAAATTACCTTACAGGAACCCTGCTTATAATTTAGCGAATTATCTTAATTGCTATTTGTAATTATTGATGCTATCGGCCCCAATAAAAGAGTTTTCGAATGAAGTATTGTTTAGTAATCCACAAATTTTAAGATCACTTTAAAATTTCTTCAATAAATTCAACAATTCGCTATTATTGTCTAACAATTTGGATTAATATTTAACTATAATGGATTAAAAAAAGGTTTCAGTTTATGATGTACAACAAGATGAGGTACTCATTTTTGAACATATATTTAATGTCTAATAATAAGTAAGTAGAAATACTTAATCTTTTGGAGTTGATAACATATACGTATTATATTGTTGAATGTCAATTTCTAGATTTTGTAAGAGATTCAAATAATTCTGAGCAAAGGGATTGTTAGAACAATCAGAGGAAGAAGTTAAAGTAAGGAGAGAAAATATAATAATCATTTATAATAATAATTTGATATCAAATAAATAAGGAATGGGAATATATTAATCAACATAAAACCAATTTCCTGAGAGATGGTGTTATTTTTTCGGTTTTCCGAATATTTTATTGAGTTACAATACAGGAAAAGATGAATTTAAGATGGTTGAGACTGCAAAAGTATGATTTGTGTATAATGGATAGATAGTTTTAAAGAATATGGGATGTGTGTAAGTAAATGAATGTACAGTTTATTTAAGTGGTGGAATAAGTGAGAATTATTAGGAAGTGAGTAAGAATGTTTATCGATATAATGTGGATGAGAATATCTTCAGAAACCTTCCATAAATGAATATTGCTAGATATACACATTAACTAATGTATAACAAGTATGATAGTAAACTTTATGCATTGGGAGTAATTAGAGTATATATAAATAAATTAGGGAAGGTCATATGGATAAGGAAGTGAAGGTATTTTGAATAGTTGTGAATGTTACGATTTCTAAAAGGGTAAGTGGGAAATGATAGCACCAATGAATTTTAAACGTGCAACATTCTTTTCTATATTGTATGAATAGAAAATATATGTATTTGGTGGATATACAGATGTAAGAAAGAGATCAAAAAAGATAGAGAAATTAGAAAATCAGAAATGGGTATTATTAAATGTGAAATTACAATATGGTGTTGAATAAGGAGTGTTGTATTAGAATTAGTAGAAAGAATTGTTTATATTGGGTGGATAATCAGTTGATGGAATTATTGATAAACATTAAGTTATTGATTTTAACAAATAGATATCTTATATTAGTAAGACATATAATTAGAAACCAAGAGTATTGTAAAAGGGAACATAGATTGATAATTTGTCGATTTAATTCTTTGGAAGTGAGACTTTATCTATAGAGAGAGGAGAAATTTCAAATTTAGAATTGAAAATTTATAAAGGTAATTCTTTATTGAATTAAATATAAAATGAGAGTTTGAAAGAATTTAGTATGGCTGATTATACTTTTGAATTAGGAATAATATTAAAACCAATTATTTCTTATATAATGATTATATAGGAAGATGTAATTCATAGAATTAATAAAGTATATTTCAAAGATCAGAATTAATCAAAATAATAGAAATTTAAAGAATACATTTAATCAACAACAATATTATCAAATAAAATATATTTATATTCAGGAGCATTATTATTATAAGATGGCAGTGTCATCATTATGGGAGGTGTAAATAATTAGATGAATTAAATATCTAATGAAACTATTAAAATAGAACCCAATTTTAATTAAGTAAGTAAATTAGCTAAGATGAATTAAGCTAGATATGCTTTTAGTTATACTTTAGTTGATAATTATATTTATGTCGCAGGTGGAAGATATTATGGAGATGATGATTAAGGTATCCTAGATTCAAGTGAAAGATATAATATAAATACAAATTAATGGGAAATATTGGCTAAATTAAATGAGAAGAGATGTAGTTGTTTCATGATCAAACATAATGGCAGAGTCTTAGTTGCTGGAGGATTCAATACATTTAAAACTAGAATCAATACTATAGAAATCTATAACCCAGAACTCAAATGTTGGGAAATGTTAGGAATTACATTACATAATTCTATTGAAGCTTGTACATTCACATACAGATCTATTTAAAGTAAATTGGATTTCATTACTTTTGGTGGTAGATAATCTACTGATTTAGATAGTGTAATTAAGTACTCTATAGATTTCGATTAACCAATTGATCATTAGATTGGTAATTTTTAATAATTGCAGAGTTTAAAATTCAAAGGTTCTTTATTGTAATCAATAAGAATTGATGATTATATATTAATTATCCATTAGAATGGATAATAAATAAACATTAATTCATATTAGTTGAATACACTATAATAAATAGAGAGTGAAATAAATTAGGAATTGATGGGTTTGTTGTAAGAACTAAAAGTGTGTAATATAGGGAAATTGTTAATTTTTGATTGATTAATATTTATTGTTGCATATATTACTGATTATATTCAATGGGATGCTTAAAGTGCTTATTCCATATCATTTATTAAATCTTCAATATTTTCAATACCAATAGAAATTCTGACCAAATTATCTGTGATTCCTAATGAGTTTCTAACATCAACAGGCACAGATCCATGTGTCATGACTGAAGGTACTTCAATTAAACCTATAGTATAAAATAAATGTGTATACTTTCAACTCCCCCTAATGATTCAGCAAGTGTAAATATTTTTAATGCTTTTAATAATTTACTAGTTTCTTCAAAACCTCCCTTAACATAGAAACTGATCATAGCACCTCCACCTCTTTATTATTTTTTAACCAATTCATGTTATGGATGAGATGGTAATCCTGGATAGATGACTTTATCAACCAAGGGATTATTTTCTAAATACTTAGCAAAAATATAAGCATTTCTAGTAGCTTATTTAACTCTTAATTCTAATGTCTTTAAACTTCTCATAATGAGATAACAATCAAAAACACTAGGACATCCACCTTATGATTTAGCAGAGAAGAATAATCTGTCATACAACTCTTTATCATTACAAGTTAAAGATCCGAAGACAACATCAGAATGTCCCCCCATATATTTAGTACCAGAATTAACCTAAGAATTAGAATATATAATTATACAGTAATATCAGCTCCTAAGTCTCTGGGAGTTTAAAGATAAGGAGTAGCAAATGTATTATCAACAACAGATAAGATATGATTTTCTTTAGCTATTTTACATACAGCTGTAATGTCCACAATTTTAAGTGTGGGATTAGTTGGTGTTTCAATCCAGATGAGTTTAGTTTTATCTGTTACAGCTTTAGCTACATTTTCTGGGTCTGTAATATCTACAAATAAAACTTCAATTCCATGATTCTTTACAGTGAAATTCCTCATGTATCTTTAAGTACCTCCATAGACATCATCACAACATATGATTTACTCACCATGTTTACAAATGTTAATAATACATGACATTGCTGCACATCCAGATGAAAATGTTATACAATGTTTACTATTCTCAAGATCTGCTATGCATTCTTCCAATGCTGCCCTTGTTGGATTACCACATCTTGTATAATCAAAAGATGAATAAGGTTAACCTGGACCCTTCTATTTATATGTTGTGCTTAAATGAATTGGAACATTCACACTCCCATGAATTGGTTCAGCATGTTGACCTGTATGAATTGCTCTTGTTGAAAAAGATTTCGGTACACTGTATAGGTAATCACTTTCTTATACTTATGGAATCATATTAATTTTATTTTGTCAATTTACTTCCTAAAATCCAATATTAATACCAATAATTATGTCGTCATTCATTTAAAACTAATGACAATTAATTATCTATATTCTCAACCACTCTCTTTTTATAATGTTTTATAACTAATCTATTCTATCTATTTATTTTATCCTTATTCAATATTTACTTACTTTCTTTTAATTATTTAAATTCAAATTTACATCAATATTCATGTCAAATATCAGACAAAGACTAACACCCTCCAAAATTAAATTTAATGATCACCATCCAGATTTACCTCCTAAAATCAATTCATGTGCCAATCATTTAAACAAAAAAGCTAAATATCATGTTCTTAAAGATTCTACTCTTTAATTGTGTTCCAAATGTGCTGTCAATATGGTTGCTAAAGGAATCAAAGTATAAGAAATACCTGGATTAGAAGAAGAATATAGAAAAGATTAAATACTTAAATTTATTACATCTGTCAATAATTCATTACCATAAATTGATAAACTTATGAATGCACTAATTGCTAAACGATAAGATATACAAAAGTATTATGATTCATAAAGAGATAAACTTGAAAAATTTCATCTCTAAATTACTTAATGTTTAGAAGATGAAAAAATGCGATTACTTTAACAATTATTTACAAACTTTAAAAACTTATCCAAATAATATGATGATTCTATCTCTTGTTTGTAATTATCTAGATCTGAAACTATCAGTATGAAAACAGACATTGAATCCAATTTCGATGGAATACTAAGATAAATGTAAAATGAACCTTTTAATGAAATCATGACTAGCTATAATCAGAATCTTCAATTATTCATTGATAGAACTGATTCCATTTCAAAAACACCCATTGAAGTATTTAAAGTTACTCTTAATGAACCTATCAATATTACACATCTTATCACTGTTCATTCGCTCAAAACTTGTTTAATTAAAAAAAATCTATAAGAAATTAAAAATAAAATTGAATCCAATGACAGTGTCTATGTCAGTTTCGAAAACAAAGATCAATTCACACAACCTAAATTACCTAAAATGGCTCCATCTTTAAGTAAAACACCTAAAAAAGATCATGATTATGTGTCTCCATTTGAAATCAAAACAGAAGAAATCTATGAAGAAGGACATTCTTAAATGATAGAAAGAGATGACATTGAAAATTCCTATTAAATGATGCTCATTGATAATCAATCAGAATCCGAAGATTTAAAACCTGAACCAGACATCCTCAAATCTTTTGGACCATCCAATTCATCCAATTATAGTACAAATAATACTTTAATCCCAAATAATAAATTATTGGTATCTAAAATCATTTCAAGAGTTAATGATAAAAATGACAAAAAAATTGATAAAAATTATGCCTTCAAAGGAATCAATACTTCCCTAAAACTTGTATGATTATATATTTATATTCATTATATCAAATTTTATTACATAATATACATATTTTTATTATTTACCTATAATTAAACTCATAATATGGATTAATTCAGAGACAAAACCTCTATAATCAATCAAATCCGCACATGTAACGATTTCTAAAATTTTTAAAGCTAATCTCTGTTTTACCTGCATTTATAATTATACACAAAAATTCTTTCATTACAAAGTGAATCTTTAAGGTTCTCAAAACAAGATAAANCAATTATTTACAAACTTTAAAAACTTATCCAAATAATATGATGATTCTATCTCTTGTTTGTAATTATCTAGATCTGAAACTATCAGTATGAAAACAGACATTGAATCCAATTTCGATGGAATACTAAGATAAATGTAAAATGAACCTTTTAATGAAATCATGACTAGCTATAATCAGAATCTTCAATTATTCATTGATAGAACTGATTCCATTTCAAAAACACCCATTGAAGTATTTAAAGTTACTCTTAATGAACCTATCAATATTACACATCTTATCACTGTTCATTCGCTCAAAACTTGTTTAATTAAAAAAAATCTATAAGAAATTAAAAATAAAATTGAATCCAATGACAGTGTCTATGTCAGTTTCGAAAACAAAGATCAATTCACACAACCTAAATTACCTAAAATGGCTCCATCTTTAAGTAAAACACCTAAAAAAGATCATGATTATGTGTCTCCATTTGAAATCAAAACAGAAGAAATCTATGAAGAAGGACATTCTTAAATGATAGAAAGAGATGACATTGAAAATTCCTATTAAATGATGCTCATTGATAATCAATCAGAATCCGAAGATTTAAAACCTGAACCAGACATCCTCAAATCTTTTGGACCATCCAATTCATCCAATTATAGTACAAATAATACTTTAATCCCAAATAATAAATTATTGGTATCTAAAATCATTTCAAGAGTTAATGATAAAAATGACAAAAAAATTGATAAAAATTATGCCTTCAAAGGAATCAATACTTCCCTAAAACTTGTATGATTATATATTTATATTCATTATATCAAATTTTATTACATAATATACATATTTTTATTATTTACCTATAATTAAACTCATAATATGGATTAATTCAGAGACAAAACCTCTATAATCAATCAAATCCGCACATGTAACGATTTCTAAAATTTTTAAAGCTAATCTCTGTTTTACCTGCATTTATAATTATACACAAAAATTCTTTCATTACAAAGTGAATCTTTAAGGTTCTCAAAACAAGATAAAAATAAAGCTTTTATGGATTAAGATAAGATTTTGACTGAATATCAAGTTTATGATGATCTTTATTTTGGGGACATGCTTTATGCTGAAAAACAATAAAAAGAACATACAAAAAAAAACTTCCAAGTTGGTTTAATTAGTTAAAAGAAAACCTATTTAAGATTTATTTTAATTTCCAGATCAGAAAATACTAAAATATTACGAGTTCTCATAATTTTTATTCAAAATTTCTTATTTAATTAATTAATAATTAAATTAACAGTTATTTTATTAGTGAAGCAGGTTGTAACACAACTCCCAGGAAACCTGTTTTCTAGCAAACAAAAAATCAAATAGTCATAATCTCAAGAAATGGAGATTACCTATAAGAATTAGGTCTTTTTATCAACTTTTTGGAGACAGTTTATAAACCTTTTTTTTTCTTTTTCATAGACTGGTCCCTTAATCTTAATTAAAGATACCTATTTGTGATTATTTTATTTTTTGTTTGCAATAATATATAAATAATCAGATATTAATTTCTTTAGCTTTGTTAAGGCGATTTCCAAATAGCCAACAATGGCATTTTACTACCATTGTAATTTCTTGAGTCAAAAGGCTTTGATATTTACATCGACCACAAACTTAGGCAGTACCTTAAGTCTAAATTGCTTTGTCTTTATTCTAAAGCGTAACTAAAGTTCATAAATAATTATAAACTTATATTAGTCTATACTTCCTAAGTCACTTTTGAAGTTTGTTCCTGTTAGAAATTCTAGCTATTTTTTACTGTAGATTATTATTGAGAACTTTAACTTTTAAATTGACTTAACTAATTAATTTCGTTTGTAATAATCTCTGGCTTTTACTTTTCTGCTGTGGACTCGAATTAGTCTTAATTTTGTTTCAAAGACTGCCCAATAAGAAAAGATTAGAAAATATATTTAGATTAAGCGAATCTTTATGCTTAATTGATTATAAATTATAAATAAGTGTGTACCTTTTTAACGATTAATGAAAAACTATTGAAAGCAACCAAATGTTATTATAAATATGTAACTTTTTATTATTCTTTGTTATTCGAGTTCCAAACTATCTTCTCATTCTTTTTAATTAAATTTTCTATTGCTTTTTTAACACTCTCAGTTGCATTTAAAACATTTTCGAATGCAGGATTTATTTCATTTAAATTTTCTAAATACTCCTCCTTTTTAGATTCTTCAACTCTTATTTCTATCATATATTAAACCATCTTTTTCTCTATTTATTCAATATTTGAATCGATAGTCTTTTCATTTTAAATTACTATACTCTTCAATTATTCTTAAAGTGTCTTATCAGATTTGATGGAAATATGATTTATATCTAATTTTGGAAATGTTTCTTTTAATTTTTAAATCAACAAATTCTGAAATTCCTCTTGAGATTCATAAAATATTTTGGATTGATTTTTAAATTGATTATCCAAATTATCTAATTTTACTTATTATGAGGTAATATTATCTTTTAATGAGATTATTTCTTGTTTTAACTAATTATTTTCATGCTCAATTTTCTCCAAATTTTTGAGATCATCTTCTAATTTTTAAACTTTATTCTTTTCTTTACTAAAAGTATTAAATTATAAATTTACAAAACTTCAGCTTCTTGTTACTTAATCTGTGTCTTCAATTAATTATTCTATTAATCTAATTATCTAAATTATATCTCATTCCTTACATTTATTTTTAATTTAAATTGTTAATTTACTATTGATAATTAACTTGCTTCTAATTTTCGGTTTTTTAGGTTTCATTTTCTTTTTTTAAAACACCTATTTCTTTATCCATGTTTTATATTATTCTATGAAATTACCAGAAATTTTCTTTATAGTCTGGGTTCTGCAAAAGAATTTATTGTTATTTTGTAAAGATAATATTATATTTCTATTTGAATTCATCCTCATTTAATTAGCTTTTCTAATTTAATCAAAATCATACTTCCAATGATTTTTGTAAAAACTATCCAGATTTATTTAATGGCTAATTTCCCTCATTTGGTTATGCCTAAGCTAATTTTTCTTAAGAATATCCCTAAATATTTCGAGATTTTCTTGAAGTGGGTTGTTATTTAACTTCTTCATTTTTATTTTGTTTTGCAAGGAAATATTAATTTATTTCTTTTCTAAATTATGGAGTATTAGAAGGTTTTGGAGGATATTTCTCTATTTTCTAATTTTACATTTTTTGGGCTTAATCCATATAATTAATTATTTTTTATTTACAATATTTATTAATATAAGAAGAAAGAAAAATATTGAATAATTCTACATGGCCATTTACTCTCTTAATTGATTGATACTACCATATAAACTTATAAAAAAATTAAAATCCATATAATTTAGGATTTAAATATAAATATTTAATACCACTTAAAAGATTTTCATGATCTATCAAATAAAATCACATTAAAATTAAGACTACTATAATAGGATATGAAATGGAATGTTATCATTGAATTAATATTCTTTAAAAAGGAGTTTTTATTTATTTTTTCAATTTTTTATCCAAAAATGAAATCTAAAAATATATTTAATCTTCTATTAATACCATTTTTCAAATTTTACATCAATATTTATATAAGGATAAATCGAAATCATTTGTACTGAAACTTAGATCCTTTAAATGAATAATATTTAGATGGTCTGAATAAATTTATTTGAACTGTATCAATGCAATTATAGGAACAACAGAATAAATTAGATAGTTTATTAAGGTCATTGAAAAGAGGGAATTAGATTTAGAGTTAAAGATAGTTAAAAAGTTAATATCAATAAGTTACTACAAGAAGCACCAAAAGGGTGTAATAATAATTTGAATGCACAAAATTCACACTTATCTATTAAAAAAAGAATTTTAAACATCATTAATTAAAGACTAAATACTACAACAGAATTAAAGCATATGGAAATGAGCCTAAATTTAATATCAAAACTTAAATCAGTAGATAAATTAGAGATTTACAGGGTTCTTTCACAAATTTATAGAATTTAAATTAATCTACGAGACCTTGCTTAAAAACTTATACTGTTATATGACCCAATAGAATAGTTAAAAAATCAATAATTTTAAATACTATAGATGAAAGATTAGAGGGATAGAGTTTATTCGTAAATGTTTTCCTGAAATTAAATTAATGATTTCATTTAAAAATATTCAAATGATCAGTAATAAATAAGGAGAATATGAAATACTTATAGACTAAAATGCATTAGAAGGAGAGTTTAGTTTTAATAAAGTAGAAAGATAAATATAGATCTTGAATATCCAATAAATATGGGAATAATATTATGACATTTGGAATAATAAAAAGCGACAATTTGTAACCAGTTTCTGATATTAATATTAAATTTAAGTATTATCATGAACACTATTATATATTTTAGAGATGAGAATATGTTATTCGCAAATATATTAATTAATTTATCTAAATAATCAAAATATTTGTAGATGTTGATTAGATATTTAAGAGAAACACTATTATTTGTTAATTAATAAATAGATATCAATAAAAATTGTTAATAAAATAAGTACAGGTAAAGAATTGGATGGATGCATATAAATTTATAGAGAAATAATTGATAAATAAAATATTAAGTGATAGGTATGGATATTTCTATTAGAAATGTTGAGAGAATCCATCGATAAATTTGTAGTTCAATTTAGTATTTATATATTAATGAATATTTATATATGAAGTGGATTAAATTGATAATGTGATGAAGAGAGGTTAAGAAAATGAGATAAAAAAATAGAATTAATTATTTTTTAGGAATGTTGATTGTTTGTATGAATTATTTAATGTGATCATTTAATTTTTTTTGCATCTTTCTCCCAACTAGGAACATATCTAACAGGGAATCTTGATGAGGAATGATTAGTTTAAAATATTCTATCACATACACCCCAAATTCCATAATTGCAGGTAACATAGAAATGATGATTAATATGTCCAAATGGATCCCATCTTCCATCATGAGCGGCTTAGGCATAAACAGCAGTCAAAAATCCAAAAAAGCTAATATATAGTTGATTTATTTACTGATGCCAAACTGGAGGAATTGGATAAAAGAGACATGGGAAGAAATGTCCTAAAGGGCCTTATACTATAGCTTCTATTGGATGAACTGCATCTTAGGCAAATGCAGTTGGCTCAATAAATTCATGGTGTTGTTTATGAATATATTTCCAAAAGAATGGTTGATGAAGAATTATATGTGTAACATAGAAGTAGAAATCAAATCCAATTGAATATCTAATTATTATAAGATTAACATACACAAAAAGTCCAATTAGCCATTCTTTCAATCCAAAATCATGTGTCTCATAATAACCATAATAAGGTGTTAATGGTTCGATTTTCCACATAAATATAGTTGCAGATAACAACACCCAAAATAATGCTTATACTCCTCTACTAATTTCAAGTTTCATGTTCTTCATTCTAAAAGCAGATTTTGGAATTGGATTTGTGAATTCCAAAGCTGCACCTGTTGCTAAGTATGAAAAGTAGTAGAAAAGTCTATATTCATATATACTTTATAGTACCCGACATACAGATTGGCCCATAAAAAATCTTCAAAAGTATCGATTATTAATACTCTTGTTTTGGTATTTGGAGGTAGTTTCAAACCTGGTAACATAGCAGCATATTCATGAATATTGAATGCATAGCAAGTAGTCCATAGTAAAGAAATAATGGAAATTTGAAATACAACTTTCATTAAAATAAAATATTGAACACATTAAATCATAAATCAGTTTTTGTATCATCAGCATCAGTATCATCTTCATTTTCTTTGTTTTCATCTTTCTTTTTTTATGCTTCTTGAACTACTGGATCACATACTCTAAAAAGTTTATAAAATATATATTACTTTTATAAATCTTTTAATTCTCCTTCATAATCTTCCTTATCATAGTTGGCTTCATCCTTTTTCATCCATTCTTCACTTTTTTGAACAGCATCTTTTAAGGTTTATTTTTATTCTTCAGTCAAGTATTTGGATAATTTTTTCTAAGATATTAATTTATAAAATATACCTCATCTTCAATTTGATTTTTAATAGAGTAAATGTAGGAATCCAGACTATTTTTGGCATCAATTTTTTCTTTAGCAATTTTATCTTCTTCAGCAAATTCTTCAGCTTCCTTAATCATTCTTGCAATTTCTTCTTTAGTTAATTTGTTATCAGAAGTGATTTAGATTTGATTCTTCTTTCCACTTGATTGTTCAGATGCAGAGACAGATAAGATACCATCTTCATCAATTTCAAAAGTGACTTCAATTTAAGGTTATCCTTTAGGCATTTTAGGGATATCAGTTAAATCAAATTATCCCAATTTATGATTGTCTTTAACTAAAGGTCTTTCTCCTTCGAAAACAGTAATAGTAACAATAGTTTGATTATCAACATAAGTAGTAAAGACTTAAGATTTTTTGGTTGGAATGAAAGAGCCTTTAGGAATAATCTTATTCATAACTCCTCCTACAGTTTCAATACCCAAACTTAATGGGGTGGCATCAATAACAAGAACACCATCTGTAGAATCAGATTATTCACCACAAATCAAACCTCCTTAAATTGCAGCACCATAACAAATAGCTTCATCTGGATTAATTCCTGTATTTGGATCTTTTCCTTCAAAAAATTCCTTGACTATTTATCTTACCTTTGGGATACGAGATGAACCACCAACAAGAACTATTTCATCTATTTAACTCTTCTTCAATCCTGAATCATTCAAAGCTGTCTACATTGGTTCTATTGTCTTTTTGAATAAATCACTATTCAATTCTTCAAATTTAGCTCTTGTTAATACTTCACTGAAATCTAATCCTTCAACTAAATCTTCAATTTCTATTTTTGCTTCTTAGGCTGCAGACAATCTTCTCTTAGCCTTTTCACATTCTCTCTTTAATTTTTAAATTGCTCTCTTATCTCCTGATACATCTTTTCCATGCTTCTTTGAAACCAACTTCATAAAATGATCAATCAATCTTTAATCAAAATCTTCACCTCCTAAATGTGTATCTCCTGATGTTGAAATGACTTCAAATACTTTATTATCAATTGTTAAAATAGAAACATCGAAAGTACCACCTCCCAAATCAAAAACTAATATATTTGATTCAACTTCTTTTGAATCTAAACCATATGCTATTGCTGCAGCTGTTGGTTCATTCAAAATTCTTACTACATTCAAACCTGCAATATTTCCCGCATCTTTTGTAGCTTATCTTTGAGCATCATTAAAATATGCTGGAACTGTCACTACTGCATTTATAACATTTTAACCCAAATAACCCTCAGCAATTTCTTTCATTTTTTACAACACCATAGCACTTACTTCTTCAGGAGCAAATACTTTTGATTAAGTACCCTTCTCTACTTAAATATAAGGCTTTCCATCTCTATCAACAATTTCAAATGGTAAAAACTTCTTATCATATTGAATGGTTGCATCTGAAAATCTTAAGTATTCATAATGATATATACTTTCTTCCAATCAATCTCTTAACATCATAAAGAGTTCTGCTTGGATTAGTGGTAGCTTAATTCTTTGCAGCTTCACCAATTAATCTCTCTTAATCTGTGAATGAAACAACTGATGGTGTGATTCTATTTCCCAATTCATTAGGAATAATCTCTACATGTCCTTATCTAAACACTCCAACACATGAGTAAGTTGTACCCAAGTCAATACCAATAACTGGGCATTCAACTTTGCTTTCACATAATGAGACAGAAATAAGGAGCAAACCAAGTAATAATTTTCTCATAATATATTATTACCAAATGATGTGTATAATTAATTTATATACAACATTAGATTTTCTAGAAATTCTTTAACGTGTAATTAATTCATATCAATTTATTCTTTCGAATTATTAATTCTTAAATTAATACTTCTTCTTCCTCATCTATTCTTGTCACTACATAATGTAAAAACATTCCAAAAATAATCCTCCTCTATCCCAATAAAACTTTTCTTGATTTCTATCTAAATTTCATAAATACTTGTATTATCAGATATCATTAGATTGTAAGATTTCAATTCATTTTACACATAAACTCTACTAACTAGGACAAATGGTACAATTTCAAAATGACTTTCTCTTTATTCACTAAAAGGAAATGTAAATTAATGAAAGGGTTTTCCTGATATTCTTTTTGAGAAAAGATATGATTAAATTATTACATATATTCATATATCAACATTGAAGTATAAACTTATAATGATTGTTCCCAAAATACCGAGAAAACTTGCTATAAGTTGAAATGCTAAACTGTATGTCATAGCTATTCCTAATACAGTAAATGGTCTATTTTCTTCCTCATAACATAGATCTGCATAGGCTTAATCGATAGCATTCAATATGTATTATGAATACAAAAAAAACCAATTTTTATTTTAATCCCCAAATTGTATTCTGTCCAATATAGCTTTGAGTGTTTTAAACATAAAATCTTAAGGTTGAACATGAAATTCTTTCTTAATGAATGATTAGGTTGAAAGTTATTAATATGTAAACATATTCTTCTTTAACATTGTTTAATGGATTTTAAAATGCTTATTTATTCGAGCACCCTAAAATACAACAAGAATAGATAGAAACATAATTGTTAATACATCATAGCTTATTAATATGAATAAAGAGATCTTACTTCCATCACTTAAAGAGTAACAACTTATTACATCAAACATATTCAAAATAGCAAAGATAACCAAAATCAATATGATTTCTAAACAAAATGAAATGATAGCATTTTCCCTCTAATAATACTATAAACCATAATCTAAGATAACTTTTCTTAGATTCTACCATGCAAATAAGGATTGAACACATAAGAAATTTAATGTGGGGAATATTTTGGTTTCATCATATTCTTCCACTTGTTGAGTAGATATTAAATGTGATAGTTGATTTAAGCTAAACACTTTTCTTTGTAAGTCTCTGAAAGTTATCAAAATGATTGATATTACAATAAAGTATCCAACAGTATTTAGGATAGTGATAGCTACATACATTGCAATTTATATTGAAACTGCTTTCTAAAAGAATGAATAAGTTACTGTAATGCAAAGACGAATAATAGTCAATGCAGTTGCCACAGCTATATAAATATAAAGAGGAGATTATTCATTATAATATTAGATTATTTCTATACCCATCTTAATACCATTTCCAGCATACTTACCTTCAACCTTTAAATTCTCAAATTTATGAGAAATTTTGTCTTTTCTTTTTTCATTTGGTTAAACTATAAAGAAAAAAAGAAATAACCCAGGCTCAATATGTAATCTACGTATTGATTACTCTAACTCAAATTAAATTAATTCAGGACTCTATTAACACCATCGAAGTGGGTTAATCTAATTTTCAAATTTATTCATTATAACTTCAAGTGGGAATTTTTCTAATAATTCAATCTTTTAAGGATGATAAAAAGCTAACATAATATTTTAGACTACTAATTCTGAAAACAGTTGAATAGCATAATAAAGTAGCACTATTTAATTTAAGATATGAATTTATACATTAGAGTTAAAATTGATTCATAGGATGATATATAAAACCTATGGCTAAAGTTAAATCTAAAAAATATCTGAGGTATGTGCATAAACATGTCCATTTAAAACCTAATAATTAAAAATTATAGAGTAATTATTTATGAGTCCAAATAAATATAGGTATAACCAAAGGACCTATCACAGTATATATTAATGTGAAAATAGTGTATTTAATAAATGAATTTACCTGAAAATGAACTTCATGAGGTTTACTCTTATATTTTGGATTATTTGGATCAAATTTAGATATATCCAAATTATCTTCTTTGAAAATATCATTACTCAGAGAAGTCTTTAGAATTATTGGATCATTTTAAATTTTAGAACTAGATTGAATCATTTTATTTTGAATATCTTAAATTATTGAACTATGTGTATATATGGATGGAGCAATACTAATTTACTCATTAAAAAGTTCTTCAGGAATTTATTCTTCCGACATTTTTATTTTAATTTATTATAATCATTAAATAAACTGTAAGATGAAATTTAATTCTGTAGGGTTCTAATCAATCCCAATCAACTCATAAAAAATTTATAAAAGCAATATATTCATCAGCTCTATCAATCTCAGATTTTTCTTGATTTCCGAAATCATTAAAATCAATTCAATACGTTACTTTATCATGTATTCTATTCAATGAATTCATACATTTAAATAATTTAAAGAGTAATTATTTCTTTACTTACACTCTTAAAATAGTTATTCTAAAGTAATCTATTTATACTTAATTTAAGTAATTAATACTTTAAACAAAAGATCTTTTACTGTGAATATGTAATCCAAAGGCTACTATTTTATAAAGAGTTTTCTTCTTAGTAATCCTTTGGTTTGATCAATTTGTGTTGAATTTATACTCTCCATAACACCAAGGCAATTTAGTTTTAAATAAAAATCTATTGTGGGGTGTTTATATGGATAATTTATTAAGGAGTTTTTAATTAAAATTATTATTGTATTGATTATCATTTAATAATAAAATCAATACCTAAATTCTTATAAATTACAATCTAACAAGATTTTTCTCAAATTTATTTTGGAGTATATTGAAACTATGCATAATAAATTTATACTTAGATCTTTAATTCTTAGAGTGTTATTCAATAGACAATTCTCTTTAAATTTATGTAAATCAGCGTATTCAAAAAAATTGTTCATGATCCCAATTGTTTTTTCAAATTTCTATTATCTACATCCTTCTAATGCAAATTATTCTATTTCAATCCTAATAAATTATCGTTATCATCTTAGATTTCGTTATGCACAATAATATGGATTGATATCTTATTCTATTGAGTTACTTATAAGAAAAATTTTCTACAATGATCAATTTGTAAAGATGAGAATATAAGTATTGAAAGAACATCCTTTTGAATATGTATGATTATACAATATAATAAAGAAAATCTCATAAAACTTAAGAATCAATGATTATATTAGAGTTGTATAGCTCAATATTTAGGGAAAAAATTGGAATTTAATACGTTTTAAATAAATTGAACCTTTCTTTTCTTGTTTGTTATAATGAAAGATTTCATTTGCGTATTTGTTCTTCTAACATACATATTATAAAATAATATATTAAAAAGAATAAAAAAATAATTATATATATTTACGAATAATTATTCTATAGGTTTAAACAATTGTATTGAAATTAATATTTATAAAAAAGAGTACTAAAAATAGTGATTGGTGATTTTTTCTGACAAGGAAAATTTGGAGATTTAAATTTTGATTGTATGAATATTGATTATATTATTAACTTAAGTAAAAATGGGTCTTTCATTCTCAAAATTGTTTGAATAGTGGTTTGGAAAGAAGGAAATGAGAATATTAATGTTGGGTTTAGATGCAGCAGGTAAAACAACAATATTGTACAAATTGAAATTGGGAGAAGTTGTAAGTTCAGTGCCAACAATTGGATTCAATGTTGAGACAGTAGAATACAAGAATATAAAATTCACAGTATGGGATGTAGGAGGTTAAGATAAAATCAGATTATTATGGAGACATTATTATTAAAATACATAAGGTCTAATTTTTGTTGTTGATTCCTCTGATAAAGAAAGAGTAGATGTAGCTAGAGAAGAATTGATGAGAATGTTAGGTGAAGATGAACTTAGAGATGCTGTTTTGTTGGTATTTGCCAATAAATAAGACATGGGTGTAATGACAGTACCAGAAATAACAGAGAAATTGGGATTACATACACTTAGAAGAGAATGGTACATTTAAGGTACTTGTGCACTCACAGGAGATGGATTATATGATGGTTTAGATTGGTTAGCTAAAACAGTAGGAAAGAAGAAATGAATCAAAGAACTTTTATATTAAAACAATTTGTTTAACATTTATTATAAATATTTTTAAAATGATGTTATTAATTTAGATGCAAATTAATATTATTATTTGTTATGAATCAGCCATTGATAGCTGAATAAGGATTATATATAGGAACAACTTAACATTTCTAAAGACACCTCTTATATTGGAAAAGATGGACTTATTTCTAATTCCTTTTTTTAATGCTCTCAACTTTACTTGCAATTTGTTATATTTCAGAATATAACTATCAAATATAAATAGATTATGTACCTATTATTGTAGCAACACAAAACTTAATTCAAATTATTGTTTATATTAGATGGAGATGTGTTATGAAAAACAAAGTATTTTTATATTTTGAACTTTAGAATAACTTTATTAGATGTTCACAATACTTAAATTAATAATCGACTGTCGATTATGAATGGATTGATGAATTTGATATCCATTTTTGTAAAAATATTATCACTTATAAAAGATTACAGATACAACTCTTATTCACTTAATTTATAAATGCAATTTAAATTAGGTTATCTCTTTCGAATTTATGTAATTCTAATTAATATCTACTAGATGTATACATCCTATTTATATGCAATACCAGTAGTTTTTTGGTTGATAACCATCCCCTTATTTATTATTTACACTGACTAAACTAACATTAATAAATGGCAATGTTTGACATTCCTTATCATAACTCTTCTTGTAACAGGTTTTGATTTAATAGCTTTATTCACCTACCCTTTTTATTATATTCCAAAATCTATTCTTACTTAATGCAGAAAAAATAAATAAATTAAACCATACAATCCTTTAAATTTTGATTAAGAAAATTCTTAATGTGCTATTTGTTTAATTGAATATCAAAAAGGAGATGTTATATTTATCCTCCCATGTAACTCTAAACATTTCTTTCATTAACGGTGCATTAAAAATTGGATTCAATATCAATCCATCTGCCCTTTTTGTAGAGCAGATTTTGAATATTTAGAATGATTAATGATGATAATATCTTTATCATTACTATTTTAATCAATATTTATTCTATAAGTATTTATATTATTATTCAATTTGAATAGTCAACAAAAATTATAGATATAAATATTTTAAATCATTTCACTTTCTTATTCTATCGTTATAAAATTGATTTAAATTCTTCATTTGTCAAATTTGATTTAGATTTATTACTAGAAGTACAACTACCATTACTTGTCATTACTTCAGAAGATAATACACTCACATTCTAAATAATATGTCTCTACTTCAAAGGAGTCTTAGAACTAATCTAAGTCGCCATTGTCTTTCTTGGAGGTACTGATTGAACCACTCCTAAAACTTAATCTACATAATGTGATTTCTAATCAGAATTCAGCTTCTCAAAATTAGGTATCATCAAATGTAAAAACGAAGTAAATATTATCCCATTTATTTCATCAAATTGTTTCTGATTCATGTATTTACTATAATTATATCTCCCTTTTGCAATCGATTTACATTGTGTTTGAAAATTGTAACATTATGCCATCAATTGTTTTATGTTGCTTTTCCTTTATTAAATTCTCTAATATCACATACGTCTTACTTTCCTCAAAAAATTATGAATGTGTCCTTCCAAAAATAATACTATCTATTTCAATCTGTAAAAATTGCAAACATATTTTCTACTCATGTATCCTCGATAAAATTTCTAAATGCAAATGCTGCTTCTGATCATTCTTTTTGTTGGTTAAATCAAAGATTGAGTATTACGAGTTGATTTCTTAGATTTCTATGGTTATATGCAAAACCCATATTCATTATGATTGTCTAATTCTTATTATATTTATACCAAATGATGAAAAATAGTTTAATCTTCTTATTTACTTTATGGCTTGTCTTGCTAAGAAACCTCTGAATGTTTTTTGTATTACTGTTGCAGCATAATTTAACAATTCCATTTTTAAATTTGAATATTTATATAATTATGAATAATATTTATCTCATTTGAATAGATCAAATGGAGTAGGCTATGATTAAGGAATTGGCTAATTATATTATTGAACTTAAGGAAATGCTGTATAAGCTAAATTTCCAACTATTGGTTATTGATTTCCATAAAGATTCAAAATATTTAAATTTTATTATTATGGAGGAGCTTATTAAAATCCCTATCCAAAAGGTTATTAATTTTAAAATCCTTATTATGAAGGAATCTAACCTATTTATCCAACTTATCCTATTTGTCCTACTTAATTAAAAGAACTAAAATTAGATAAATTAATTAAATACTCAAATGCTGATGAAATTTAATTTGTTTATTAATATATATTTTACTATTATGATTACTATTGTTAAGTCTATTATTAATTCCAACTATTACTACCAAAAGCATCAAATAAATTTGGTTATTAAGTTGTTTAAATAATTTATTATTATTACTATTATGATTATGATTATTATTATTATTAAGATTACGATTATTATTATTATTATTGTTAATTAAAAAATGGATCTAATTCTGATGTCACAACTTATTTTTATTGTTGTTATTATGGTACATCATCATCTAAATTTAATAAATCAACTTCTATAAAATTATATAAAAAAATAAAACTTTTTTATTATTAATTTGTTTGAGCAGTGGAACCTTATGAAAATCCAGATTATGAAAATGCATCTCCAAATGGATTATTATTCGTCTTTGATACCTAACCAAATTATTCAAATTCTTCAAATGCACCTGGTTATCCAAATGCAGTTGATGTTCTAGAATAAAAAATATAATTAGACTTAATGGATTATGAAGTAATAGGTTTTGACTAGATAGGATTATTATCTTTAGAATTATCAAATTTAATATTTAAATTAATTTTCCTAATGAAATAGAATGATATAATAATGTACTATGAATTGTTTTGAAAATTATTATTGGAAAATTGAGTATTAAAATTTGGAGGCTCAGAATAAAAGTTATCTGTTTTGTTATTGGTATTAAGTTTCTCTTCGTACACAAACTCATTCTAAGTTTTTTCTATTTGATGATATATAAGTATTACATTAAGTGTATAGATGTGAGAAGACTTTATTATTAATTCTCAATTCAAATGCATCACCTTGTTAAATAACATTTAATGCAAATCCTTCAAGAGTAAAGGGATATTAAAACGAGGAAGTGAGCATCCTGATTAATATAGATTTCAAATTTACATGCTTTCATGAAGTACTCTAGCATCCAATACTAATTTTCTTTTTCCACTTAGATATGAAAATTCTAATTCCAACATATGTTACTTATCTTCCAACATAAATGTCCATTTGTATTTCTTTTTTGACCTACAAATTATTTCATTTTTTAATTTACGATTTGAAATACCTTCCCATATCTTCGACCTCATAATTTACAGCCTAAATACTCATTTGATTTATTATATATATATTAATATATTAATGATATCACTACTTCTCCAATTACTAAGTTAGCTCATCTATTCTACATTTCAATTTCACCACCTACAAACCGTACATTTATAACATCTTCCCAGAATCACTACCCTAAACACAAAATGTTATTCACTCTTGTACATTCTATTTTTATATGATTCTCTTCAATTCTTCATTTTCCATCTTTAATAATTTCAACTCTGAATTTGCTGCCTACTCTATCTTAGGTAAAAATCCACTCTAATTACCCTTTCTCTATATTTCCTATTTCAATTCAGCATTCTCTGCTTCCAAAGATTACAGCTATCTTCTCATTGCCCCTAATTTTTATAGCAATTCCTAATTGTCTTTCTATGCCTATTCTAATATTTAACGAGGATTATTGTTTGCTCTAGGCTCCACAGATTTTCTCTTACTAAAATTATTATTTTTTAATTTCAATACTCTTGCTTCTTTTAAACCTATTGAGTTTGTGAAAATTATTATTATGATCTCTATTATCCTTATACCCTTGTCACTTAATTCACTTGCTGCTTTTTCACTAGATTTTACTACATTTTCTCATTCAAATCCTTCAAACTTTATGGTTGCTTCACAGTTTAACTCATTCCTGATTAAGCTCTAGAATTCTATTGTGGAGGCTTTTCCCTCACAAAACATTGACTTGTATTTAATCGCTATTCAAAATCTTCAATATCCATTTAAGACACCAAATCCTAGTCATCTGAAAACTCCTCCTTATTCTATTCATCGATTAACTACTATAACTCGTCTTTTCTCTAATATTATTTATAGATTACGATCCATTCAAAACTTCTTTTTTTTTTATTTAGAATATTTATAACAAAATTATAATAACTTATCATCTTTGCTTAATTAATCTCACACACAACTAATTATCATTATTATTAACTATAAATACATTCATACAATTAAACAATTTTAACAAAATACAATTTATGCTATTTTTTAAATGTTAATGATATCATTTTTTAGCCATTTTCATATAAATAGTTAAAATGTTTCAACTTGTTTACATATAAGATAATCACATATAAGTTTAAATTTTCAATATATTTCATTATAAGCATTATTAGATCTCATAAGTTTAAAGATTGAATATACATTCTAAAATGTTAGTAGTATATTGATTTTCATCGTTTAGTATTTAAAATATATATTTTACATCTTCGCTAAAAAGAAATTTGATTAGGCAAGTTAAATTGCAAAATTTAGATATCAGAGATGATAACTCTATAATAATTGGATTAAGATAATGATTGATTAAGTGATATTTATGTAAGTTTATTTAAGTAATATAATATTGATAATTTAAGATATCAATATAAATTTAGAAATTTTTATTTATTTTTTATTTGAATAATAAAATTTATTTATTTAATGAGTTCACCAAAAAAGTAATAAAGTTAAAGAGAGGATCCAATCTCTTGTATAATTGAACCTTCAAGAAAATATGGAGGTCTTTATTTAGGCAACATGGAAGCTGCAAGTATTTGATAAATAAATTTAGGTGATCCATATACTTTATCATAATATTAAATCAAAGCTATATTAACTGTTTGTCCTTAGAGTATTCCTTCATCAACAAAAATAAAGTTAAATTTTTATCATCAATGCATGGCTGATGATGAAGATAACTATTAAATAAGCAAACACTTTGATGAATCATATAGATTTATTGAAGCATCTCGTATGTCTACAAATGTATTGGTACATTGTTAAATGGGAATCTCAAGAAGTGCAGTTATTGTTTTAGCTTATCTAATAAAAAAAGATCTGATTGGTGCTAGAGAAGCACTTGAATATGTTGAAAAGAGAAGACCAATAATATTTCCAAATAATGGTTTTTTGAGACAGTTAGGGACATTTGAACGATAAGTGTTCAATGATTTAATAAATGACTCAAATTATAATAGAAGAATAGCAAGTCCAAAATAAGTTGAGAGAGATTATAAACAAAGATAATTTGATGATGAATTCGAAATAAAGATGTAAAGATTAAAAGAATCAAATAAACAGTAAATACATTAGTAGTATGATATACAGAAATAGAATATCTATAGAAAATAAGAGAATACTTTATTTTCTAACTTATACTACAAACACTATTGAAATTATAATAATATATAAATCATTAATTAGAATTCAGCTTAGTTTTTAGTATGGCTCTTTATAAGAGTTTGTTTTGTTCAGTATAAACATTAATAGGATGAGATTTAGTTTTTTTGTGTTGACTTATTTGAATAGATCTGGGAGATTGGGAAGTTTTGATTTAGTTTCTGGCTTCAGTCAATATTTTTTCAAGAGCATTGTATTTTTTGAACTAAGATTTTAATATAAATTATTAAGGTTCTAAAATAAAGGTGTTATATTACTGAACAACATTTTTGGACTTTATTTTCTTGAAGAACTTAGAGTAATGGTTTATTTAGTATCAAAAGGTTATTCAAGTGAGGGTTATCTAGTAAGCGGCATATTTTCTTATATTGATCTGAATTGTAATGAAAATGAATACCTAGGAGTTTATGAAACAAGGTTCTATTCAGCAATTTTGAAATCTTTAACTTTTTTCATAAATTGACTATAATTATGATTTAAATTGGGTCCATTCTTTGAGAATATATTACGAGCTGAACCTTATGATGGTAGGTTTTATTTTTCTGGTGATCCTTTAATAAAGCAATCATTACTTAGATTTTGTATAATAACATTAGCTAATCTTTATTTTTTATGTTCTGCAAATTCAGATATTATATCATGAAATAATTGATATTTATGAGATCTGAAACCACAAAGTTTTGAATAAGTTGATTAACATCTAAGTTTTTTAGGTAATTAATCATAGTCATTAGGATATTCAAAAGAATAATTTTTATGTTTATTCGATCTTTTAAATACATTTGTCATCTTAAAAGTCTAAGTCATTTTATTAGACTCTGTTTTCAATTTTCGATTAAATACATATGATTAAAACATAATTAATTATAAAATGCATTTTTTACTTTTACATCATTTTTTCAATTTATTTATAATTTAAAAGGTATGATAGATAAAAGTCAAAATAATTAAAACAACTTATTTGTAATAATATTTCCTTCTTGTATTCTGAATGAGATTAAGATGATAATTTAAAAATAATAGTTCATTTATTTTTTATGATTACATAATTCTTTTGTTTTATCTTATAATTTGTGATTATGTGATCTTATGATTACATAATTCCATCTTTTTTTTTATCTTCAATAAAAAATAATCTTTTAAGAATATTATTCTTGTAAGCTAATGAAAAAAAAAGAATCTTTCAGGGTTAATTTAAATTTAAGAATGTTTTTCAAGGTTATTATAAATAATGTGAGAATAAAAATACATTTAATTCTTTTTTGATGTATTTTAATGTGTTTATCTGTGTGATATACTGGTAAGAAGTAACATTTAAGAGTAAAACCATAAACTTGAAACTTAAGCTAACATGTGAAATTGATGCATATTTTATGTTTAAAACTCTTAGATTAGGGATGATATGATAATTATTTAAGTGAATAATTTAAAAATTTTAGAGAGATATTCTATATTTTAATTCTAGTATGTTAAATGTTAAAATAAACTATAATTAATTTAATTAAAATACTAATTCTAAAATTTCCTCTTTTTTCCTAGTTTTCTTAAATCTCCTAAATTCAAGTAATCAAAATTAAGATATAGATTTTGGATATCTAGAAAATTATATTGAAAAATGAAAGGATAAAAGAATTAAATAAAAATGATATTGTTCAGAATGTGTTGTTTTATAGGATTACTAAAGTTGTATTTAATTGATTTGTATGATTTTCTAGATTTTAATGAATTATCATTATATATAGAATTGGTATAAATAGTTGTGTATATTTTAGAAATAAGAATGGTTTAAGATGAATTGTATAAATTTCTGTTTTATAGGAGATATGATTTTGTTGAGTAAGACAGTAGTTAATATATGAAATGAAGAGTAGAAATGTTGGGGTATTAAATAATTGTAAAGGATAGATAGTAATTAAAATGAAATTAATATTAAAAAGTGATATAGTTTTAGTATAATTAAATCAGTGGAGTCGTGAATTTATCAGCAACATAATTTCTGATGTCGTGAGACATAATATCATCAGATTAAGTATTAAGAAATGTTTTCGATTATATTAATAATTTTGTATTGATAAAGAATTTATGGGATAATAAATAAATATAATATGAAGCTTACGTTAATTAATAATTTATGATATAAAAGTTCATATAAAGAGTTTCATATTTCGATACATTTGGAGCAGAGGTGAAGTTAAATTTCCAAAAAAAAGAAACTCATCAATCTCCATTCGGTGGTTTTTGCACAATTTTAATGGTAGTTGTTTTAGGGATAGTTTTCATATCAGGAGCAATAAATGTAATTAAATAGGAAACATTCACTGTAACTTTATTTTATAATCTATTGAGATCTCATCCAATAAGATATTAAACATTGATCCTCCTTTGACTACACTCAATTATAATGATTACATGATAGCATTCTAAGTAGAGGATCCAATCATCAACGGAACTAAAAAGTTAATAGATTTTATCTATACATAATATGAACAAAAGCTTAATGAAAATGGTACCCTTAATAAAATTGAATTATACTCATTACCACTTGAATAATGCACTCTCAATCATTTTCAAGACCTTAATGAATCCACCATCTATAATGTATAACTACCTATCTACTAAATTTTAGAAAATACTCAAAGATTAACTCAAAGGTTACTATTGTCTCCCTATCAATTATACACTTAATCTTTAAGGCACCTATAAATCTAATACGTTTTAATATGGCAGAATTACTGCTATACTTTGCTCCACCAATTACTGTTATTCAGACTCAGAAATTCACCAATTCTAACTCTAGGGATATTTCAACAATAGTTTCAAAATTAACACTTTGATACTCAATCGAGTATCCAATCTAAATCTATAATCTAACTATATTTCCTATATCTACTCTGATTTCTACATATCTGCTAAACTAGGTTTAGAAACAAAAACAGACATCTATCTTGAGAAATAAGCTATGAACATTGAAAATTCTGTTGTCCCTGGAGTTTAAAATATTCATGATTAACATGTTTTCTCACTTGATGAAAATAAATTAAATCCAAATACTGTCTATACTGCTAATATTACTGAGGTTGCATCATTTTACATAAGACTCTCACAATCTGAAATGCATTATTCTAAACAATATTATCGTATAGATGAACTTATCTCTTATGTTGGTGGTATTACTAAATTTTTAGCCACTGTTTTGGGATATTTTATACTTAAATACAATGAAACTGGTTTATAAATTAAAATGGCTAATGCATTGTATTAATTTGATATGCCTGAAAAAAAAAAAGGAGAATTAGTCTTTTCTTTTTAATCTTTGGTTTCAAAACTCATTGATTCTATGCAATCTGTTAATGATGTAGTTCAAAAATTTAAACAGAGTGCTCAAAGAGTTATACATATGACAAGAGTTGCTACTGCATTAAAATTACCTATAAATTCTACATAACAATATGATTAAAAGGAATAAGAAAATCTTAGCATACATACACATAGAGTATCAATAATTAATCATGATGCTTAATATGGTAATTTGAAATCAGAGAAATCTGTTGATTAGACACATGAAAATCATCATTAACCTAATTTAGATAAAGATAAAGAAAAATACTTAGATGAATTTATTAAAAAGATTTTGGATAGTAAAAAGAAATTATCATTTGGGATACTTTTTATAGTTAAATAAATATGTGATATTTTTAAGAGAAATAACAAGACAAATTATTAAGCAAGAATATTTGAAAAATCAAGAAAAATGATTTTAAGAGATATGGATATTTTAGTAGTAATGAATAAACTTTAAGAAATGTAGAAATTTAAATATATACTTTTTAATAAGACATAAAGGAAAGTATTTAATTATTTGCCAAAACCAGTTGTATGTGTAAATGAGAATAAATAGAATTGTTAAGAAGTGAGACATCTTAGGGATCAATCTTCAGAGAATGATTTAACAAATAAAAAGAATGATATGTTAAAATTGACGAGTAATTCAAAAAGTTTATTAGGAGGCAGATAGAGATTCAATACAGATATAAAATATAAGAGATTATATAAAGCATATGAAAGTTTAGCATTGTGTGAAGATAATCATAACGAAGATAATCAAATTTAAAATAGTGAAGATGGTGATAAATAAAATACAGATTAATCATTAAATAAAAGATTGTTAAAAATGGTCGAACCAACAATTTAGTATAGTTTCAATTCTCTTATTGAACTAGAAAAGTTATCTAAATAAAGTAGGAGTAGAAGAAAGAGAGTAATTCATCCTGCTATGAAAAATCAAATGGCATAATTAGATTCTTAGAATGAAGATGGAGAAGATGATAATGAAAATGAGATTGATTGTATAACCTTAAAGGGTTGTAAGAAAGATCAATATACAAAAAGATCACCAAATAGTTTAAGTAATTATAATATAAAGAAAACTCATAATACTATTGGAAGTAGTGCAAGATAACATTAAGAGATCAAATTAACGAAAGTTAAATCGAAACAAGACTTAATAGATATCGAAGTATTCAGTTCATGAATTATAAGTGAATAAAGTTTAGGATTTTAATATATCTCAATATTAATAATTTATTTTAAAAATGCACAATGAGGATGAATTGAATGTGACAAAAATAAAATCGCATTTGGTTATTGATATGCAAAACCATCATGATATCATAAAGGAGAAATTAAGTGATAAGCCTAGAAAAGTGTTGATTTTAAATACAGGTGGAACTATATCAATGTTTCCATCTCAAACAGGATATGTTACAAAAACGGGTGCATTGAAAACCTTTCTATAAAACAATCCCTTCTCTTGTGACATGGATTACACTTATTTTAAGGCTAATAATGATTTTCTAATTACTCCCTTAACTGCCTTTAACCGAAGGATTTGGTTTAAAGTGGATGAATTAGATAAATTACTTGATTCTTCCAATATGACATCAGATGATTGGGTTACCATAGCAGAAAGAATTGAAAAAGCCTATTCAGAATATGATAGCTTTATTATCTTACATGGAACAGACACTATGGCATATACAGCAAGTGCTTTATCATTTATGTTTTAAAACCTATCAAAAACTGTTATTTTAACAGGTAGTCAAGTACCATTATCATAACCTAGAAATGATGGTTTTACTAATTTTTTGAATGCTCTTACAATAGCAGGTCATTTTACAATACCAGAAGTATTGATATGTTTTTAAGATAAATTATTAAGAGGGAACAGAGCTTAGAAAGTTAATTCTTCATCATTAGATTCTTTTGATTCTCCTAAGTTCATCCCCTTAGGTTATTTTGGAGTCAATATTAGTATTAAATGGGATATCATTTTGAAGAATCCAAATGAAGATACCCTATTATTGAATAAGAAATTCTGTACTAATATAAGTTTAATACGTTTGAATCCATTGTTGAATCATATGACACTTAATGAAATATTTAAAAATGAAAAACTAAAAGGTGTTGTAATAGAAACATATGGAGCAGGGAATATGTAAACTGAAGATAAATTTTGTGCTGAAATAGCATAAGCAGCCAAAAGAGGAATTGTCATTGTTAACATTTCTTAATGTCATACATCCTAAGTAGAAATGATATATGAGACAGGAATCATATTCGAAAATATGGGAGTGTATTATATTATTATCATATTTAAATAGTATAAGTGGTGGAGATATGACATCATAAGCAGCATTTACTAAACTTGGTTATTTATTAGCATAAACTGATGATGTTGAAAAAGTTAAAGAAGAATTCTAAAAAAATATAAGAGGAGAATTAACTGAAGCTGGAGGAACTGCTGAAACTGAACCTTTTCTTATGGCTCTATCATCAGCTATTAAACAATAACATTCTAAAATAGATTTAAATAAAGATCTTGTTTTTCCAAATATCTTATGCTAGATATGTGTTTAAAAAAAGAAACTTTCATCAATGAAATTATCAAAGATTGTAAATATATTATATTTATATATAAAGGAAATCAATTACAAAGCATAAGATTATGATATGAGAAGCATTTTACATGTAGCTGCAAGAGAAGGTTCATTAGAGATTGCTGAATTAATTCTAAGAAAATGTCCAGAAATTGTCAATAATATAGATAGATGGAAACATAGTCCTATGTATGAGGCTGTAATGACTAAGAATACTTAAATGATTCAATTATTATTAAGATTCTAAGGCAAATTAATTGCTCCCATCAAAGAATTAACCTAACTCTTGATGTTGGATGTTGCCAATAATAAAGTAGAAATGCTTAATCTTTTTTATGAAGCTGGTGAAAGGGATTTTACATAATATAAAACTGAAGACAACAGAACTGTTGCTCATTTAGCTGTTTCTGTTGGTAATGAAGTTGCTTTATAATTCCTATCAAATCCTGGAGTGATATTCGATTGGTAGGTTTAAGATAAATTTGGTAGAATACCTAAAGACGAGAAGCTATTATAAAAAAGATTATTGAAAAGATGATGATTTATCACATAAACACATATAACATAAAAAACAAGATTTTACAATGGATATATATATATTTTATTATAAATATAAAACATATCCATCTCTAAGAAATTACTCTATTCATATCAAATCTAGATATTAAATATAATTCATATTTTTACATTGAGAAATTTAGAAATTTTAATCTTATTTAATTATATAATAAAAGTCATATATGATTTACAAATTTATTATAATTCATTCAAATTATCTATTCAACCAGAACTATTATATTGGCACTTCTTAATTATTAAATTTGAAATGCTATTAATATTCACCAGCAATCAACTCATCATTTCTAATCATACTACCACAAGCCATAATAAAACCAAAACTGCCTCCACTCACTATCACTGATATTGGAATCATAGATAATTTTTTATATTAAACTGCTGCCCATAATCCTGTTACTAATCCAAATCCACCTCCCACTAATGAACCCATTATAAAACCTTATTTTGCATACACTTAAACTTCTGCAAACTTTCTTTTTACTATTCTCCATTTCCTTTATCTTGCTGTCTCAGTTTAAGGAGCTTCTAATCTATCCTTCAAATTTTATTCAGCAAGCAACTTTTCATATTCGTCTTCCTTACCAGACATAAAATTAATTATAATATAAATTATAATCATTTACTAACTAACCATTCACTATTTAATATTCAATAATCTTCCTATCATCAATTTGATATACTACCCTTTAATTTAGTATTTAATCTTTATTTTTCATTATCCAAAATTTACTTATCATATTCTTATCATTTCATATATATCTATCTAATCATTATACTAATAATCTCAATTACTAGATAATCCTTTTTTAATTTAATAAACTTTTTGTTTAATATTCAGATATCTACATATAATTAATAACTTTATTACGAATATAAAATAAAAAAAAAAAAATTCATCACATTTGTCAATCCGCATTTTTTATATTTTACTTCAATATCAAACTAATAACCAACTTACCCTTCATTTTAATGAAATAGGTGATTTTAATTTATTGATAGTTTATTTATCTATTAATTTGTTATATCCCAACACCTTATTTATTGATAAACTAAATTTTTAAACTAGGAAATAGACATAAGTGTTTATCTTAATTTATTAATTACAAAACTTAGATAAAGTTTTTTTTCACAATAAAGATTCTTCAATAAGTTTGTTCTCAAAGTATTTATGTTTATTTCAAACTAAACAACTCTAAATTAATTTTAAGAAAAAAATTTCACCTTCAAAGAATTAGTTAATCTTATATGAACTAACTATTATAGATAACATAAAAAGTTTCCAAAATAAGACAAAATCTATTACTCCCATAATTTACTTTAATTGTTTTTAGGGGAAACTACTGAAAAATAGATAACATTAGATGTTTTTAAGAATAGAATTTTTTAAAAGTAAATTAACTTCAGCAAATGGTAACAAGTTAGATTAATATTCTTTATTATTATGCCTGCTTCTTAAGATTTCAAGAGTTTCTAACAAGAGAATCATTTTACCCTGAAAGTAATAGTCTTAATATAAAATAGGAGTATATTATATCTCAATAACCAAATTTTATTATTGTTTTATATGAATATAAAAATTTAGCAATTCCCTAAACAAAAATGATATTTTCTTAATGTTTATCTCTATTTTTAAATTTATCCATATTATTCATTTTCAATAATAATTTTTAAACTTATTTGGAAATTATCCAAAGCATTACAATTGTTAATAATATTTTTAAATTTTAAATAATAACAGTTATAATTATTCTTAAAAATATCTAATAATATTAATAATTAAAATCTAATTGAGAACAAAATAATAATTATTCATTCTATAATATTCTTTTCTAACAAAATTTCATATTAACGTTGCCAATTTATTAAATAATCTTTGAATTAAAATAATAGTAAGCCCAATTACGCATATACTATATACCAAAGGAAAAATTAAGATAAATGATGAAAAACACATCATTTTTTAGAAATTTGTATACTAAAATTTATCAAATGTTTCAATTAGTTTAGTAAAGAGGTGTTTAAATGCAAAGCAAGGAAACATCCAAATCACAAAAATAGAGAACAAATACTTTATCGATTTTATATTCTCTATATGACGCATTTAGCAAATTGAACACAATCCACTTTGGGAAAATAATTCAACCCTCCTGTCGCATTTTTGGCAATAGAGAGCGTTACATAAGCAACATTATTTCTTCTCTTGCTTGTAATTGTAGTTAAATGTATTGCATTTACGACATTAAAATCCTTAATACATGAATTACCAGCAACCATCGCATATATCATAATCAATTATATAACATATATGATTATCTGAAATGTTAACGATCTATATTTATTTTTCGTTTAACTTTTAAGTTAATCTTTTAAAATAATTTGGTAATTTTCCAAATAATAAGTGCTTTGGATAAGATAGGAATCCTTTTAGCCTAGATTAATGTTCTTTATTGCATATTCGACATTATTTCTTTCTCCTATACATATTTACAGTAATAATATTATCAAAATTATATCTTTAATTTAATCAAATTTAAGGGACGTTATTATATATTTAAATAGAGAATCTTAAATATTATTATTCTGAAATAATTAATTTACATATCACTACTACAAAAACTTTAATAGATATCGATGTTTTCTTTTAGAACAATGATGAATTATTTGGAATGATATGATACTCTGTCTAATTTTACTAAAAACTTAAACTTTTTCAATATTTAATTTAAGATGCTTTAAAATCTATCATTTATTTTGCAGATTATAAATGAACAGTTCACAAAAGTAAAAATAATTAGGATTTCTTATTGATTTAAATAATGATACTTAATTGAATATTATCAGTTAGAAAAAGTCATCTAGATTTCTTTATTTAAGCTTATAATATGAAAATATATATACACAATAAAAAAATATATTTCATAAATTAAACTGGATTATTGATTATTTCTAAAGATTATGTAAAAATTTAAATATAGAATTTTAATAAATATTCAAAGTGCTAGTAATTTTTTATTTGTTAATGTGATTGATGTTGAAACAATTTCTTATATTATTTTGCATTCTAATTCTGGAAGAACAGTGGCAAAGAAAGCTATTAAATCTTAAAGGATTTTTGTTTTTAAAGTGATTTTTTGTTTGTCTGTTGAGTCTTCAATTTATTTTAAAATTTCATATATTTAATAGAGTAATTTGATGAATTGTTATGTATGAACATTTTTTAAATATGAAAGTTCAGTAATTTTAGTTTGAATACTCAAAGAATATTAATTGATTTCTTAATTAATAGATTGAATAGAAGGAAGAGCTTCTGATTTTGAATGATCTTCAATTATTGGTTATTGATATTCTAGTGTAATGAATTGATTAGAAATATTATTAGATGCCTTAACTTCTTGTGGATTTAATTATTCTTCTTATTTGATTATTTGAATATCAGGTGAAGCATCAAATTAAGCTGGTGTCTAAAATTCATTTTTTTCTTCATTGAGGATTTAATTATCGAAAAGATTGATTTATGATTAATTTCTTGAATTATTTTCTTGTTATTGATTTAGTTTGGCAGATTAATGAGAATCTTCAAAATTTTAATCTTCAATTTTATTGGGAGTAAGATTTTATGTGTGTGAAGGAGTAGTAGGAAAAAAGAGTCGTTTAGGAACAGTAAAATTATTGGAAAAAGCAAAGATAGGTCTTTTAGTTGGACTGGAGTATAAATTTTGTGGAGTCGAGAATTTGCCATCCTAATAACGATTCCACTTTTAGTCTTGCTTTTCTTTTTGTTTTTCAATTAATTTTACAAAAGGCTTAGGAATTGGTTCATTGTCTCTAGAGTAATAAAGAGCTTTTTCTTTAAGCTTTGGAGACCTATTTCTCATTAATAATAAAAAATAAATAAATCATTTTGGTTTTTGTATTTTTGGTTCAACAATAGATTCTTCGATTTTTGATCTGAATAATGGATCAAGTGGAGTTAAATTGATATTACGTTATTAAGATATTTGAATTTGTTCAAAAAATTAAATGATATTTTTATCCATCATATGTAAGAGTTTATCATCAATACTACTTCTACGTTTCTCTTATTATAAAGAAGAGAAAGAACAATAGTAATCTTTAAGTTTGGTTTGAAGTTTTTTATTTTTGAGAACTCTTAAACTCTTTTGTAATTCTATTTCTTAAATAAGATTATCAGTTAGATTTTAATGATGATCTTATTAATTTTAAAAAACAGGTTTCGGCAGTAAATCAAATAATTTATTTTGTTCTTCATTTAATAAAACAAATCTAAGCATGTCAATTTATTGTAATTTCTCTATAATTTTGACAATATCTAAATGTCCTAAAATTTCTGATTTCACTTTTAAAAAGATTTCTTTTTCTTTTTTACGACATCCAATTAAAATGAGAAAAGATTCATAAAGACTTTCAGAAAGTTTTTCTTCTTTTAATGGAAATGATTAATCTTATCTAATTGTCGATAATTAATCATCAGAATTATGATCTGATTTTTTTTAATTGTTGATATGAATTTTAGAATTTAAAGTCTTTGGAAATCTATACAATTCATTAGCAATTGAAATAGTCATAAGATTAACTATCAAAGGATTAATGAATGTACTAGTAACTATTACAAAAAATTGCCAGATTCCTCCAATTCTACCTAAAATAGTCCAAAATTTGATATATGTTCTGGTGTATATAGTTTCTTTGTAATCCAATTATATGAAATGATAAATCAAATAATTATCATTGTATAACTCAGATTATTCTTTTCTATCCTGTTTAACTAAGTTTAAATCTACTCTATCTTAAGTGAATAGAAATCCTTCTGCTGTATGTGTTTCTACAATTCTATAATTCCATTATAACATCTTAGAAGTTGTGATTGAAAAACTATTAATTTCCTAATTGATTAATTGAGAATAAGGTTTAGTAGGATGATTCAATTACATTAAATAATCACTGGCATATACTTAATAATGACCTGCAGATAACACCTGACGTATTTCTTCAATAGATGCACAATCTTAATACTCTGTACTATTCTTGCATATATCTAATTATATCAATAAGTATTGATGTACAGATCCAGATATCTATCCTTGTAAAACCTTGAATTCATATAAAATTTTACTGGAGGATTCACTTTTATATATTCTCTATCCAGACAGTAAATTGCACCCAATTTAGTGTATTAAAAGAAGCTCTGCTATAATTCATTATCAAAATCCTCCTTCTTACATGGCGCAATTGGAATTCTCGTACAACTAAATTTAAAAAAAATATATACTACTATTTGATAATTACATCTCCACTCACATTGTTCAGTTCTTTTTCTCTAATACACTTATCAACTGTTATATTGTAGTATTTCAAATTTCCACTAATTGGTTCTGAATCTTTATTTGTTATTGTTATAGCCAAAGTAAAGTTATCATTATAAAGTGGAAATTACTTAATTATAAAAACAAACTAATACAGCCGTGTTAAATATTTGTTATTCTGATAAAACAACACTTGGTGCTGCTTGATCTAACAAAGCAATCATTTCAGTTATTAAATAAATCAAAGTGACAGAACATATAATGAAAGTCATACAACAACCCACTATAGAAGAATATTTAGCTTTTTCAAGCACTCTAAAATTTGGTAACTATCCAAAAATGTCGCAAGTTTAGATAGTTTGATTAACCATCCTTTACAGAATATTCTTAGATTTTCTCACCATTCTAAATTTAATAATTATTCAAAATTTTTCATTTAGAATATAATTCAAAAATCTAAAAACTTTTAATTTAAAAAAAAAAAACGAACTGTCATTGAAAGAATAAAAAATACATTTATAAAATATTTTTTATGATTTGATAAAACTTCAGATTCTTTTATTAATATATGATTAAATCTTTTAAGAATTATACTTTTGATTTAATATAGTTTATGAAATTAGATTTTTGATAATGAATAACCAAATATTGATTTATATCATTTACTATTAATCGAAATAGTTAGTCGTTAATAAAAATAACAAAAAATATCTGATTGATATTTTAAAAAGAAAAAGAATCATTCTCTATAGAAAAAAATCTAATATACAAAATGAAAAAATTAATTGCTATTTTTACTATTCAAAATCAAAAGTATGATTTTATATATTGGAAATGTTTTGCAGAATACCTGTGAACAATGAAATAATACTTTGGAAACTATTATTTACATAATAAGTTTAATTATAAAAATTAAAAATTACTTAATACAACAACTAATTAAATAAAAAATTTAGAAGAGAATATTAAGAAAATATTAAATTAAGATAATTAAAATTAAATTGATCCAGGAATAGATTAATTAAAATAATTAAAAAAAACAGTATAAACAATACTACATTTTTTAGTTTTGATAACACATTTATAAATTTAAGATGAAATAGATAGATAAGGAATATAATTAATGGGAGCGAAAGATACTTAAATAGATGATGGACTTGTTTATAAAAGTTAAAATAAGAAAGGACCATCAATTTAAATAAATGGTGAATGTCTTTCTTGTTCAGGATAATTAATATAATTATTATAATGTTTTAAATTAGCATGTTTAGCATATCATCCATCAGATATTCTTGTTGATGGAAAATCTTTTAAAAGAGATTAATTATTAGAAATGTGTACAACTTTATTAAGATAAGCTAAACAAGAATTTCTAGATTAAGATTATAATATTTAATAAACTACAGCAACTAGATAAAGAAGTTCATCTATTCCTATTTCTCCTCGAAGACTTAATTCTAATTTTAAATTTAATAAAACAAGGAAATTAGCTCCAATGACAAACTTATAAAATTTTTGATTTGTTATATTTATCTTATCTTATCTTTTCATTAATTTATTTTAAAATCAAATCAAATTATCTATTAATTCTAAAATATGAAGTTTAAGTTTTATATCCTTAGCAAAATAATCATCTGCATATAGAGTTATAACTTATAAAATTGCTTTTTACATTGCTTTAAATAGATTATTGTTTTAATATTGTAAATTATCGGAATTAATAATGTAATTATCCTTAAAATTGTATGTGTAAGTATTATTAAAATATTTCAATATAACATGATTATTTAGAACATTTGTTAAGCTATTTGTTATTTCATCTTTTTTAAAGGTAAATTTGTAGAATTATTAATAATATTAAATTTATTTATCAATTTCTGATTAAACTTATTCTCTTATAAATTTTAATATATTATTATTTATTTAAGATTAAGTATTTTCAATCATTTATCTAGTCACTTCAGGATTATAATTTATTCTTTGATATTCTTATGTACTATTAAGTTATTAAATAATAGAAGGGAGGCATTAATATAAGCAATATTCTAATATAATTGGTTGCTATTCCTTTTCTGTTGTATATTCCTAATGTATTATTTTTTATATGTCACGCCAATAGAGAATTTATTTATCATACCTTACATCACTCATGTTATGAATATCTTCATCTAAATTAATGATTTATTTTTGTTTATTATATTAATATTTTTCTAAAAATTCATCTATTTGTTTAATAAAGTCATTTAAGTTTTTATTTTCAATATTATGTAAAATTGAGTTTAAAATATTTTCCTTATCTTATTGATATTAATTCTGTTTTAGTATAATTTTCTGATAACAACTTAAAATAATTTATTTAATAATAAAAAGTATTTTTTTAGATGCTTTGATTTTTAAGTCTACGCTTTCATCAAACTTTTCATAATTTGGACATTGATAACCAGTGAAATTAATAACATAATCTAACAATTTATATTTAATAGACGGCCTTTAATCTAAATCAATAAAATGTAACCAAATTCTATTAGAATCTAAATAATAATGTTAAATCATGTTTTCTTCCATTTTCTAAACTTTTATAGCTAAAGATTAAACTAAAATCAAAAGTTGACCAAAATGAATTCTTACAAAATCATTTGACTATTTTCAATGAAAAAATACAATAAAAATAATGAGATCACTTAATCTCATAAATTTTTCTCTATTTACAATATATTCTATTAATTGTTCTTATTCTTTAATGTTTACCTAACCAATATTATCAAATTTTAGTTCTCTCTTCAAATCATCCAAATTTTCAAAAGTATAAATATCTTTAGAGGAATATTTAAAATGCTTCATAAATATTCAGATAATTAAAATAATTATAGTCTATATATTAAAAATATTGTCATTATAAACTTATTAATAATTCATATCAAATCATCAATCAATTAAAGTATTTTGTACATAAAGAAGATTTTTAATTTATCTTATATAGATGCAATTAGGCTTTTTGAAATAGCTGCATAAATTTAATTTTTGAATTCTTCATTATTGAAATATAACCAAAATGTATTATTGAAATATTTAACATATTTAGATTTAATAATCTAATCAAAAATCTCTTATTCAATTAATTAGATTTCATTTTCAGTTATTTCAAATTTAAATTATTTTTCATATTCTTACAAAGAAGATTTCATTGATATTTAAACTAGTTCATTAATTTTATATTTTAGTTGTAATTCTCTTTTTTATAATAATCTATATAATTCCTATGCTTAACTTTAATATTCAAATTTAATTTTTTAATAAGATTTTAAATGTTTGCTTATGAGTGGAATATTATATACTAATAGATGTTCAATTACAATCTATCCATATTTCCTACCAATTCAATAATTTATTTTAAATCTTTGTTAACATTTTCAATTATACTATGTCGTTGAGATTGAATATAATCATTACTATTATCATCTATAATTAATGATTATACCAATTTATTTTTCATATCATCTTAATAATTATATTTTTTTAATTTTTCTTAAATGAATGCAATGATTTAATTAGAAGTTGAATTTGATTTGCATAAATCAATTATGGGTTACAATATTTCTTTAAATATTTCATTTCTTTTTTAAGTATTTTTCGATTTTAAACGAATTTGATTGAAACATTTATTAATAATGATTTAAATAATTTCATTAATTCTAAGTGAAGCTTTTAACATATATTAACTATTTTATTTTTCATAAAATGGGCATTAATATCCTATAAAATGAAGAGAATAATATAAAAATTAATAAATAAGACATGGATATTAACTATTTTATTTTATTTAAAGCCAAATTCTATTTAAATCGAGATAATTGTGTTCAATACCTTTAGATTCTAAAAATTATACTTTTTATAACAAATTAGAAATTAAATGCAATAATTGTCCTAAATGAATGCGAACAAAATCTGATTCCTAATAAGTGTAAAATATATATTAATTACAATCCAAAATATTAAATCACTTAATCTTAAACTTTTAGATCGATCCATTTTATAAGTAATAGATTTATTATCTTAATCTACATAAATTTATCCAATTTAATCAAAATCTATAGCTTTTATTAGCTCCTCTTAGTTTTCAAATGAATACACATCTTCACAAGCATAAGGGAAATTTAACATATTTAATAATAATAATATTTCCCTTTTTTATTAAATTACAAAAAATTTATTTTATCTTAGTATTTATAAAAATTGTCTTGTTTTGGAAATAATAAGAACCCTCAATATACCATTTTCCTGCTGTTTTTAGGATGATTAATTTCTTTATATTAGTCAAAAAAATATTAAATTTCTAAATATAAATAAAAAAATAGCAAAACAACTAATCAATTTTAATCTCAGGAAAAATTAGGAATAAGTATCCAACTATTAAATTAGGAAGTTATAAGCATAAGTTTTATTAATGTTAATTATATAATCCATTTTTGGAAATTTTTATAAACTATTATATATTCAATCAATTGAAATTTCATTTCTATTGAAATCTTTAATAATTGCCTCTGTCTGTTTAAGGAGGGCAATATTATTAATTTTAGAATACATATTATTTTTACTTATTGGGACTGACACTAGTATTTTGTCGTGTCTTATCTTATTAAATAGGACTGTAAGATTAATTACGTGTATCATTCTTCTTTGTAATTGGATAAATTTATTATTGCTAAGTAATGGGTTAATTTAACACTTAATTATTATTTTTATTTAATTAAATAGTTTATTGTTGATTGAAAGGATTTTTAAGGTTAGTTTTATTTAAAATTTAACCTTTTATTGGAGACTAAGAATTATTCTTTTCTATTTTAACAATTGGTTAATTAAAAATTGTCTTGGAATTTCAAACTATCTCCTTTAATATTAATTTTTTTTGGAATAAGTTATTAAATAATTTTCAGACAAATTTCTTGCATTCTGATAATAAATTTATCAAATTTTTTATAAAGCATATATACAAATTCTTGAAATCCAGCTCTATCATCTGGATTAGTTTGAATCATAAATATTACAAGATATACAAACCACTATTCTTCGTACCCTATTTTTTTCAACTTTTCTATATTCTTCATTCTCTCAATATCAGTTTATTTAATGAAATCTTTGTATTGCTTTAAATTTTCTCCATAAGGCAATTTACCAAAATATAATTGATACAATATTAATCCAAGCTATTATATTAAAATTTAATACACAAAATATATCAGCTTTTGAAAGTTTTTCATGATTTACCATTTTATTGTTTTGATTATCTTAAATAAATTTATTTCATTCAGGAGCTGTATATTAAGCGGTTCCAACTTGGCTTTGAGTATTGAAATAAAAATGACAAATCTTAGAGACTCCAAAATCTGAAATTTTGTATATAGGTTAATTATTCTAAAAATATACTAAAATATTTTCAGGTTTGATATCTCTGTGAACTACTCTGGATTGATACAATGATTAATAACCATTTAGAAATTGATGAAAAAATATTAGTATTGAATTAAATGTAAGAGATTTCCTCATATAATCTTATAGATTTATATTACATTTCTGCATAAGGATACAAATTAATTTAAGATCTCTCAAATGAATTACTTTTAAAGTTTTTACTAAATTAGGGTTATCATTTAAGCTTTTTAAAAATTAATCATAAATTTTAAGTTCCTTCTCAACTTCTTATTATTCTTTATATATAATCACCTAATCATTATTATTCATACTTTTAAGATGCAATATTGTAACACATTTTACTCCCAATAATTATAAAAATGTATAGTTCCCTCTGATCCACAATATTCATAGGCCTTTTGTAACTATTCAATAGCAAAAGCTGACAACCTTTTTTCAAGTTCCATTTTATATCTAAAACAAAAATTATTTTTTATAATATATTTCTATATATATTTGAAGCATACTTTCTATTGCTTAAATCAAAGAATATGATTATCAAGGATAGAGTTTACATATTAAATATAATCTCTAGATTTTAAAGATAATATGATCATATATTGAAATAGTTACTTATATTACTTTATCTTTCTTCAAAGTGATTCTCATCTTGACTATTTTGAGCAAATGAACATAACGAAAGCACTTCTTCATTAATAGCATTCACTTTTGGAAACATTAAACCTTGTATTTCATCATTAAAAGATTCGTAAGAATATAAACTCTACAAAAACTTAGATTATTATTATTAGTCCGAAAACAAAAGTTCTCCTTACTAATTTGCCTTTAACCAAATTTTATACAAAAATTATTCTAGTTAATTAATTTTTATTACTGTATTTTTTATCTTTTATGTTCAAATGAAACTTCCAAACAAATTTTCCTAATTTTGTACCTCTCTTCTAACCATCCACTATATGTGTAATATATTCCTATTATTAATTTTAATATCATTACGATCATTGATTGTTTTAAATTTATTTCAATCTATTTGTGTTATTTCAACAAATTTTAAAAAGATTCAACCATTTTAATCTGATTAGATTTTATTTCACTTAATTGCAATTAAAGTAGAAACATCTCTTAATCATAACTCATCTCTTTTTCTTAGACTTTTTTGGATATTTTTAAACCATCCTAATTTCTTATGTCAAATTGTTAATTAGTATATTTTAGATGACCTTAATCAGTTTTTTAATACACAAATCCATATTGATTTAGTTATCTTATTAAAATAATTCAAATACCTTCGAAAACTAGCCCAATTGCTATTTCTGAAATGATTTTTCAGTACTTAGTTCTTAAATTTTGATTCATCCAATATGGTAAAACCATTATAATCTTGTGAAATGACTATGATACCATCATATTGATCACACTTTATATAGTCAACTTGGAATATATACATTTAATAATTATTTCAAATTAGAAATAAAGCTTCGATGATTTTTTAAGCCTTTTTGTGATTCCATTTTTATATAAAATTAATAGTTATATTAAATGAATTTAGTATATATAATAATTTTGTGAATAAAACTTTAAGAATATTTGAATCATAAAATTACTCTGCTTCAAATAAAACAGAGAATAGTGGCCAACAAAAGTACATAAAAAGAAACTAAATGAATATGCCTAAAAAATCAATAAAAAAATGAAATACTCCTAACATGATTTGTAATATTTAAATGTGATCATAATTGAGACCCATTAAGCAATACCATTTACTGCTAAAGCAATAGTTGAAGGAACGTAATTTAAGATAAATAACAAAATCAAAGGCAAAAACAAAAGTATATTCCATATTAAAATCTGTCTAAATTCAAAAGAAATTTCAAGTTCTTTTATTTTTAACTTTGAGAATAAAAAAATTTGTCTAAAACAAACAAAAACAAATAGTAAGGTTTACATTATCTGCCATGGTTGAATAATTAAGAAATTAAAAATTAAAACCGTCTAGAAAATTAATGTCTTTAAAATTTTGATCCAGGTAATTTTTTTTTGTTCATTAATTGAATCATTATTATTGTAATCCAATTAAATAGCACCTCTTAAATTATCATCCACAACTTAATTTGTTTATGATTGACTTTCATAGAGTAACTACATACGAGGTGCTCCTTTTTTATCAATATTTGATAGCAATCTAGTTAATGTTTTTTCATTCTAATATATAATCTCAATCTCTTTGCCTATTTAATCATAATTAACAGATTTTAAAGTCTTAAGAATACCAAATTTGATCTCTCCACAATCATCTTGAAACTTTATAACGTTAAAATTAGCTTGTATAAACGCAAATTCTTACCTTGAGTTTATTAACTAATCTATGATCTCTAAGGAATCCCACTATTACTGTGATTTTTAGAGTAAGATGATCTTTTGTGATCTCCCAAAAAACTCATACCAGAATCCTATTTAATATGATTCAGCCCTCTTTCTGTTGTATTCTAGGGTACATTATTATTTTCATTTGTATTAAGTATCTACTTAGGTGTAATACTTGAGTTGCTTTCTTAAATTGATGGAATAGCTGGTAGATATTAAGGTTAATATTCTATTTCTTAATCTATCTTGCCTGTACGTTCTTAGACTTAAGTATTCAAAATAACAATCTATGGAATATAGGCTTGAGTTAATTATTTGTAATATTGCCTAAATATCAAAAATAATGCTGCTGTTATTGTTAAATCTAAAATTGTTTAGTGATTATATATATACAATACGAATTTCCTATAATTCTTATTTCAAAGAGTAATATACTTATATTACAGAGAGAAAGTATGAATAATATCTTCTATTTATTTAAGTCTCTATCATGAATGTAAAATAAAGTGATTACAGATGAGGATAATAAAATCAACTAAAATAGCAAGAGCTCATTAATCATGAGATAATATTATTATATAAGTTTAAATTATATTAAAATAATTCTAATTCGATGTGAATCTAAAGAATTAAAAATATAAATATCTGAAAATGTTCTACAATAATTAGAGCGATATATTGTAGAAATTAAATTGAATATAAAATGCGATCAAAAACTCATATGAGCAATTTATTCCCCTATAGTTCATGTATATTATACTTATAGAACATAAAAGACATTCTAAATGAATTTAAATGAAAAAAATAAAATTTATTCGATTATTAAAATGACTGAGTATTATGTATTAAAGAAGAGTCTCTAAACTTTTGAAAATTACGGTAAGACTTAAGAAATTAGACATTAACTTCTACAAGGAGACACTCAAGTATTAAAGAATATCATCACACTTCTTATAGCTATTCTTAAAGATCCAAAAACTGATCCAATAATGATGCTTTAGGCTGTTAGAGTATACAATCAATCTATATAGGATAGTTTAGTAAGGACTGTATGGAAACATTTAATGATGATTTTATTAGTCAATTTTAATTGGAAGTATTACCATATTTTGAATCAATGGCAATGTTTGAATATAAAAGTGAAGCACCTGATAGAGGATAATTTTACTTTAGCAAAGAGCCTGATCCATACACAGCTAAATTAGGTAATACCTTATTGCATTTGGTTTTGGAATGTGTATGGGTTTGGGCTAAATGGTTTCCTATGGATCCAGATTGTTTGAAAGTTTCATGCTACAGAATTACATTAGAAAAGCTATGTATTTTAGGAGTAAGATTTAATAAGATTCTATATTTTAATAAACTTCTAATTAAAAGACACTTGCCAGAATGTATGGTACCAATGAAAATTATACAAGAATTACGTAGAGCAGTTAAATTAGATCTATAATAGTATTTTTAATATTTTATTTAGAACATTTGGCAATGGTAGTTCTAGTATCATTATTCAATAAAGATTAAGTCAACTCTTACCTTAAGAAATGGCTAGAGATGAAAGCCAAGAAGTCTTTTATTCCGATATGATCAGAAGATTGTATAGATAACATCTAAAAAATGAAAGAAAACAAGCACCAAAGAAATCTGGATAAGATGAATCATTTATTTATGTACCAGAAGAAAAAGAAAATAATATTCAAAATTAATAAATGCTTCAACTCAATGCTATCATCCAAAAAACTCAATAAGATTTTATGACAACAATAATTGAAAAATAGGAACTCCAAAAATTATTAAGAGAATAATAAGAAAAGTTAAAGATTATGTAATAAAGGATAGAAATCTAAGATGAACGTTTGAAATATTTTGAAGGTGAAAAACCATACAGATCATAATTTTTTTAGTCTCGCTTTGTGCAATCTAATAACCAATCAGTTTAGCAATCATTTACTTAATAACATTAGTATTCTTGATTATCTTTTATTTATACATCATTATACATCCTTTTTAATTACTTTCAATATTATTGCTAAATCAATTACTAAATTATACTTCCAAAAGCATACGAGAAAAGATACACACAAACCAGTCTTCAAACGCTGAAATCTGTATGCTCAAGCATTAAGCGATAAATTTTTTAAAATAGTGTGAAATAGCATCTTCCTCAATTTCTGTATTCCACAATCAATATATGAAGAAGTATCAATCTAATTATTCATTCTTATTTAACGGAATTATGAAATTGTATTTTTGGGAGTAACTCCCCCTTTTCTATTATATTTTTAGTTAGAGTAGTATAATTTTATAACATAATTTACACCGGGTACCAACCTGATCTTAAATCTACACTCTCATTTCACTCAATCTTATTGAATTCAATACTCAACACTTCATTTAAGTCCTTAATTGATACAGAAATTGAGCACAAGATCTCATTCAAAAGGAGGAGTGAAATCATAAAATTATACCTAATACGAATATGCTTTTTAGGAACAAGTTCTCAATTTAATTAATCCTTGCACCTTATATAAGTTCCCTAGTTATCNACTTTAGCAAAGAGCCTGATCCATACACAGCTAAATTAGGTAATACCTTATTGCATTTGGTTTTGGAATGTGTATGGGTTTGGGCTAAATGGTTTCCTATGGATCCAGATTGTTTGAAAGTTTCATGCTACAGAATTACATTAGAAAAGCTATGTATTTTAGGAGTAAGATTTAATAAGATTCTATATTTTAATAAACTTCTAATTAAAAGACACTTGCCAGAATGTATGGTACCAATGAAAATTATACAAGAATTACGTAGAGCAGTTAAATTAGATCTATAATAGTATTTTTAATATTTTATTTAGAACATTTGGCAATGGTAGTTCTAGTATCATTATTCAATAAAGATTAAGTCAACTCTTACCTTAAGAAATGGCTAGAGATGAAAGCCAAGAAGTCTTTTATTCCGATATGATCAGAAGATTGTATAGATAACATCTAAAAAATGAAAGAAAACAAGCACCAAAGAAATCTGGATAAGATGAATCATTTATTTATGTACCAGAAGAAAAAGAAAATAATATTCAAAATTAATAAATGCTTCAACTCAATGCTATCATCCAAAAAACTCAATAAGATTTTATGACAACAATAATTGAAAAATAGGAACTCCAAAAATTATTAAGAGAATAATAAGAAAAGTTAAAGATTATGTAATAAAGGATAGAAATCTAAGATGAACGTTTGAAATATTTTGAAGGTGAAAAACCATACAGATCATAATTTTTTTAGTCTCGCTTTGTGCAATCTAATAACCAATCAGTTTAGCAATCATTTACTTAATAACATTAGTATTCTTGATTATCTTTTATTTATACATCATTATACATCCTTTTTAATTACTTTCAATATTATTGCTAAATCAATTACTAAATTATACTTCCAAAAGCATACGAGAAAAGATACACACAAACCAGTCTTCAAACGCTGAAATCTGTATGCTCAAGCATTAAGCGATAAATTTTTTAAAATAGTGTGAAATAGCATCTTCCTCAATTTCTGTATTCCACAATCAATATATGAAGAAGTATCAATCTAATTATTCATTCTTATTTAACGGAATTATGAAATTGTATTTTTGGGAGTAACTCCCCCTTTTCTATTATATTTTTAGTTAGAGTAGTATAATTTTATAACATAATTTACACCGGGTACCAACCTGATCTTAAATCTACACTCTCATTTCACTCAATCTTATTGAATTCAATACTCAACACTTCATTTAAGTCCTTAATTGATACAGAAATTGAGCACAAGATCTCATTCAAAAGGAGGAGTGAAATCATAAAATTATACCTAATACGAATATGCTTTTTAGGAACAAGTTCTCAATTTAATTAATCCTTGCACCTTATATAAGTTCCCTAGTTATCTTAGAAATCCATAAATAAACTCATATTCAATAATTAAACTCTATATTATACCGTCAGGGGTTCATAACCGTGTTAATAAAGAATGAAAAAAACATAATTTATTTACTTAAAATGAAAATCATCAAAATTTTACTACTCCTTTGCATTGTTTCTTCAGTGTTCACACAAATTACTTAAGGTGCCCCATCGTCTGGTCAACGTAAGATCTTTAATTTAATTGTATCTAGCTGGCTCTGGAATGTCCGGCTCCACATAAGGTGCCCCTACTGGTCAACAAGGATAATAAAATATGCCTGGTATCTAATAATATCTTATGATTTTAAGGTGGTTAATAACCAGGAGGCCAATAATAAGGTGGAATGTAACAAGGTGGTATGCAATAAGGTGGCCAACAAGGTGGTATGTAACAAGGTGGTCAATAAGGTGGTCAATAAGGTGGTCAATAAGGTGGCCCATAGACAGGAGGAAAAGCCAAGAAATGCTTACCAACCTAAGCACAATAAGGACAATAATAAGGATTATAATAGGGTTAATAGTAAGGTTAATAATAAGGTTAATAATAATAACCAAATTAATAAACCCTTCCTGGAAATCAACTTCCAGATTAATAAGTTTAATAATAACCACCCAGTGGAACTTAATAACCACCAACTGGAACATAATAACCACCCAGTGGAACTTAATAACCACCCAGTGGAACATAATAACCACCCAGTGGAAC